ATGTAGCTTAAATTAAATTAAATTTTGCCCCGAGGCTTTTTGCTCACTCAATACTGCCAGTGTTTCTTATCGTTCAATACTGACACTGCAATTTCACGTCACTTTAATACTGACGTTGCGATTCATTGTCATTCAACACTGGCACTGAATTGTTCACTCTTGAAAACCAATACGCTGACAGTACACAAGATCGACACCTGTTATTCAGCCCTCCTAAGGGTTACCAACGTCAAGAAACTGTCGTAATGACAGCTGATAGTGGCAGTATAGTAAAGTAGATTAAGCTGATAATGACAGTATAGTGAGGTAGATTAAGCTGATAATGAGTGTAGTGAGGTAAGTTAAGCTGATAATGGCAGTATAGTGAGGTAGATTAAGCTGATAATGACAGTGGTGGGGTAGATTAAGTTGATAATGACAGTGTAGTGAGGTAGATTAAGCTCTCAAGCGGCCTTCAAGACTGCACCAGTCTGTAACTGTTCACCCAGCAACAATTGGTAACCTGGCTGTATATCGACTGACAGGTTGTTTTCCAGAAGAAAAATAACTAGTTGGGTAAGGCTATTACGAGGTGTTGACAGGACACTCTCTAAGTCCGCTAACAGGAGTCGGAATTCATCTACTCCTATACCTGTGTACAAAGGAGGTTATTATTAAGGTATTCAGTAGCTAGATAAATGGACAATAGCTCGGTCTGTGTCGTGCTTGCCCAGTTGTTCAATCTCTGTGTACTAGACATGATAGGAGGTCTGCCTAATAATGTCAACACTGAGAATACACACACCGGTATGCCACTGAGAGTGTGATCTCAGACCACCTGAATGATGCCAGCGACACAGCCAAATATTCTAACTAATAATATTGTAGCATGCTCACTTTCTAGATGACACACTCCACGCTCTGATTCTTTTCTATCCTCGCTAAAGTCCCATAAACATTTGTTTTCAGTACTTACCATTACAATTGTGGCTTTGTGCTCTTATCAGTAAGATCATTTGATTAAAAACCAGCCATATTTACACACGCATAAATTCACAACCAAGGAATAGGCAAATTGCTAAAACAACAGAGCATATTCAAATAATTCAAAATAATTACCTTTCAATGCGAATACTTGATAGTTTTCTATATATTTAATTACACCGTAATGTGCATATTCCGCAAAAACCTACACTTCGCACACTATATTTAACACACGTTGTAGAGGTCACTAACATCCATCCTACCCCATATTTTCTGATAATGAATGGTCACAGTAAAGCCCGCGCCGGCCACAAGAGCCTAGTCCAGGACACATGGAGACGCAAGCCCGGGCGGAGAGCACGAGAGCCTCCCGCCACACTAGGTAAAGGTAGACTGACGTTGTGTGCATGTGTCAGGCCTGGCACACCTGGAGCCGGGGGCCGGCACTCTCCCCTCCCCACCGTGGGCACCCCACACTCACCCCTCCCCACCGTGGGCACCCCACACTCACCCCTCCCCACCGTGGGCACCCCACACTCACCCCTCCCCACCGTGGGCACCCCACACTCACCCCTCCCCACCGTGGGCACCCCACACTCACCCCTCCCCACCGTGGGCACCCCACACTCTCCCCTCCCCACCGTGGGCACCCCACACCCACCCCTCCCCACCGTGGGCACCCCACACTCACCCCTCCCCACCGTGGGCACCCCACACTCTCCCCTCCCCACCGTGGGCATCCCAAACCCACCCCTCCCACCGTGGGCATCCCAAACCCACCCCTCCCACCGTGGGCACCCCACACTACGCACTCACCCCCCTAAATAGAAGTTAAAGTCCCGAATGTGGATAAAGCGGATCCAATGATGTAAAACACATTCAAGGAAGCTCGGCCTGATAAGTAAAGGAACAAATATGATCGACGGTGAAACACGGTGATTGGAATAGTCAAGACAGATAAGGACAGCATCTTTGTACTGAGATAAAATAAGAGAACAATTGCATATTTAAAAATTATTTACATGACAATTAATGGCAAATGAAATGCATAAATTCTGCTAATAATTCTTATTCGCTCAGCACTTCCAGGCGTTTGAAAAGCGTGCCTCGCGGCCCATGGAGAGAGGAAGTGACTGTGAAAGATTGACAAAAGTGGGTGCATGATCCACTTTTGGTGGCAAGATGAGTGACTGTAACGGTCATGAGGGAGAAACTATGTAAAAAACGCATGTTCATCACCACCATTTCTTCCCCACCCCATAACTATCCTCCATCAATATACCATTACAGTCACGACAACCACCCCCCCCCCCCAACCATTGCCACCTACCGATAGATAAGTGACTCAAGTGACTATCGATAGGTAAGTGACCCAGAACTGACTCACTTACTCTTTACGTAAGTGACTCAAGTGACTATCGATAGGTAAGTGACCCAGAACTGACTCACTTACTCTTTACATCAGTATATAAAGTATGTGGTTATTTGGACTGACGAAGAGTTGAAAATATCACGTAGTTAGATAAATGCAAAACAGGGCTATCCTCTGAGACAAGCTTCGGAAAGCTATGTAGGGAGCCCCCCAGAGAGGGCTGGCAGCCCCCACGCCAATTCTAGAGCAAAATTATATAGCCGTTAATATAATTAGAGACAGATAATACTGTGAAGGAAGGAACTATCGATGAAAAGCGCCAAACCATCACTATATAGATTTTTGTGAAGTCAAAAGTTTCTTATAGCCTATCCAGGCAGACGTTTCTGCAGCCTAGGGTCAATAAAGGCGGGGAAGGGATTGTGAGGGCTAGATAGGATAGGGCTGGACCGTTGGGCCAGACAGGGCCATGTCTAATGGCCCTGGTAAGCCAAGCAGAGCTAGCAACGAGAAGCATCCACGCGGGCCAGACTAGGGTCGGGAGGGAGGCATATTACCTATGCTAACTTATGGAGTGCTGTGGAGAGACAGTCCTGTGACGGGCGAGGTCTCGGGTCCTGCAGGAACGTCGGGGGGCACGGCCCTCCCGCCGGGTGCAGAATGAGAGGCCCATGGCACTGGGTGGATGAGAGTGGGACCTAGAGGTCGGTGGGTTACTGGTGGAGTGCCGGGATGTAGCAGGAGTGACGCCCGCCACCAGCTGGAGCGTCAGGTGGCGGGAAGACATGGCCGTCGGTGTCCACCAATCACCTACCGATAAATGCTTAGGTATTGTGCATGTAATAATAATATTTCGTTTAAATACAGATTATCTAATTACTATGATTATTCTGTAGGTGTTCGTATTTTTTTAATAGAGCCACTAATTATGAAGAAGCGAGTTTTAGACACATATTAATGTGTGTATTTGTACATATTTATCGTAAAACTCAATGCGCTGAGGTGTAAGCCAACATACATATATTAATGTGAAATTGTATACATTTTTCTAGTTCAAGTTTATTGAGACATTATTTATCTATTATTCATTGTTCAATTATAGTCCAAAGAGTAGGTTAGGCTACTTGTGGTCTCTCAAGCGGCTCACATATCCATGAAGTATACAAATAATAATCTTACATTGCAAATACATTTACATTAATTCAATAGTTGTCAAATAGTACACATTATATAATAAACCAAAAAGATTTTAGTATTACAGATAATCAATACACATAGGAAGATCAATATACGTTGTATGGATACCGTCCAACATAGATATTGGCATGATGATACGAACAATTTCTTGTTTTGGTAAAGGTAGAATGGGCAAGTTGGAGAAGGTACAAAATGAAGCCCTGAGAATTATCTTAGGATGCCCAAGAAATGCAATAATTGAGATAATGAGGATGGAATTGAATCTGAAGAGTATTGGGGATAGAATTTCAGAGATAAATGTAGCCTCTGCCATTAGATTAATGAGAGGGGGAAGGGAGGTAGAAATAGCTTAAGCTACTCTATCCCTTTGAGATGTATTTCTTTCTTGTCTCAATAAACATACTTGAACTTGAATGAAAGGTGGGGAGCTAATGAATTAATCATATTGCCTGTTAATCAAAAAATATCAAAATAACAATTTAAATAATTCGTTTATTAGACATTCTATTTGTGTCAGCAGCTGCGAGAATGTACCACATAATCACCCAAATTATAAATCAATTAACGAATTAATTGTATATAAAATGTTTATAATAAATCAAATGTATATAAAATATGTTTCAGTTAAAATGGCATACTAATTTATTGCAAATATTTGAGTTTACCTTGAAAAGCTGAATAGAAAACACCGACCTAACCTAACCTTCTTAGTATGTTAAGATAAACATCTTATTGCTTCTTAATTACAATTATTACGTAACCTATACTAATATTGATATTACAGTTTTATAAAAAAAATAATAAAACAAAACTAAAATATTTACATAAATTGTAAAGTAACTCAGGATATTGTCAAATTTTATATAAAATCTCTTTTGTTTAATAAAAGTGAAAAAGAAATTCCTAATATTAAAACTGGTGTCTAGCAAAGCAGTCGAAAGAGTATATTCCTTAAAAACACAATATAGCTTAAAATATACCACATATGTACTTATTAATATGCCAACTATTGACTATAAGCAGTAATTCATATATGTACTGTCTTGTGCGAGAGCAATAACAACCCAAATGTACACAGTTAGTTTAATTCATTTATTATGCACCCCATACCCATCTTGTGGGCGGTAGTGGAAAGGGTTACAGAGGCACATTATGGGTTCAGTCCCTGAGCCCATTATGTGCCTCTGTAACCCTTTCCACTATCGCCCACAAGATGATGATTGATTGATAAAGATTAAGCCACCCAAAAGGTGGCACGGGCATGAATAGCCCGTAAGTGCTGGCCATTTTGAGCCATTACCAGTATCAAGAGCTGATACTGGAGATCTGTGGAGGTGCGACTGCACCCTGCGTGACGGGAGATGTCTCCCGTGGTCACAAAATGGGTATGGGGTGCATAATAAATGTACAGAGGTGGTGTGGTGTGGGTATTCCAAGATGGCGTCCAGGTGGGGTCAAGTGAGGCGGGGCGAGTGTTGTTGATATATCTCTAGGGCGGCGCGGGCTTCCTCAGGTAAACATTCCTCTGGAGCCACCATGTTCAAGAACACCTTCCAGAGCGGCTTCCTCTCCATCCTTTACAGCATAGGCAGTAAGCCATTACAAATATGGGACAAGAAGGTAATTATTTGTACAAGTTTGCTTTTTCAAATTAAGGTATTTTGTGGCAAGTAAGTGCTTTAGTTTCCCCAGAATATACAAGGACCTGATGTGGTAGGCACCCCCAAGAATTTAACAAAATTCATCCAAACCCAGATTGAGTTACCTAAATAAAGCCTAAATCAAAGGGCAGGAGGTCAAGTTTTGCATTTGCAAGGCGACAGACGCCCATCTTGTTATGAACTGCTCTTCTAACTTAAATCCCTAACACCTTGCAACCTTAACCATTGAAAAATTAAATTCATTATTTGAACAAATCCACAAGGGCTGTGACGGGGATTCGAACCTGCGTCCGGGAGCATCCCAGACACTGCCTTAATCGACTGAGCTACGACAGGGTAAAAGAGTTGAAACCGAAGTTCTACTGAACTTACTGGATCCTGCAGCCTCTCCGAGGCACAAACCAGGATTTTACACAACCCCCCCCCCCCCCTGCACCCGAGCTATGTCACTAGGCCGTTCTCCCTCTTCGCCCTTACATCATCACACACAGAGATCACACTAACGTGATGCCAATTCATTATTTATCTAAATTGTCACTTCCCTTCCACACACATATATATATATATATATATATATATATATATATATATATATATATATATATATATTATACAGCTGCCAAGGGGATAATTTGAGGGTTTTATGTTTTGCTTATTACTGCATTATTTAAATGTATAAAATCTTTTCTCTTGAAGAGATTAATGATGGCGATGAGTCGGCTCACTCCGCGCTGCTCAACCTAACCATGTCTTGCTAAACATTTTTAAACCTTACCTAATATAACTAAGACCTAATTAAGCCTAAGCAAATCTAAGCTAGTCTCTCTTAACCTCAATACCATCCTTGAAAATAGAATGTCCTTGAAGTTACCTTGAGGTGTTTTCGGGGCTTAGCGTCTCTGCGGATCCCACTCGGATCCGCCTCTCCGAGACACAAAGCTTACTGTGTATTGAAGTAAGGGGAATTACTTAAAAAATTCATGGGGGAATTGTGTAAAACCCCGATTTGCTTCTCAAAGAGGCTGCAGGATCTGAGTGAGGTCAGTAGAACTCCCGGTTGCAATTCTTTTACCATGTCATGGCGCAGTCGACTAAGGCAGCGTCTGGGATCATCCCAGGCGTAAGTTCGAACCCTCATCACGGCCCTCGTGGATGTGTTCATAACTATTGTAGATTATTTATAGATTGTGATTGGCTTGAAGTATGTAATATGTAGAAATGTATATTTCAGCCTTTAGATATAAGAGTGAGGAAGAAAACAGCATTTGTATTGTTACAATACAGCATTACTGAATTTGACAATGCTGTATTGTCTGTATTGTGAAATGTATAGGCATAGAATATGCTAATCAAACCAAATGCTAAGTTTGTATTTATAAGATACCATATTCATGAACAAATGAACATAATATTGTCTATTAGCATCTGTCTTGGTCTGTTTGTAAATTCTGTAGTGCAGTACAGTATATGTGAATTGTATTTAATTTTTATAGGTTCGTAATGGGCACATCAAGAGGATAACTGACAATGATATTCAGTCTCTGGTCCTGGAGATTGTTGGAGTTAATGTAAGGTATGTCATACACAAACCAAAAAATTATTATATATGTAATGCATAAACACAAGATTTTTTAAATGTTATTACATCATGGCCGAGTGTGAAAGTTATGTTATTGACATGGTGTAAACGCAGGTTCTTACTTTAAATAATTAGATAGAGCTAAGATTGTAATTTTATATCAAAGAAAGGTGAATGTGGTGAGTGTAAGGGATAATAGAATCATTAGTCAACTACTTGAAGCAGTCATTTACATTTGACACCCAATACTGTATTTACAGAAATAACCTTCATAAAGTAATTAGGGACAGAGACAGTAATCTGGAAAAAAAATTATGTAGTTCTCGAAAGGAAGCCAGGGGCAGTCAGCGCCTTGCTTTTTCTTCCTCTTAAGATTTCCTTCTCCTAACCTCTCTCTTCACACACAGAGATCACACTAACGTGATGCATCAAATGAACAAATCCACAAGGGCCGTGACGAGGATTCGAACGTGCGTCCGGGAGCATTTGTTCACCTCTCTCTTGTCATGTAATATATTACTTATTAAGATACCATGGTATCCTAAACTTGTGTAATTACCTAAGTGTAATTACCTAAGTGTAGTTACAGGATGAGAGCTACGCTCGTGGTGTCCCGTCTTCCCAGCACTCTTTGTCATATAACGCTTTGAAACTACTGACGGTCTTGGCCTCCACCACCTTCTCACTTAACTTGTTCCAACCGTCTACCACTCTATTTGCGAAGGTGAATTTTCTTATATTTCTTCGGCATCTGTGTTTAGCTAGTTTAAATCTATGACCTCTTGTTCTTGAAATTCCAGGTCTCAGGAAGTCTTCCCTGTCGATTTTATCAATTCCTGTTACTATTTTGTATGTAGTGATCATATCACCTCTTTTTCTTCTGTCTTCTAGTTTTGGCATATTTAATGCTTCTAACCTCTCCTCGTAGCTCTTGCCCTTCAGTTCTGGGAGCCACTTAGTAGCATGTCTTTGCACCTTTTCCAGTTTGTTGATGTGCTTCTTAAGATATGGGCACCACACAACAGCTGCATATTCTAGCTTTGGCCGAACAAAAGTCCTGAACAATTTCTTTAGAATATCGCCATCCATGTATTTAAATGCAATTCTGAAGTTAGAAAGCATAGCATAGGCTCCTTGCACAATATTCTTTATGTGGTCCTCAGGTGATAGTTTTCTATCTAGAACCACTCCTAGATCTCTTTCTTTATCAGAATTCTTTAAAGATTTCTCACATAATATATAGGTTGTGTGGGGTCTATGTTCTCCTATTCCACATTCCATAACATGACATTTATTAACATTAAATTCCATTTGCCAAGTGGTGCTCCATATACTTATTTTGTCCAGGTCTTCTTGAAGGGCATGACAGTCATCTAAATTCCTTATCCTTCCTATTATCTTAGCATCATCAGCAAACATGTTCATATAATTCTGTATACCAACTGGTAGATCATTTATGTACACAATAAACATCACTGGTGCAAGAACTGAACCCTGTGGTACTCCACTTGTGACATTTCTCCATTCCGATACATTGCCTCTGATTACTGCCCTCATTTTTCTATCAGTCAGAAAATTTTTCATCCATGATAGAAGCTTACCTGTCACCCCTCCAATATTTTCCAGTTTCCAGAACAACCTCTTATGTGGAACTCTGTCGAAAGCCTTTTTTAGGTCCAGATAGATGCAGTCAACCCAACCATCTCTTTCCTGTAATATCTCTGTGGCTCGATCATAGAAACTGAGTAAATTCGATACACAGGATCTTCCAGATCGAAAACCATACTGTCTGTCTGATATTATATCATTTCTCTCTAGGTGTTCTACCCATTTAGTTTTGATTAGTTTTTCCAATACTTTCACTATTACACTTGTCAATGATACAGGTCTATAATTGAGGGGGTCTTCCCTGCTGCCACTTTTGTAGATTGGAACTATGTTAGCCTATTTCCACCCGTCTGCTACGATTCCTGTACACAGGGATGCCTGAAAGATCAGGTGAAGTGGAATGCTGAGCTCAGATGCACATTCTCTCAGAACCCATGGTGAAACGCCATCTGGGCCAGCTGCTTTGTTCTTACCGAGCTCCTTGAGCATTTTTTCCACTTCGTCTCTAGACACCTCTATGTGTTCTATGTTGTTCTCTGGAATTCTTATTGTATCTGGTTCCCTAAAGATTTTGCTTCATACTCTTCAATACCATAATCTCAACTATTGTGGTATTGAATATTGTAGTTCTGCAGGAGTCAATTCTATGACATTTTCTTCCTATTGTACAAAAATGAAATTTCAGTTTCGACAGTGGCTTAAAAGTAATAAACTGATAGCACCACTATATACACAGTATATCAGACAAAATCTACGGTATTTTACACATCTGGCTTGGGCCCTATCCCTACAAGAGGCAAAAATAAAAACTAATTTTGTTTTATTACATATCTAGTAAAAAACTGCAATTTACAGCTGTGCTTTCAAAATAATGAAAACAAAATTTGTTCTTAGTGGAAAGAATTTGTCGTACCGTATATATGCTGTGATTTTTATTATTTTCACAAAAGTGTTTCCAAGTGGTTTATTTAAATTAATATTATTATACTGTACTTTATTATAATACAAACATGAATTACTGACTTAATTGTGTTTGTTTGGATTAGGTCAAGATAGGTTACGTTGGTTAGGTTAGGTTTGGTCAGGTTAGGTTTGGTCATATTTCTATTGTAGTTTTAACTTAAACAAATTTAAATCATATATCATGTAATGGAAAGATTTATCATTTCATAAGAAAAAATTTAGAAAAATGTATAACTTCAGCAAAAAAGCTTGACTTGTTTGGCAAATTGGGCCTTGCATAGTAGGCCAAATAGTGTGTTCTGTCTACGAGGCAAAACCATTTCTGTACATAAGTTTTTAATGGCACTTAATTACATGCTGAGAGTAATTGTTATTTTTGTTATGTTAGAATTTTGTAATTGTTATGCTTTGTTATTTTACAGCACAACATACATCACTTGTCCTGCTGACCCCAAAAAAACTCTTGGCATCAAACTTCCCTACCTTGTTATGATCGTCAAAAATCTCAACAAATACTTCACATTTGAAGTACAGGTAAAGTATCAAACTACAATCTAATCTAGTATAAGGTCAAATGAGATAACTTCTAGTACAGTATTTACTAGTTATATATTCTTGTAAGTTTCAAGACGAGAGTTCACGGGAGACATCTCCCGTCACGCAGGGTGCAGTCGCACCTCCACAGATCTCCAGTATCATCTACTGATACTGGTTATGGCTCAAAAGGGCCACCACTTACGGGCTATTCATGCCCGTGCCACCTTTTGGATGGCTTAATCTTCATCAATCGAGATGAGAGTTAGTATGGAAAAGAACAGAAAGCAGTATAGTATGCCTTAGTGTATTGCCATCACATCCACCACAAACTTGACATATGAACACCAAAAAAAATCAAATGTGCACTTTTTTTTTACAAACTTTGGGATTACTTTTCTGTTTCATAACACCATCCAAACAGTTTTTATTTTATTTATTTTGGAAAGCATTTTTGCATTATGGTTTCTTTCAAATACTGTAATCTGTTGTATTCTAAGAGGCCCAAATGTAGACACAAAAGCTAAAGTTTACTCATATCTACATCACTAATGCTTGTACAGATCTACTTTATACAGTATACATGTAGCTAGGAAATGGTGTGGATAATTATCCCATTGACTGTGACTTCCTCAGGAATGTTTTGCTACAACTGAGAGCTGAAATGTAGTTAATATATTTATATTTCTTAACAAGGCCACCTTGGTAGCTCCCTAAAGTCTTTGCACTAAACCCACCCAGATCATTATTGGTGTGCCACGCCTTTTGAGCTCCATGAAGTCAAGTACGGAATAAAACACAAATTTTTCAAGTGGCAATCAGACAGATTTCTGCAGAAAGTGCTGGATCAGCTAGGTTTTAATAGTAGTGTGTATAGTAGATGACTATACTCACTAAACTCATGAGCTTATAATCCAGTTATAAGCTCATAATAGAGCTACAGTATGAGTTTATATTTATACTCGTATAAACTCATGACAAATGTGTCGAGTTTATCAGATATTTAAACTATATTTAAGGTAAAGCTTGTACCGTCTTCATTTATTTATTCTCACTTATGAATTATGCACATTTCACATAATAATTTTCTCCCCACAAGGTTTTAGATGACAAAAATGTTCGTCGACGTTTCCGGGCCAGCAACTACCAATCGACTACAAGAGTCAAGCCCTTCATCTGCACTATGCCTATGCGTCTGGATGAAGGATGGAACCAGATTGTGTTTAACCTTGCAGACTTTGTCAGGAGAGCTTATGGTACAAATTATGTTGAAACTTTGAGGGTCCAGATACATGCCAACTGCCGTATCAGACGGGTTTATTTTGCCGATCGTCTATATTCAGAGGAAGAATTACCAGCAGAATTCAAGTTGTATCTTCCAGTTCAAACAAAAGCAAAATCTGCAATTTGAGGGAAAATGTTGATACTGGGCCATTACAGAGCTTGAAGCTGAGCAATAAGAAATAAGAAAATAAAGAATTTGCTGCCTCTGTTGTGACAAAAAATTGACCTCTAGTATTGACCTGTTCAAGCCTTCTGTTATACAGAAGATTGACTCACATTAATTCTTCATGCACGCTTAATTGCAACACATTGCAGCTTTCTCTTAGGTTATTTCTTAAAAGAAATGTTTTCCCACAATATTAGTACACTTGAGTGTTAATAATTTTAAGTAAAAAATTCAATACAGTACAGTAGTTGCGATCAAGGGTATAAACTGGTAGCAAATTCACCTACCATGGGACAAACTTTGAAGTCTCGGTCACTCCTTCCCAGAGCATATGAAGATACAGTATTATTAACTGATCACAAAGTCATCTTGAACAAACTGAATTGACCGTATATGCACGATGGTTTCTATTAACAAATTATAGAATTGGCCCAGCAGTATGCAATTGTTACTACCTTTAAGTATAGGTAGCATTTGCAGTGGAAATAGCTGTGTTCATGTCACAGGAGTGTGGATCGATTGGGCTGGAGATCCACCTTCACATTTTCTCTCAATATATCTTGCCTTCGAATTTATTCTTTGAATTTTTTTGTTATCAGAATTTCTCTCCTCTCTCCCTCCCTCCCTCCCTCCCATTGAAAGTGAGAATATGGCAAAGAGGAAGCATTTAAGTTTGAGTATGAGTGAAAGTGGTGAGGAACGAAATGTGAAATTGTGGAATAGGTGAAATGCAGTACACTGAGGTGATATGGAGATGGTAGTAAGGTGCCTGAGAATTGTTTAATAAGAAGAGTGTACAAGGGTGAAATAACTGGACTATGTCATATATAGGCAGATGACCAGTATCTGAAGGGAAGAGTAGAACAGTACATACTCTGAAAGATAGGGCATAGGGGGGGGTTGGGGGTTGGGATGGGTCATAGTGCTTAAAAAACTGAAAGGTTTGTTTAGTTACAAAGCCTCTAGCAGAAACACCTCCTGTGACCACCCCCATCTTCATTGGAAACTACAGTACCTGAAGCTACTAAAGTATCCGTGCTATTCATAGAATTGGGACTGATCTGTTTGTCACATCCAGATTTTGATTAGTTTAAAGTTACTTAGGCCTCCTCTTCCTCCTCAACAAAACTATTAATGCAAACCATAGAGTTTGTATTTGCGAATATTTTCATGTTAAAATCTCATTTAAAAAATTGTTTAATGTATACAAATATAGCAGATTTTTGTCATCATATTACACCTTGGCTGAAAACCGCTCTTCAGCACCAATGAGTGATTAAAAGTTTTATCAATAACGTTGATTTGCTACTTACAGAATATCATTGTCCTGTTTCACAGAGAAAAGGAGGTGGGTAATACAGTACATTAAAACTCTCATTATCGAGATTCTTAAATTTTCCAGGGAGAAATGTCTGGTTCTCCATTCCCAATAACTGGACAGATGGCCAGTTAACACCCAAATGGCTCAAATCGCCAGGTGCAATTACTGTATCTCCTCTGCTCAAATGACATTAGTTTTGTGATTTTTTTTTTTTTTTTTGTAAAGCACCCAACGTTGTAGGACTTATAATTACGAGAAATGTATAAGGGTTAATGGGGGTAGATCTGCATGCCCTTTCAAAGGCCAAATCAAACTGTTTCTCAATGATTTTGTATTCTAATTTGGTCATCAGTAAGGAGAAGCCAACTGCAACTTGCGTATTCTGGGAAACAATAATGATGTAAGAGTAAGATCACCCAAGCAAGTACAGTACAGTTTCTATATCCATGTAGAAAAGTGTCAGAAAAGAAATGATAAGAGCAGATAGGTGCAAGTGCAGTATAGACAATGAGGAACACAGTATAATATATGAGATGCCATAGAGTTTGAGATACAAGACCATGAATTACTGAAGTTGAGTAATACAAGTATTCAATCCTCCTCACCCAACCCCTTAGCAGTGCTTACAAAAAGTTAAATACAGTAATGCAGTCATACTGTATTTGTCTATGGAAGTTTTTTTTTTTTTATAGAATGTAATAAGTTAAACAAATATTTGTTAGTAAATAGATAATTTTAAATGACTGCAATGGAGAGGATTGATTTCCATGTTAACTTATTTCCTTTTGATATATCTAAAATATTTGCTGCAAGTATTGCCATAATCATCTAGTCATTTTTCCAGTGTGAGGTGCATATTTTTAACCACTGGTACTAGGTGGCTGGCATCAGAGCACCAGTGGTACTAAGTGGCTGGTACCAGGGCACCAGTGGTACTAAGTCACCACTGGTACTAGGTGGCTGGCATCAGAGCACCAGTGGTACTAAGTGGCTGGTACCAGGGCACCAGTGGTACTAAGTCACCACTGGTACTAGGTGGCTGGTACAAGAGCACCAGTGGTACTAAGTCACCACTGGTACTAGGTGGCTGGTACCAGAGCACCAGTGGCACTAAGTCACCACTGGTACTAGGTGGCTGGTACCAGAGCACCAGTGGCACTAAGTCACCACTGGTACTAGGTGTTGGCATCAGAGCACCAGTGGTACTAAGTGGCTGGTACCAGGGCACCAGTGGTACTAAGTCACCACTGGTACTAGGTGGCTGGTACCAGAGCACTAGTGGTACTAAGCCACCACTGGTACTACGTTTTGTGGCTTCATAAGTACAGTACTCCCTCAAAAATCCAGATCTATGTGTAATATTTACCAGTTAACAATCAATTAAATCTGCCCTCTGGGCTTTCCCTTCAAACTTCCGATTATGTACCTTAAAATAAAAACAATTCCAGAGGGCAATGGGATGAAATCGTCATTTCCGGTTCATCTCGTATTTTTCTAGGAAATGTTCTCTCTTCATGTCCCTGTTACTCTTCCATCTTATAAATATTATTACAAATAAAAATTATCTTTATAAAATAAAGATAAATCTGTGTGTGTGCCTGAAGTAGGAGGTCAGAAGTTTGGGGCCAGCTTCACCCACTTTTCCAAGATGACATTTGAGGAGTATGTGAGTGCATAGGCTTACCATCACTTTTTAAGAAATATCAGCATCTATAGTGACCTCTGTCACTATAGATGGCCCTTCATGGCCTGAAATTGTGGATGTTTTTTTGTAGTTTTTAAAACTTTTTCAATATTCATAATATTACATTTCCTGAGAGGAAGAGAAGATGGGAGAAAGGTAGAGAGGCAAGAAAGGGGAGGGTAAAGGGGAAGAGATGAGAAAGGGGGGAGGGGGGGAAAGAGAGCCCCAGGCACAGCTGAGTAACAGTAGGCATCCATCAGTCTTAGGAGACTAACGGATGTTTCTTTGGAATAAGGAAATAACAGTCAAGTGTGCCATCAAATACAGTACTGTATTTTATACAAGTGTTACTAAGCATGTACTGTACTATAAATTGTACAAACAAATTTGTGATATTTTGTAGCCATCCAGTGAATGGCTTCTGTGAAGGCATGTGGACAGACCGAGTATTTTCACTGTGTGCGAGTGTGGTCTTGCCTCTCTCTACTCGAGCATTTTCATATGCTTTTCTTTTGGCATGTCATTATTTGTAAGTTGAAGTCATATTTTGTGGCAGAGTAGTATGCGTACATTAGACAAGAGTAAGAGAAACTTCGTTACCGTGGATATTAAGACAGAATTATCGGCAAAACGTGATACATCATAAAGGCAGGTCCTTAATCCTAATTTTTTCCTGGAATACTACTAACTTGCCAAATCATTTAACAATCAGGTACCCATTCACTACTGGGTGAACAGAGGCTAAAGTTAAGGATTGGCTGTATTTTTATTGTACATAATTATATGCTGCCAGTCATTATTTGTATGTCTGAATTTGGTCATAAATTAAAAAATATATATATTTCAGGAAATCTGCATTAGGTCTGGAATGATAGGATCTAGATTTTTGAGGGAACTATACTGTACTGTGTATTATGCTTATGTGAAGCTGAAGGTCTTGGACAGTATGAGAGCTAGCAGTCCAGTAGTGCGTTGGCATCATTCTCGTCAGAGGTCGAAGCAAACTTTACATTTATTTTTATTTGCATATAAATTTCAGCCAAGGGCAGAAAATTTCAAATTATTTTTAGAACTAATTAATTAATTTTTTACGCATTCCCACTGTAAGATTTAAGCAGAAATTATCACATTAAAATAAGTTAACTAAAAAAATGTATTTAATTTCAACATTTATATAATTTTATTTTATTTTTACTTTTGTTGTCATCTTATTAAATGATATAAATTTATAAATCACATTTAATACCATAGCTATCTTGTTCCAAATGTTTCAGTCCTCATTAGTTCTTTACGCATTCACTTTCTTTTCTTGCTGATTACTTAAAAGGTAAAAAGTTACCTGCAGTAACTTTTTAATTCATGAATATTTACTCTCAAACATGTCAACAAAATTCTATTTTTGGATCACAAAATGACGTGGCCATGCTTACCTTATTTAAAAGGAAAATTAGCATAAAATGTTAGCGTATCACACAATATTTTGGGTCACATGTTCAATATTGCTGGCATACTTGGCTAGATCATTACCACTACACCAGTCTCCGTGGTGTAGTGGTAAGACACTCGCCTGGCGTTCCGCGAGCGCTATGTCATGGGTTCGTATCCTGGCCGGGGAGGATTTACTGGGCGCAATTCCTTAACTGTAGCCTCTGTTTAACTCAACAGTAAAATGTGTACTTGGTTGTAACAAGGATTCTTCGTGGCGGGGATCGTATTCCAGGGACCTGCCCGAAACGCTACGCGTACTAGTGGCTCTACAACCATGTAACAACTCTTGTATATATCTCAAAAAAAAAAAAAAAAAAAAAAAATGGTTTTGCATTCATGTATATTAAAAGAAAATGAGTTATTATGCTGATAAGTATTGAAAAATGAAGTGAATTTCTTGTCTGTTATTTACCTCAGCATAGAAAATAGCTTGCTTGTGTCTGTACTTTATGATTTTTTTTTTATACGATTGGCTTGTCTTGAACATAAACATGTCAAGCAGGTGGTATCCATCTTAGTTTTGACATTTTTTGTTGGAATTATTAAGCATGCATAGTTCAAAAGAATAAATAATTATTAATGAAATCATTTCAATTATTGTAATTTAAGGTTTAATTTACTAAACTTGTTTGTCTCCAGTAGTGTATAATAGGTTGATCTCTCTCTTGTGACAGCACCATGCCTAAAATGTATACACAATGAAAGATTTTAAGTCTTTTTCTTGACCTGTTACATAGCATTTTCTTAATCTCATTTTAAAACAAACAGAAATATTGGTCAAAGTTAAATGAATTTTAAAGGTTAAAATTGAACATAAAGGTTAAATGAATTTAATGCCATTTGTATAAGCTCTTCTGGCCAAAGGACAGGAAGAAAAAAATGTGTATGTTGGGGGGGGGGGGGAGGATCCTCAGTGTGGTGGTCTGAATTTGTATGCTTTGGAACATAAACCTGGCAAGGTACCATAGGGAAAATAGGTGGTGTGTTATTCCACAACTTGTATATGTAACGAACATTAGAAATTTTCTGCAACCAAAGTACAGTAATAGATATGCAACATGATCTCATTTTAGAAATTACAGTAATGGTATGCCAGTTAAAAAAAAAGGGGGGCTACCTTACCTTGAGGTACTTCCGGGGCTTAGCGTCCCCACAGCCCGGTCGTCGACCAGGCAGCTGCTCGCAGCCTGACGTATGAGTCACAGCCTGATTGATCAGGTATCCTTTGGAGGTGCTAAATTTAACTTTTAACAGATGCAGCTGTTTGTGTCTTCCTTCTCATATTTTCTATAGAAAACTGGTTTGTCACCAATATAAAACAGGCTTCTTAAATCTAGTAAAGCCGTGCTGAAAGCTTGTTGTCCCTCACCCTTCCTTTAACACTATTATTGTCACTTTTATGGCTGGGCTGAAGTCTACTGATTATGACAACTTTGTAATTTGTTTCTGGGCATAGCCGTGTGCTGCCTAGCTCTAGATAAGAATGCACTACTGTATTTCTACAATGGAGCTACAGTATACGCACTAATGTTCGTTTGGTCGACTGTGCTTTCATGGTACTGTAGTCTTTTAGCCTACTTTACATCCCATGATCAGCATCCAACATCGGCCATTTCTTAGTAGATATAAAACTATCCTCTTTAGCAGTTTCCAACCATATTGATACTAGCTCTTTATCATCTTGCAGAAACCACCACAGAAGATGTCTTTCGTGCTTGTCCACTTAAAAGCAAATTCCTTACTCGGATTTCTATCGTCATTCATATACGACTTGTTCCTATGGCGTTTCTCGTGTCAACATATGTGAAAAGCATCTTTGGCTAAATTATGTCCTAGCCCCTAAATTATGATATACTGTAGTGCAAATGTCAAACTTCTTAATTTTACCCTGGAGGGGTAAAATGTCAGGCTGCGTTAACTGGGCAGTGTCACTCATCCTGTGCATGAACATACCACCATAGCAGCATATACAACACCAAGAAGTTGGATGAAAACCAGTTGTTCTAAGAGGTAGTTGGGATGTAACTGAAGTGAACAAAGTGTCAAACAAGGGATCAACATCCATCAACCCTCAAGTTTAAATTATCTTGCAGGTACACAGTGGGAAAACCTTTTAAAGGTGGCATCTACATCTGACAAATTTCTTTCCTGATTTAAGCAATGTGGGGATTATTATGCTATATTTCTTACGACTTGGATTGGCACAACCTCTTCACTGCTCACTTGTTTCAATCGTGAATCTTCATATTTGCGTGTATTTACATACATACATTATTATAAATAAAACACACACACATATATATAATGAATGAATGAATGAATGCCATATCCTCTTAGCCTGAAGTGAGGGAGGTTGGGAAGTATTTGAAGCATATAGAAAGTATATAATAAGTTTAACATCCAACAAAAACAGAATTCTGCGCACACATTATATTAATGAGATGTATGCATGTACACCTCATTTATAATTATCAAAGTATGGCACCAAGCTAGGATAATGATTATATTTTGTTAATTGAAAAACTTGAGTGGTATTAATTATATCCATATTTCTATCTACTTTTATTTTCAAAAAGTGACAGCAGACAAATGTCGGGATGCCGACACATTGAAGAAACTTGAAATAAATACTGTACCATCAAAAGATATATAAAATAAATTTCTTATTCTATCTTTTTTTTTTAACAAAATTAGGTTTGATAAACAAAGCTAAAAAATGTTTACAAAGATACATTGAATGAGACACTGGGTTAATGGATAGAAATTGAAGGAGATCTGTCGGTCTGTGCTAAAACTATATACTAAAAAAAATCTACTTTTGTTCAGGAATATTTAAATTCTAAAAAAAAAAAAAAAAAAAAAAAAAAAAAAAAATTAAAAAATCTAATTATTTTTTTGTAAATTACTATACATATTTGTTAAAAATACCATTAAACTACTACAGTTCAGAATTCTTCGGCAATATTTTATCAATCAATGATTAGAAAAATACTAATGTATCTAATTAATGAAAAACAAATTAAATAAGTGGCAATGTTACAAGCATTACCAACCCTTTGTACTTGCAAAAATGCTATTATCGCACACATCAAATTTTAACTCCCATTAAGCCTAATACAAAGGCATTCCAAGGGTATAAAACAAAATAAAAAATAGTTATAAAATTTTCTGATGTAAGTAAACAAAATATAAATAGACTCCTAAAATGTATGTATGACCATTGTTCTTAAAATATTTTGTCAGTATCATTACTGTACTGAACCTCAAAATTTGAGGAGCACTGCCATTCATACAAAGTTTCTTGCAACCCAATTATCTTTGCTTTGTTTTACTAGTAATCATCGTCGGAATCTTCATCACTGAGTGTATACGTAACTACTTTCTTTTGACGACCAGGTCTTTCTCGAGGCGCAACATCAATAGCATACGAATCTGTACTGCCGACAACCTTGCCTTTGGACTGAAAAGACAAATATTTGATTTCATACAGCTGTTAAACACAGTATACAAAATTAAGAGCACATTAAAATAAAATATTCAAAGATTTTAAACATAAGAAGAGGTTAGGACATGAAAGGGCACAATGTTCAAATAATGACATGCAAATAAAAAGTTTAATCAAATTACTATTGTCAACACACCTTTGTGGGAAAATCGTCAAACATGTCATCAGAATCGGAATTAGCTTTTTTCTTCGGTGCTGCAGTCTTTTTGGGGCCGGATTTTTTCTTAGGTTTTGGTTCATCATCGTCAGATATATCCATTGAAGGTTTTGCTGTAGCCGCCTTCTTCGGAACAGGTTTCTTCTTGGGCTTGGGAATATCATCCTCATCATCAGAATTATCGAGTGATAAGACTGCGGTAGCCTTTTTCTTGGGCGCTGGTTTCTTCTTCACTTGAGGCTCATCCTCGTCACTGCTATCGTCACTCACATGTCTCTTCTTAGGTGGGGCTTGCTTCACTGTAGAAGAAAACGGTGCACGTTTGTGTTAGTTATAAATTATCCTTTTAACCATTCTGCTATGGCACTTCAATATTCTGATTCCCACTAGTATATAAGAATAAACAAAAACTATTGCATTTCTGTGAAAACAAAAAAAAAATCCACTTTCCACATGTAGTGTATCATTAACCTGAAAAAATTAGTTAAATAGATGGGAACAAAATATATAGGAACATGCTAGTAGTTAATTAGTAGAGAAATTTTTATTATATAAAGCCTCTATTAATGCACAGCATACAAAACACTACTTTCTGAAGCATCCCTCAGTTGCTCCCTTAGTTGTGGCCATAAGTCCACTCAAATCACTGCTATCATGTCAAGCTCAAGCTTGACATGGTAGCAGTGATACACCTCTAAAGGATACCTGATCAACCAGGCTGTGATTCAAATGTCAGGCTGCGAGCAGCCGCAGCCAACAGTCTGGTTGAGGACCGAGCCACGGGGACGTTGAGCCCTGAAATCCTCACAAGGTAGAACATGGTAGATCTGGGAAGATCATGTTTTATGGTGCTATGGTTAAAGTATTGTATTTAGCCAGACGTGCTGCCAGCCAGTACCAAAATCAGTCATGGAGGTCAATGTGTGATCCTTGCATTCTGGTGACCCCTAACCAGCCTATGTCAGTCCCATACCCCATATCAGAATCTGTGCAATACCATTTCCCCAGTCCTGCAACTGATACTGTACATCAATTGCAGCAAGCCTCACTTCAAGGGGTAAAGCTATATTATCCACTGGTTAAAGCTAATGTGAAAAAATATTTAGCTAATATATATATGGCTTAAGAAAGGCTAATTAACTTACTGACAGGCTCTGCTTTTGGTGGACTTGGTGATCCTGAAATCATGGAGTCAAAGAGATCTGAGGCTGTTGGTTTTTCTGTAAGAATAATTTAAAATAAGCATGAAGAAAATTGGATAAGAAAATCCATCATCGTAAAATTCAACATGCCTGTGATTTGAGAAATATGCTATAAGGGTTAAGACATTAGAGCCTAGTATATCCTCTCAACACCAGTCAAAGTTACCATTTTTTTTTTTAAGCACATTAGGCACAGCTTATCAGGAGACACCCCAAAGATCACCTTGGCCAACCACTCCCATCACTCAAGACAATAATTGCTCAGCTTGTGTGTATTTTTAAAATTCTTTGCAAATTATCAGACAGAAGAATACGAATGTTTTCTCCTCCTTACTTGGAGAGACCAACCCGTCCTCATGTTATGGTAGTACTGTACTTATAGTAATAATGAGGACCACAGTATATATTCATGTACATATATACACCGACGTACGACGAAATTAGAAGGTAGAAACCTGAGCTACTGAGTTGGACAAACTGGAAAACTAGTTTTTACTTGTGTTGCTTTGACAAACTAAACTAACCTAATCTTCCTAGGCCTAATACATGGTATCTGAGGCCTAATATAGTACATATGTATGCTATATTAGGCCTAGGAATATTTAGCATTTTAGCTTCATTTATTTTAAAAGAATTCTTTACTAGTCAGTATACCACTATCTAAAAGCTAAGTACGTACAAATTCGTGACTATTGACGACCGTCACAATAGGTACTATCTAAACCGGAGGACGGGTTGGAATGATTGAATGTGCACATAGCCATATTTTTTATTAATGAAAAATAAACGAGGAATGGTGAAATGGATGTTAATATTTGTATATTCAGTGCAATCATACAATCTATTATCAATAAAACCTTTTGTTTTACACCTATACTCTAGAAATATTCTTCTGCAAACATTTTGACACCAAATTTAGTTACAGCCCAAAAAATAAATAAAAGAAAACACAAGAGACTATACTGTAAACATTAAATGCATCACTGAGTTGGATTATGAGAGGTCCAGAACATTTAGTTGGGGACATGGTGGCCTCATTAATATGTTGAGCTGCTAAAAGGCAAATTCAATTTTTATATTTTAATGAAAAACATACAAAAGTATTTATTCCTTCAGTTGGAATATACTGTATTTCAATACTGCACTGTAAAGTACAATACAGTATTCCAATTTGAGTGATAAAGATAGTTTTACACAAAGTAATAATCATATAAGTTGGTTAAATTTTACTAATTTCGATGAAAAAAAATAATGCAAAAATTTACAAAAAAATCTACTATTTTCATAAGCACACCATAAGAACTTCAGGTGCCTGAGGGGGTTCCACCCCTTATGGTTTGAATCAGGAAGGGATTACCGGTTGACCAAATCATCACGCAGACGGCCTGGCCAAAACCGGGCAACATGGATGTTGATCCTCGGAACCAACAAGTAATCAACATTTTTGAGTGGCATCAAATATGTTCATGATGAGGTGGACATCTACACACACTCACACTATTAATGCTTCCAAGATGAAACCAATAATCTGTTTTCCTATATATCAAGCAAATAACATTTAGTTTGCATTTTTTTTTTTAATACTTGTGTTGAATCAAATATGATTTTATACTTTATTTCCCCGTAATGTTCATATGATTATAACTGTTTAAGAACAGCCAAACTAGAACCAAGAATTAAAAAAAGGGGTACCCATACATTGGAGACTTTATCCATGGTTTGAACATGGCTGCCAGTCAAATTAAGACTGTTTAAAAAGCAAAACAAAAAAATCTTTGATTTCAGAAGATAACGATTTTATAGCAGACTTACGTATCAACCAGCCAAAGGATTAATCTACATGACGACAAAGAAAACTAATATTATCCGAGTAAGCTCACCTGTAGTTACTTGAGAAACTTTCATCTTTTTCTTTGGTTTCTCCTCAAATTCAGAGTCGGTGTCAGTGACAGATTCTGCTTTAGGTTCATCATTAGCTTTTCTGTGAAATATAAGTGCTATTAGACAATTTCATTTATATTTTAAACCAATACAAATATTTATGTACTACAACAGTCTCAATCATCCAAATTAGCAATAAAAAAAACCATCTCAAATTTTTTCTATGGCAACATGAAGCACCAATTATGGTCACTAACCATTAGTTCCTATTGCTAAACACTACAATAAACATGATTTACATCCAACTAAACAAAGTATAACTTATGCTTATAACTTACTAAAGATATAAAATCTATCTTTATTGTTATCAAGACATTTATAAAGGCCACCTCTGTAGTGGTCCAATAAAAAGTGTTATGTATTCCTTACACCTTTTAAGCTTCAGCTATCTGAAGGTTTTTGCTGGATAATGCACCAAAACTGACAGCTATACCTCTGCACATACAGTATATACATATTTTCTTCCACTCAGAAAGGTTAGCAGAACATTTTCTATGAATATTTATAAAATCTTCTGTTACTTACTGAACTGAATCTTCCATTATTGAATTGCTAGCAACCACATCAGGCTCCTCTATACCAACATTGTCATGAAGTGATGCTTCGCTGTCACTCGCTTCCTCATCACTGAAGTTGAACTTAATGTTGGTTGCTGCAATAGAGCAATTGATACAGTCATTGCTTAATTGTAAAATTTCGTAGGGTGAGAAGGTATCAGCCTTGAGAATATAGAAGAGTTGAACACCATTAGGTAATTCAATGGCATTCCTAATTAACTGTAGTTTATGTTTAAAAGAGAAAGAGTGGCAGTCGAGGCCAAAACCACCAGCTTTTACAATCGTTTTTGCCTGCATCTGGCAAAAACAATAAGGCTCTCTTTAAAACATTAATTAGATTCTTAAGATAAAAGTAAATAAGAAAAATGATATGATATCCCTATAGAAATATCCAACACCTCACCTGCAGTTCGGCGACCAGAAGCACGTTCTCTAGGCTGGACTTCAACAGACACATCACTATCAATGTCACCAGATCCATCTTCACTATCTGATTCCCATGGATTTTTACCCTTCTTTTTAGGAGACGACTGAAAAAAAGAGTTCTTCGATTAATGACATGTATGAAACGAAACAAACAAGTATATACATACGGTCTAAGCTCACTCATCTGATATATAGGAAAGGACTCCTGGCTGGATAATTCAGACAAGCACAATGTTTAGAGGGAAAGTCCAAAAGTGAACATATTCAAAAAATTTTGTACCACTACCAACACAATTTGAATTTCCACATGCACGATAATAAAAAAAAAAAAATATACCAGTATAGTTTTTTTTTATCTGACCAGGCCGTGAGAACCTTGACCCCCCGAAATCAATGCCAGATAAGATACAGTACTGTAATTTAAAACAAACTTCAGCTGACCTTGTTGTAGTTCATCATAAGTGATGCTGCATATAGAACTGTTCAGTATGTTTATTTTAAAATAAATAATTCTTGAAAATTTACATAACACAATAAAATTAATGTACAGTATATGAGAGTACAGGTACAGTGCTAGCTCCTATACCAAATTCCTTGGTAATACTCACAGCCGACCGGCCATTTTCACAAAGTTCTGTAATGTGTAACTTAGCACAACCTTCTTCCTCTTAACATCTCCAGAACAATTGCTGCTGCTGCTGCTAGCAGACAGTCATGGCAAAAAATGATCAGTTACTATGAAAACAAAAAGGTTATCCAAGATAATGTTTCACTAATAGTTCGGCACTGTGGTATAACGTGAGGGGTCCAGAGCACATGGCCCATTTAGCTTGACCAGGCTCGATCGCCCACTTGGGGCTAGGCAGGCATGTTACATAGGCTGCCAGCCGGAAAAGAAATCCCCAAATTTTAGCATGAAACTAGTCTTCAGCCTGTTCATAAAGTTTGTTATAATATTAGGCAATATTTTTTTTTAGCTTTTACTATAATGAATTGTTCTAACATAATTCTTGGTATACAATAAAGATCATAGGCTCTTCATTCCCCAGACAGTCCCTCCCGACCCTCCTCTCCCTCCCAACACCTCTTACCCCAAAACCAGCCATCCCAACACATTCCATATTCAGTGCCTCAAGCCACTGCTGTACGGGATTAATACAGTATGGCACAATGCCTGTCTGCGGTATCCAGCAAAATCTCTGGTTATCCTAAATTGCTATTTGGATACAGTGAAGTTTTTCCAGAAAAATATCTGGCCACAAAAATTGCCGGATAACCCAAATCTTCAGATCAGCGAGCTCATATAGTATTGTATATATATAAACAGACATATACTGAACATGTATACATAGATATATACTGTATATATACATGCATATATTGTTGTTAATTTTATTACTACAGTACCCGTAAGCTATATGTTAGTCAATTTAAATTAAAAACAAAACAAAAAAAATCTTAAGCTACTGAAAGCTGAATTCCAATACAAACTGTTTAAATTAGTTACAGCTAAAGCACCTGAGACGAAATATAATATTTAAATGTTTAAATTTTTACTTACACGTAGTCACAAATAGAGAATACCACAAAAAGCTTTATCAAATACACAAACCTTTTTAAAGTTGAGTTTAGTCTGCTTCATCCCATCCACACTTTTCTTTGATTTCGCTTTCTTTATAATTGCATCAGGGGAGTTCCCAAGACGGGCAGCCAGAGATTTGCCCGTGTTTGCAGTGACTAATTCGTCAAAATCATCGCTCTCCATGGATTCTTTCTTAGGCTGAAAGGGAGAATGAAACCATGTTTAAGGACGAGGGACAAATGATACAAGTCTTTAGTTCAAGTTGAAAAATAATCTCTTAGTTTGCTTCAACCAATTTAGAGTTGTCTTGACCCTTGCTTCCTTGATAATCTTGCTAGTGAAGTTGACTATCATCTTTGTCAACAACTTCTATTCCATTGTTAGGAAATGGAAACAAATTAATGTGTATAAGAAAAGCATAAATAGAAAGATCAACTGGGCTAGATTCAGGAAGCAGTTACGCAAGCACTTACGAGCCTGTACATCTTTTCTCAATCTTTGGCAGCTTTGTTTACAATAATTAAATAGTTAATGAGCTCCAAGGCACCAGGAGGCTGTTTATAACAATAACCACAGTTGATTGGGAAGTTTTCACACTTGTAAACTGTTTAATAAATGTAACCAAAGCCGTCAAAGTTTGAGGAAAGATGTACACGATCGTAAGTACTTGCGTAACTGCTTTGTGAATCTAGTCCCTGGACTCTTAGTGGTTTTCTTTACAGATGATAAATGAGGAACAATAACAAAACAAAATTACTTTAAGCTTGTATATGATCCAACAGTGTTGAGGATCAATGGACTACTTGCAGATTTTTTTTTAAACACAGAGACTACATAGGCTGAAACATCCCTAGAAAGACCCTGTTCAAGTACAATCACTGTCAATCAAAATTAATTAAGGCATCAATTAGGTTCCAGGGAAGGTGGTCTAACTGGATGTAAACAAAGCAGCCACAGATTTGAGAAAAGATGTACAGGTTCGTAAGTAGATGCGCAAATGCTTCTTAAATCCTGGCCTAGATGCTCAGGGCTAATCTCACCCAACTTTCCAACATGAAACAGGGAAAGTATTGGCGTACCATAGGCCAGTTAAGGTCAGCCATAGTGCCACTTTTTAAATTATCAGCATCTATAACAATTCCTCTGCAATTTTCATGAAATCTTAAACCAATGACGTATTTTCCACAGAGATTTGGTGGTTATTCCCACCATTTACCCACATATTTTTATTCTTTACTAGAAAATTATTTTGAATTCATTCAGGTTACAGTTTTACTTTCTCAGAGAGACAAAGAGATAATAGTGGAGAGGGGAAGGAGGAAGGGAAGAAGAGGAAGGAGAAATGTGGAGATGGAGAAGATTGGGAGATAGAGCAGAGAGAGAGAGGCCGAGGGAGACCCGGGCACTGCCGGGTACCCCCACGTAGTATTACACATGTTAAACAGATTACTTGCAAATTTGTTCTATGACATTACCTTTCTTCCTCCTCTCTCCTTAGCAGCAGCTGCCTTCTCCAGCTTCTTCTTTATTTCTGCATCAACCTGTGGCACTACTCTCTCTCCAAACGCCGAGGGCACGGTCTCCACTTGAATCTGAGTAGATGAACATTCACCACTATCAATACAAGGCAAAACACATACAATCTTAAACACTACAGTCACTCTGATGATCCGGCACTGCCACTTCTGCACACAGTCATTACTTTATTTATTTATTAGTGTGCTCAACTTGTCACCCAATTCTCAGTTTCACTTTTTTCCATATACTTCATATCCCCCAATTGCTCTTATATTATACTTGTATTATATTTTATTTGATATCTCATCACATTTTACATTTGTAGCCTTTTTTGTATAATAATATTAGGCATTTTAATCAGTTAATAAGCACATCTTATTTCTACCTCTCTAACATTACTACATGTGACTGCTTAAGTGTTTATTGAACCATAAATTTTTGTTTGTTGTAAATCATATTTATAATTGACAAGAAATTATATTTGTGTTAAAACTACAATTTAGTAGAAAGAGGGTTTATCAACTTATGCTGAAAATTTCAGCAATAAAACTAATTCTTCATATAATTTTACGTTAATTTCTCTACAGTAAAACAAAAAACATTAACACATGTTCTATAAAATAATAAGAGAGCCTATGTATATGACCATTTATCATATCTGTTGACATAAATCGGTAATCATGAAAATTCCTATCTTTGCTACACCTAAGATGAGCTTATCAATGTTACTCGACTCTTAAAACATTTAAAATATCAATATATACAAACAGCAAATAAAATACCACTAAAACATCAAGCTATTTCTACTTCTAAAGACTAATTGAAATAAGTTTATTGAGGTAAAATACACACAAAGGGATGAGGTAGCTCAAGCTATTCTCACCCCGTTCATAGCTTGAGCTACCTCATCCCTTTGTGTGTATTTTACCTCAATAATTTTTATACTAAATACTATAGTTTATACTAAAGAGTATAAACAAACATTCTGCTTCTAAATTATGAACTTGAGAAACATTGCATACTTTCTTTAACACTTTCTCTGTTCCTATATAGGAGAGTCACTTCTCAAGGAAGACAAAACTACTTCTCCACAACAAGTTTGTAAAGCAACAGAACGTGGATAAACAGCCTCTACATTTATTATGAAAAGAAAGATAACACTGAACAAAATCTATTTGTACCCTCTTTTCCAGGTATAGAAATAACAATTTAACACTAATTAGTTCAAAGCATTTTTTACATGCAAACTCTACACTGCTAGGTACAACTATGTTGAATAAAACTGATCAATACATTACTCTACTCCTAAGTCATTCTCACTGAAAACAAATGCAGAGCCATGCAAGTCATGAGGAGAGATTATCTTACCGACTCAACACCACCTCTCTTCGTGGCAGTAACAAAAGAAATATGGATGAGAATTTACCTAACTAGAGATCAATGAACACTGTCAATATCCCTATAAATACACAAATTAACAGCACAAATCATAACATCTAAATAGTAACAATAATTTCTTTTGCATTACCAAACCAACAATATTTTTACATTGAACTTACTGTCAAGGTCTAGCACCTAATGACAACTTGAAAAATATACCAGTAGTTCAATAACATGAGAACTATCAAGATTTAGGCAGCCCCAGGTTGACAGATGCCACAATGCAAACCAGGATGGACAAAAGACAAAGTGCAATGACAAGCAGGCATGTAAGGAGTCCAGGAGGTACAAGAGCACTGGAAATGTAAGGAGTCCAGGAGGTACACGAGCACTGGAAATGTAAGGAGTCCAGGAGGTACACGCGCACTGGAAATGTAAGGAGTCCAGGAGGTACACGAGCACTGGAAATGTAACAAGTGTAGCATGGTGCAAAGAATATTGTAGTGCAGGCAATGAGTCACAATAACGTGGCTAAAGTATGTTGACCAGACCACACACTAGAAGGTGAAGGGACGACGACGTTTTGGTCCGTCCTGGACCATTCTCAAGTCTATTGTGATCGACATGAGAATGGTCCAGGACGGACCGAAACGTCGTCGTCCCTTCACCTTCTAGTGTGTGGTCTGGTCAATATTGTGGTGTAATAAGATGTATTGTCATTGCATTGAATGTAATGACAATGAAATGCTCGACTTTGAAATTCAAACTGGTGCATTTATATATATTTCAAGGTATGAGTTCCGAGTTGTATTTTTCACTCGAAGTTGTGAATTGAGGTTTGAAGGTTTTTGAATAATGGATTTGGTAAAGAGAAAGGGAGGTGGAGATGTAAGATGGGATGTGGATAATTAAAAGTTAAAAGAAGGATGGTCAAATTTGGTGGTCCATCCAATATTACTGTAAATTGCTGCCAATACTGATGTGCATTAGATATTCAGTTAGCTGGTCGGTGCTTGTTCCAAATGGCTCAAGAAGAATCCATGTTGGAGCAGTGTAGACCAATGCTGGTGGCCTTCTCAAAGGGGTAGCCAATGCTGGTGGCCATCTTCAAGGTAAGGTAACCACCATACTATCACTGGGCCTCATCATGAAAGGACTGCCAAGGAAGTCTTACAACCATCAAACTTGCCTATGGCCCCTGAGGAGTCGTTAGGTACAGACAACAACTGGCACAGGTTCAGGAAAGGTCAATTTTTCTGCACAAAATCATTACAGAATTCTATAACCCGGCAAAAAATCAATCAAGACAGAAAGGGGTTCAGACTGCATGTCTGAAGAGTGACAGTACCATAAGACACTCATGGTACTGTCACTCAATAATCAAAGAGTGACAATACCACGAGACACTTGATGAATAAGTTATAGAAGTAGGTAGGAATGAATGAATATATGGCTCCAAAAAATAATTATTACTTACTTTTTTACCCTTTTTGGTGGCTGTAGAACCTTTCTTTGTTGACTTCTCATCTTCAACTTCCAATTTCTCAACACTATCCAACTGAGAATAAAAAATTCACATAAGACTAATTATAAAACTGTAACACACACACTTGCCCAAATAGCAGCTACCCTAACATTTATCTTGTAAGTTTGAGGATAAAAGGTTCAAATTGTGAAAGATTGGTTATATGTAACATAATAACATGAATGGATTTCTTTTAATGCTGCTTACTTCTTCCATAAACTTGTCAAGATCGGCATTCCATAAATCATCTGGAGACTTGTTCTTCAATACTGTCACCTCTTGCGTTTTCTCGTCTCTCTTCTTCAAAAGTTCATCTTTCTTCTCTTTTGTGAGGTTCCACATAGCCATTCCCAGCAAATATTCGTAGTCAGGACCAGTAGTGGTTTCTTCCTCCTCATCATCAGAAGTTTCCTTATCTTCTTCCTGAATTTAATACATGTGATTAGTGGTTTTATAACAAATATACAGGCCTACTATGCAAACATTGTAACCACATCCTCTGAAATATTGGGTATAAATAAAGTAATTTTAATTATTATCTAGATTATAATTCTTTTACTTCAATATACAGTACCTGGTTATCGCCGCTAATGCTTCAAAAGTTAGATACACTATACACAGTATCTATCTATCTATCATCTTCCAAATCAATACTGTATAAACATATATAATTAAAATGAGAAAGATTGAACTGGGTCAGCATTCATCGAGATACACACACTTACTGGTGTACTAAGCTCAGGATACAATGATTACAAGGCTGGTATAATCAGTACAGGCAGGCACAAGCACAGGTGTAATGAGTATAGATTGCCATAATCAGTACAGGTTCATGTAATGAGTGCAGACTGGTGGTGTCCAAGGGCAGAAAATGTGCGTCTTGCAGTGACTGTACACGTGCTGCACTTACCTCTGTCTATGGGAGGAGAGGTCTAGATATACGGTGCAGTATCGCCTCATTTTGTAGCAATTGTATGTTACGATAGTGGTATGTTAGAAGCCTCGAACGATTCGGCACATTAGCATTAGATACATAGTCCACATTAAAATGACGAGTGTCGTTCGGAGGGTCCAGTTGTTAAATGGTTTCTCGGGACGCACTTTTTTGGTGCTGGGCTCGGACGTCCACCTCCAAGGGGGCTCGTGCAGCCCAAGCTCTCCTTCAGGAGGCTGGGGTTGTTCTTGCCCTTGCTGGGGTGGTTGTTCTTTGGCCCTGGCCATGCGGTCTCCGGATTTGGAGTCCCTGTGCCTTCTTTTACCAACTTCAAGGTAACCTCCGGAGCTGGAGCCCCTAGGGCAGTTCGGTATTACCTTCAACTTCTTTCTGTTAGTACCTGCGACGGCGCTGAAAACATTTGTATTGGCGTTTGCCTTTCCACTAGAGACTTTCGGTGCCGTGGAGATGGAGGACCTGCTGCATGGGTGACAGCTTCTCCCCCGTATCAACCTACCCTGGCTTTGCGCCCTGGAGAGGCCATTACAGACCAACAACCAGAGCACAACTCCATAGTCTCCTGAGACTAATGGATGCCTACTACTCCTAGTAGAAGCCTAGGTTGTGGTGGTCAGATGTACTGAAATGTGATCATTGCACATGGGTATGTTGTGGTTCTAAGGGTGGGGTGACGATTTTTTGCTTCACTCTAGAATTCAAGAATCACAGGCGAGTCCCCACGTTGCTTTCTGCATTTTTGTGGCACCTTTGAGTTTCTTGTCTTTTCCCTACTGTATGTGTTGGATTCAACATCAAACATTTTAGCAAAGTCATTCTCCTCTTGAGTCAGTGTTGTTTGATTATGCTTTATATATAGTCCATTTTTTATTTTCAGTTTTCACAATAGTGCATAAACGGGAATGTTTCTTCAATAAAAATCATGTTGACTTCTGTGGCCCATTGAAAGACCTGATTTACATCAATTTGTAGATGAGATGTTTCCACTGCAAATGATAACTTAATACTGCAGTTTGTGTCCTTGGCAATGTCAGATACGAGAGTAATTGGGAAAGCACAGTATCGTGGGGAACTGTGCTTTCATGGTAGATGATGGTTCAGACTACGTAAAAATGTACCTAATGTGTTCATGGTTCAGTTTTAACTTTAATTACCCTTTGGGTTCTTTTTGTCAGGAAATTAAAGATCCGTCGTTCCACTTTGCCAGCTCTTTCTTTCGTGCGCATTTTGTGTGCAATTACACCATGGTCACAACTCTCAAATGCTATCGCAAAGTCTATATACTACATTGTATATTCTTTATCTTCCATAGCATTTAAGGCAAAGTCATAATGGTCTAGCAATAATGAAAGGCAAGTTTCACTATGAAAATCAATTTTCAAATTATGAAAAATATTAAATAAGATTTTACGAGATTCTTATCATTTTAGTTCAATCACTTCTATTCCCCTACCATGCTTAGTTCTGTGTTTGGCTTTCATCTCTAAACAATCATTAAACAGAAGACTGTCATAACATGAGGAACTATCAACCCAAACATGTTACTTCAAAATAATAAATGTGAGACCAAATTTTGGTATTTTCCTTCATTTACCTTAATGTTTTCCCTGAATCCTAAACAAACAAACAAAAAAAGTAAAATTATGGTGTGACTACTCAAATTTCACAAAATTATATCAACATTTTTTTTAATTCTATATATCCAAATGTATAAACTGATAATATATTTTAATATTTTTAAAAATAATTTTGAAACAACTTGGAAAACATTTTACAATTACTTATTACCCAGTAATTATTAAAATAAAAAATTAAATCTACACAAATCTTGACACTTACCATAGCAGCCTCTCGATCTTGGACTTTCTTCCATGCCTTTACGGGATCAGAGTCATAGCCCTTCCGCTGGAGTTCAGCAATCATGTCCAACTTCTTCTTGTTTTCAATAACTAGACGACCATCACACTTTTCCATAATAAATCGTGCCTAATGAAAGAAGAATCACCAATTAAAACTAACAGAACAAACAGTGTGCATGTTCTTGCTGACCTGTCTTGTGGGAAGGTAGAACAGCAAGTACAGTATAACATACAGTACAATGTTGACCAGACCACACACTAGAAGGTGAAGGGACGACGACGTTTGGGTCCGTCCTGGACCATTCTCAAGTCGATTGTGATGAGGAAGTAGAGACAGGCAATAAATAGGCACGAGAGAGAAGAGGAGCAAAGTAAGGTGTAGTAGTTTTGTTTTGCTCCTCTTCTCTCTCGTGCCTATTTATTGCCTGTCTCTACTTTCTCATCACAATCGACTTGAGAATGGTCCAGGACGGACCGAAACGTCGTCGTCCCTTAACATTCTAGTGTGGTCTGGTCAACATACTTTAGCCACGTTATTATGACTCATCGCCTGCATACAGTACAATACTTGGTAGCACAACACATTTTGAAGACATGATGGAATTTTTTAGACAATGCAAGTAACCTTTCTTTGCCACTAAGACATGTAACAATTAAGTTTGAAACCCAAGGAACTCACCTGATTGGTTAATTTGGCTGCTTCAGCTTCAAGCATACCTAATAGGTAAGCCTTTCTCTTGACGTAATACTTTAGACGCAACTCAAAGAATTCTTGCATTATTTGGTCAACATTATCGTATCTTCGCAAGACACCGTTATGATCAAAGAGCACCTGAAAGTGAAAATGTAATTGCTGATAAATATCTTGATTAATTCTCCAGATTAAGGGGAAAAATTTAAAAAGTAATAAAAACAGTGAAAATGTTTGTACAGTACTGTATAGAAGAGCCATTCAACTGTTACCTCTCCAATTATGTCGAAGTTGGACTTGGGTCAGATTGCTACTACAGTATTATTTTTCTAACACTTCTTTGTCTACCTTGTCACTCAATTTATACATATTGGCCATTTGCCCTCTGATAATTCTTTATTCTTATAGTTGCTAGGTTAAAGATTCTTTATATTTAGGGAGTTTAGTTACATTTTATTCTGGCAGTAACCTTCCTTAATACATCTTTAATTTTTCAGATTTCTTATTTTACCTATAATTTACATGTAGTCAAGTTTAAATTTTTCAAATTACAAAACTTTCAAATTTCAAAATTTGAAAGTCCATTTCAATGTTTTTTTTTTTTTGAGGCACTGATTTGGGTTTGCATTTTCTAGCAATTCTTCCCAGCTTATTTATGAGAGGGTTTGATTTATTAGTTGCAAGTTTAATCTCTTTATAATTACAATTATATATGCTGAATTCTCCTCCCTTTAGGATTTATTGCCCGTGCTCGTCTGAACTTCAATTAGGTTGTAATCTGAGTAACGGGTAGAGTATTTACAGGTATAATCATTTTTGTTTCCTAACCAATTTATCATTATTTGTGAAAATAAGGTCAGTGTTTTTTCTAGTTGGTTCTACCATTTCCTGGCTTAAAGCAGATCTATCGTTCATCATAGAAGGTCCTTTGTGTGTGACTTCATTTAGACTACTTGCTACGATTCTCTCAGATTCAATTACATTTGTCACATCCTTCCATGCAATGTACTGTAGGTTGGAGGCCCCAAGCAAGATAATGTTTATGGCTGGCCAGTTTATTGTTCTCTATAAAACTGAACCATGCCTTTCTAAAATCTGTTATGGGTGCTCATTATCCACTAACTTGTGTCCTTATAGCACCCCTACATGCATGTGGTCCCAACCTTGTAATCTGATCAATGCTAATTTATGTTACTGTCAACTTCACAAGTTCATAAATATATATATATTGAAAGATGTACCACCTCTGGTGCAACTGTAGGTATGCCCCTGTTACCTAGCAGTAAAATAGGTACCTGGGTGTCAGTCAGCTGTCACGGGCTGCTTCCTGGACTAAAGTGTAGTGTCCAGGTGTTTTTAGTGTCCCCACGACTGGGCCGTGGGGACACTAAAAAGCCCCGAAATCATCTCAAGATAACCCATAGCCTCGGAGAAGAGAATATGGAGTATTCAGAGAAATTATAATATATTGATCTTCAGTACCATGGTGCCCTAACCTAACCTAACCTGCCCTAACCTAACCTACACTTACCATGGAACTTGTGCTGAGAGTGGTCTGCAGCTTGAAAGCTTTATGAAATCCTTCTTCTGCTACTTTGCGGTATTTATCATCTGACATGCTTACTGTAAAGCGAACTGTTGTATCTGTATGGTACTCCTTGTAATCACTGAAATAAACAAATATCTATTAAAGTCACAATCCTAAGTATATATGAGGATAATATAAAAGAGACTGGATGATTGGATTGAAATTTTGGAGCTAGCGCTGCAACTGTGAACTCGTTCACCAGTGTGTATAAACAACTGTCGTTACAGTTGGTTTAGGATATTCACGAACACTCAATTGATCCATCGACAGCTTGTTTGCATGTTAAGATTTACTATAAAATAGGCTACCTACAAAGAAACATCCCTTGAATCTAAGGAGTGTAGTACAATAAAAAATAAAATTATTTACCTCTGGTAATAACGAATAACCATTCTATTTAGTATTCTATTTAGAAACTCCGATTGAAAAGGTAATCTAAAGCAAACTGAAAAGAGAAACACAGATATACAAGGTAAGGTCTATCACCTGTTAATATAAAACAAAAAACATTTACTATTATCCCCAGCAAACCTTGCCTCAAGATTCTGTTAACTAGACTACTCCCTCAAGCATGAATAACTTATGTGTGGGGAAATTACCCACATATACACTCGCCCCACAACAACGAGTGGGTACAGGTGACAAGGCATAAGGTGACAGGAAATATGTCCCACTATTTCTGTCCCGCTTGGAATTTGAACCCAGAATTCTAGATTGTGAATCGAGAACGAACTCAAGCATGAATACCAGGACCCTTCTTTGATACCATCCCGCTCGGCTCAGATGTTTCCCTTTACTCTATGCAGTAAACGTCCTGGAATCACTTCCCTGCCATTAATGTAATTACATCCTCCCTATCCTCAGTTTCATAATCTGCTGTTTTACTATTCTCTATATTTTACTATATTACTATGTTTGTATTGTACTATCTTCAAAACAATGGCAGGTATCCACAATATAGACCCTATACTCAGGAACTAGACCCTGTACAAAAGAACTAAGTTAGACCAAAGATGCAATAACATAAGATCTTCAGCTTTTAATTTGACATAACTTCTCACCTTATCACAGCTGGACTCTTCTCTGTCCCTGCTAGGAGAGTCTCCATGACAGTTTCCTTGTATGATTGTGTCCATACTCTGATTGGAAGTTCAGTAATTTCTACCTTATTCTGACCAATATTTGCAATCTCACCATGGATAATGTATCTTTGATGATCCAGTTCATCTATAGTGCCTCTGTAATTCTTGAACCATGGTATCTGAGAAAAAATATAAACATCTTAGCGCAGCTAACAAAGGAACTTAAAGCCAATACAAAAACAATGTCCAATACTTTTGTGCCCCCATCAGGCGGGCCACCACACACCCCAAGGTAGCTTGAGCGATGTTTATACTCATTTTAGCTTTCTTACCTCAATTTTCGTGCTACATCATTCAATTTGGTATCAAAATGATCACAATAGAATGCTCTGAAGAAATATTTAGATATATAAAAACAAATATAAGAACAACGTCACCAATACCCCTAAGATAAAGTAGAGTGGCCGCCTCACACCTAATAGTCCAGGTGTTGAAACATTGTCACTAGAAGAACTGTTGTCATCCTCGTGTTCATCACTAGCATGTATCTTCTTGTCATTTTTGTGAGGCTATTTATACTAGTGACCAAATGACTACCTTGTGGAACTGGAGGACTGCAAATTTCTTGGTATCAGTTGTGCAGCACTTGTATAACACAAAAGCATTCTGTAGAGCCATGTATAACCAACCACAGAGAATGCAAAGACGTCGGTGTGCATTTTAAAACAAACCGCTTAATAATTGGACAAAAAATGGAATTTTTACAAATTTTAATTTGGATGGCATCGCCGTTCTCCGGATAACTAAGTGTACTGATTTTAGGATGTCAATACCATTATTAGGAAGATATAGTGTTAAATTAATAGGGATAACAAATAATAGAAAAGGAGCTTCGGATGCTTACCATTTTGGAAGGAGTTTCACCACGAATCATTTTCTTAAGGTTTTCCACAATTTCTCGTGGGTTGTAATTCGGAATCTTGGTGCTCCAGCCAGTGCCAATACCATCTGCACCATTGACCAACACCATTGGAAGGATAGGCAAGTACCACTCGGGTTCAATTCGCTGACTGTCATCATAGTTATTCTTCAACAGTGGATCGTCATGTGGATGAAAGATGAGTCTTGCAAGAGGGCTGAAAGAAACAGTTTATTTAACAGAATGAGTAGGAACAAGTTAGAGAGGCATGAAAAGAGGGAAAGAGGGGATGAGAGGGCTATCAGGTGAAAGGGAAAGGGACATTAATGAGAATAAGAGAGGATATTAAGAAGAAATGAGGGAATGAGGACAGAGGAAGTGAAAAGAAAGAGGTAGTGGGTAAAGGGGGGATTAGCTTCGAGGAGCATGCTGTCATTGGGATCTGTTATTTGCACTTCAGCTAAAAAGTCTTATGAAAAGGTTCAGAATGAGGCCTATATATATGCAACAAAAAAGTGCAAATCGTGTGATATTCACATGCAAAAATCCAAAGATATTAAGAATGAAAAGAGAGAGATATTAAGACAAGATAAGCGAGCTATTCTCCAAGATGTGACATGACTAATAACAGGTAATCTGATGCTAACTTAAAATGCAGAAATATAAAGGAACATTTAAAATGTATCCTCAATATTTGTCCGACATATTTGATGTCATATTGACAAATGTGACACTTGCCACTGCCTTTTTTGGGGATGGCACATTTGTCAGATGGTCACCTAATCTTCACGTTATGAATCAATTAATAAACCTGCTTTCAATTTCATCCATATCAAAAAATCATGACATAACTTTCAAACACTTCTCACTACAATATCTTACCTTAATTTAGTGAAGATGTAACGGGGACTAGCAGAATCTTTACCACCTTGTAATCTGGTACCAAACTGACCAATGGGCTGCAGAAGATTGATGTTATTTGAACCCACAAAGTTTTGTGCCAAATTTATAATTGTTGACATGAGCGAAGCTTCACCGTGATGGTACGCAGAATGTTCCGCAACTGAACCCGCAAGCTGAGCCACCTTCACTTCCCTTTTGTCATTTCGTTTTATGCATGTGTACATCACCTGTTAGAAAACCAAATACTACTCTTTACTATCGATACCTTTGCCTGAGAGTATAAAAGCATCTTCAATCATCTCTGGTGCCTGATCACAAGCAAAATATCGAATATACTATAAACAGCAATTTGTACAGCCACTTTATACATTTATCATTATTTATTGAAAATATTGCAGTAAATTAAATTTTTGCCAGTCTAAAATAGAAAAGAATGTATATTATTAATTTACCATTTACACAAATAATATTTACAAAATTAAGGTGATCACACAATCATGATAAAAATTGTGGAACCCGTTATAAAACTTATATAATAGTTATAATACAATTTTAATGACTAGTTTAAATACAAATGAACCATAGGACATTTAACTTTGCTAATAATAAAATGGTAAACAATATACATATGATGCCTTTTGTAAAAAAAAAAAAAAAAAAATCAGACTGGCAAAAATGCAAAAATATTCAAAACAGTGGATAAAAACCCACACCTGTCTATCGTTTTATCCCATGTTACTATGTCTGTGAGTAGACATTGCCATTATTTATTGAAAACGGTCAAAACTTGTTGTCGGCCAACACACAAAAGTGTTAGTAAATAGATAAAAAGCATATTGGAAAATGTCCCTCCTGAACATGATCAAATTCCAGCCTGACTAAAGTGACCAATCCGGCCAGGCCATTGTTAAAAGAAAACTGTAGAATTTGTAGTCCTGACAACATAGGACTTAGTCACCCATCACCAATGAGATTTGAGGGGGACAATGTGCATTTCAATTTATACTTAAATTTCTCAAAGAATTTTTGGATGCTTAATAGAATGAAAAAAGGCCACCAGCTTGTTATGAATGAATATAGTTGACCAGACCACACACTAGAAGGTGAAGGGACGACGACGTTTTGTCCCTTCGTCAATCGACTTGAGAATGCTCCAGGATGGATCGAAACGTCGTCGTCCCTTCACCTTCTAGTGTGTGGTCTGGTCAACTTACTTTAGCCACGATACTGTGACTCATTGCCTGCATATGAATGAATATAAATGTGAGAGTAATGCTGAAGTGCAAGTGTCAAGTTATAGGAGGAACTACAGAAGCAGAAACTAAGACACTTCTGCAAGAAATATGGCCAAAACTTGCACTATTTTGTAAAAAAGCTGAATGGTGTCCCCAATGCAGGTGAAGGTTGTTCTGATTGGACTGGATTTTGGCAATGTCCAGGAGAGACTTTGATAATTGCCGTAAGGAGCAATCAGGTTTAAACTTGGAAAGAATTTCAAAGGGAAAAGATAATGTATTGGGAGTCAATAACCAAAATTTACAATATAGATAAAACTTTAATAATAATGATTATGGCAGATTTAATGGGTTTACATTCAGATTGAATGTAAACCAGTCACTACTTCTAACCCAATATATTGACAAAATGACAAGTAATATTTCTAAACCTTTTGGATTGAAACTTGTATTCGCTTATCTGTACACAAGATAAGTGTGGCATTTATGTACATTTCTACATACCTAATAAATCATATACAACATATACTGTATATACCAGCATTTCTCAACCAGGGTTCTGCAAGACAGTGACAGATAGAACAATTTTAATGATATGGAAATGTAATTAAAGTCATTTTTGTGTTTAATTTTCTCCTTTAATCAGTATCAAGAGGAAAGACAAATCGTCTCCTTTCAGTAGACAATGAAATCCGTGTGGGTTTATCTAAAGGAATAAAGATTTCAAGGGTAGAAAGAGAGTATGTTAAACGAACAAAATATTAGATCATACCTTTCTTTGACCAGGCTTCAGACCATCTACCAATGATGGAATAGAACGTTCGTTGTCCAAATTAGAAAAGAGAACCAACTCTTTGTTGACAAAATCTGTGTATGAAATAACACGAGTATTTTTTTCATATAGGTATATATCTGGTAGTCCTAGTTCTTTGCGACGCTTACATTCTTCCATCCACCCTGTCAACCACTCTTTGCGTTGCTCCACAGCTTTTTTACTAAATGCCTGTAAATGAGAATCCTTAATTAAACCACAAAATGAATATATGCAGGAACATCTGTTATTTATATATATATTAACAATTCCAAAAAGATTCCTTGAGCATGAATACAAATTCAAGCCGACTCTGAGTCTGTGAAGCACATCCAGAACTGTTCTAATGCGACTTTTGCATTGTACAGGGTTTCCATGAATGCATTCCTTATACAAATTGAGGGACTATTGTACTGAATTTAATATACTAAAGTATATTATTAATTTACTAGCAATTATTTAGCAACAAATATATCCAACTACAATGTAATATATAAATGTTATTAGAAAATTAAAACATTAAACACCGTAAATAAAAAGTCCCCCTTATGGTGTGTGTATATTATTCAAACCACATTACTATGACTAGCTAGAAGAATGCATTCATTATTACAGAAAGTCTCTATGTTGTGTACATGTTGCCTTACCATTTGAATGGAATGGTCATCTTGCGTTCCACCATAATTAAAGCGAATTCGATGACGCACCATATCATTGAAGTACTCCTTAGCTTCCTTGGAAGTAGAAGTACCCAAACCTGTAGAAATAAATTACAATCTGATTAACCAAGCACATATACCGGGATTATAATTATAATATTAAACCTTAGTTTGTAATTTTAAAAAAATTTAACTATTTTTTTATAAATTTCCTATTTCTAAATTACAAAAATATTGAATACTTTGAAAAACATATTTTAAAACATACCATATATTTCCTTACATATAAAGAATTTCAAAGCAATAAAATTATGATATTAATATCAATTCCTCAAATTTAAATAGAGAGATGGTCTTTATCTAAGCATTATTTCATCTTTTTAGAAATTCAAGAGAAACCCATAATACAAATAAGTAATCGAAAAAATGTAATAAATGATACCGAGCACAATGGTGCCACACACTCCAAAACTTCTAATTAATGTTGTTTTATATATAATAAGATTTTTTATTTAATTAGATAATTGCCACAGAATTTTCAAATGTTAGTTATTATAGCATTCATAAGTAAAATTTAATTCTCATAAATTTGCATAGTGAAAAACATCAATTGACATGATCCTTTACTTGAGGGTTAAGGGGCTATAGCTGTTAACGTTTAAAAGTTATATCATCCTATCCATAAACATCCTCTAAATACACTGAACACAAGTCAAGTGTCCAAGTTCCTCAAAACATAAGATTATTCTTGAATTGAATAATGTAATGCCTCTTTCTGGACCATGTCTCAGCTGATACAAGACTTTGCACCAGCTGATACAAGACATATCTCTTGGCAAAACCTAAACCAGCTCATTGGAAATACTAACGAGTATGTACAGCTAGACACAAAAGTGACCAGTGTAATAACACAGTCCATCTTGATATTCAGCCTTCTTTATGTCATATTACACTCAACCAGCAAGGGCAACTGCCAGGAAATATTGACATTCTAACGTTTGAATTTGTGTTACGAGGTTGTGAGCATTAGTGTATTTTAATTGGCATACAGGAAACCACTTTTGAATGCAATAAAAGGAATAGATTACAGGTCTATTGTTGATATAAAGCATTACAGTACATTCTTCTATGTTGTATAGTGAATTAGTTATACTGGTGCTCTAAATACAATGTTTATCAATGCCTTAAATTATTATTATTATTATATATACAATTTAAAAGTGAGCTTACAACTCCAATATAATTAAAAACAGAAGATTTATATAGAACCAGAAATTCATAATTAAAAAAAAAAATACCTTTGTAGTACTTTATCTTGTAGCTTGGCCAATTATCTTTAGACTTCTTCCACTCTTCAAATTCAGGTAAGGAGTAGAATGAAACTTCTTCCTTGCCCTTAGTAGCTTTGACAATTGGAGTGATGAATTCTTCCATAAAAGATTGTCTAAGTAGTGTTGGCCAATTATGATGGATAAAGTTGATCAACAGACCCTTAATGTGGGAACCATCCTGGAAAACAAATTTGTTATTATCTATCATTTTTTAACGTCTCATATTTACTCCATTTAAGAAATCTTTCAAAGTGGCATTTACCCCAAACACTCCACTTTTGCAACTTAAGAATAATAAGATGTTTTCCGACAATAAATAAGGTCATGCCATTCTTCCCACATATCCGAACTCATTTTGTCCTAAGCCCCATAGCTTTTGTGTGATTTACCTCATAACTACACACAACTAGATAATCAAGGGAGGTATTCCTGGGTACACTTCACATTAAGAACAGTGGTAAAATGAGTTCTGCAGTTACAATGATTACAGGGTTATGCAATGAGAACAAAGAACCATGTCGAATGCGAGGGACCACGACAAATTCAAGGAACCACGACAAATTCAAGGGACCACGACAAATTCAAGGGACCACGACAAATTCAAGGGACCACGACAAATTCAAGGGACCACGACAAATTCAAGGGACCACGACAAATTCAAGGGACCACGACAAATTCAAGGGACCACGACAAATTCAAGGGACCACGACAAATTCAAGGGACCACGACAAATTCAAGGGACCACGACAAATACAAGGGACCACGACAAATTCAAGGGACCACGACAAATTCAAGGGACCACGACAAATTCAAGGGACCACGACAAATACAAGGGACCACGACAAATTCAAGGGACCACGACAAATTCAAGGGACCACGACAAATACAAGGGACCACGACAAATTCAAGGGACCACGACAAATACAAGGGACCACGACAAATACAAGGGACCACGACAAATACAAGGGACCACGACAAATACAAGGGACCACGACAAATACAAGGGACCACGACAAATACAAGGGACCACGACAAATACAAGGGACCACGACAAATACAAGGGACCACGACAAATACAATCGACCATGACAAATACAAGGGACCACGACAAATACAAGGGACCACGACAAATACAATCGACCATGACAAATACAAGGAACCAAGATGAATACTGTACAAGGAACTATAAAGAATACAAAGATCTATAATGAATATCAGTAACTATAAAAGATGCAAAACACAAATATAATGGGAGATGAAGGAGGCTTCAAAAACTTTGAAATGAAAAGATTAACATACAAACATCTTGTGCAAGGCTAACAACTAGGTATGCCTTTAAATAACCTAAACAAGGAATACTTCAAAATATTATCCATGATGTATCCCAGGTATTCTTAGTATATGCATTTACAGCATGGAACCCAGCCTAGTAGTGTACAAGAAAGAAAATTAAAATATCCTAAGATATGCCATGAGACATACCAGAAATATGAGAGATGACTCAAGAAGACAGTTAATGAGAACCAAATCTAATAATGTACGAAGAGAAGGATCACAGGAGATACGATCACAACACACAGGTTACCGATAAAAATATTTCAATTGGACAGACTTTTCAGGTGAGGGGGCAACAGGAAGGTGTAAACACAGATGACCAAGAACTAGTAGTAGGTAGTTCTTCCTACATTACCATTCATTACATGGTAGGAAAAAACTACCATGAAATGAATGGTAAACAAATGAAATTACCTTGAGCCAGAGGTGGTGGAAACACTCACCATCACTAGCTTTAAAAACAAGTATACAGTAGCGAGAGTTCTAGAGCTTCAGGAGAAATAAATACACCAGGTACAATAGCTGAGCCATAAACACAAATCAAGGCTAATTATCAACACAGTAGATCTGGAAGCATACACACACACACACAAATAAAAAAGAATGAAAGCAGGGTTAAGTTAGCACATTGGGAAGGACTAAAACTATGAGCAATAAGGGATTTCCTTCCATAGATACAAAATACACACCTGATCCTGATCTGTCATGATCATTAACTTGCCGTATCGGAGAGTTTTAACATCGTCCCAAGATTCATATTTCTTCTTGTACTGTAAACCCAGGATCTTGATTATATTATTAATTTCTGCGTTTTCCAAAATTTGTTTGTGCGAGGCTTCTCGGACATTCAGCAATTTACCTGAAATATATACAACAAAATTAAATGTAATACAATACTACCTTTCATGACGGCAAAACAGTAATGAATAAAATATTAACAAGCTAATACTGCACAATATAATAATAATAATTGATTACTAGAGTCTATATATAATAATAATTGATTATTCAATATAATAATAATTGATTACTAGCTGTTGTTTTAAATATTTTCAGGCATGTTTTGCTGCATTTCTTGCTTGGCCTTCTTGTTGAATGGAGAACAACCCCTTACCATTATCATTCTCCCAACAGTCAAAATACTTAGTATATGCTGGTTGGTTACCTACAGAATCTACCTATCCTCAAAACTCCAATGCTCCTGTAGTATCAGTAGGGCCACTACCCTCCCCAAATAGATAACACCTTTATTGTGATATAAAATTGTTGGCTCTGGAACATACCAAAATTTTCAAGCAAGGTCAAAATTCACTGCACAATGGAAAACATGAGATCAAGTACAAAAACTGTTAGATAAGCAAAAGTACAATGCACCAATAACAAACTACCTGAATTGCCACTTGCCTTTAAGAGGAAAGACACCATAGCGATCTCGGCCAACTACCCCAAGGCCTGCTACAGCCAGGGTCTTGGCCGAGTCTCCTTCAGTCAAGATTAGGGTACAATCAGATGAGAACTTTGTTCCTGCATCATTGGCATCTTCCAGTTTGGGAATCCCTGAAAAGTAAAATTCATCTTGAATATCTGTATGTGTAAGTTAAGACTGCTAGTAACCTGGCCACATACATACAGTGCAATTAATTTTTTTTATTGAATACTGTAGTACCAATCTGTCCTCGACTAAAGTCCATTACATTACGCATTCATAAATTTTTACATGCTGTTCATTCAAAATGGGAATTTTCTCAAATATAAATTAATATTATAATATATTAGCATATTGGAAGCCTGTCACCCTGCTGCATGGGTGACTACTTCTCCCCCCATATCAATCTACCCTGGCTTTACACCCTGGAGAGGCCACTCCGGACCGACAACCAGAGCACAACTCCAGAGTTATCTAAGACTGATGGATGCCTACTAGTGGATACAGTATACAGTATATATATACTGACCTTTTAGCTTGGTCTGCTTCTTGCTTGCACATTTGGACTGGAGTTGAGCCTGCTGCTTAAACTTGGCCCAAGCCATCACAGACTCTACAATGCCACATTTGATAACATTATTGATAAACTTTTCAGACAGTGTACACTTGGAACCAAAATTTTTAGCCTGGAGGGTCATGTTTTCCTTTGTCTGCGAGTCAAATGTAGGGTTTACAATGAGACAATTGACAAATACCCACATGTGGTTCTTTATCTGAAATGAAGATTACATAAATAAATAAATGAAATAATGTACAATATATTACCATCCCTCAATACATTCATTACAAAATTCTAATTACAATATATAAAACATCTTGGATGAACAAGCATTACCACATTCCAGCCGCTTTCTAATATAAGCGCAGCAGTCAGACTATGTAGCTTTACATACAAAAGGTAAGGAATGCTATGGAAAATTAAGAGGCAAATTTAGGTGAGGTCAGGTTTGATTATCTTGTTTATTAAACTAAATATACCTGACATTACATACTGGAATACAACAATGTTTTGAAAAAAAAAAAAATCAGGATACTCGGCCAAGTCCGAGCAAATTATTATTCTGTATATACATTCCTCACTTCTTTTTTTATCATTTATCAGTTCATATTTGGGTAAATGATTTCCAAAATTTGGATAAATGATGGGGTTCAGTCTATCAAAGAGATCAGGGTAGTATCAAGATGGGAACAAACTTGGGTTTCATATTACGATTTTGCAATCCCTATTAACAAGAAGGTACGAGAAGGGGCTTAAGGGAGCTCTCAAGTTTCTTGGTTACCTTCCTTTCTAGTTTCAACATATTGTACTTAATGGCCAATCAAGAATAAATTCATCACCAAGATGCACTTTACACAACCTGTAAATAAACCTAATAACCATGCACAAATGGAAAATGCAGTGTACTCACCTGAAATGGCTTTATTTGTACACCACTTTTGTTCTTCTTTTTAAGCGCTTCAGTAAGGTTCTTCACAATCATATCTGTCACATAATCTATATGTCGACCACCCTGTAATGGGAATAATTACTTGGAAATTAAATATTTCAATATAAAAGCATTCTACACTTTTAATCTGATATTCGTAACAATAGCAGAAACTTATGTCTACCCTCTCTTGCACACCTGCCAACCTCAAATACATTTTACAATAAATTATACAATAGTATAAACTTCATTGACTATCATTAATCCTCACAATCACCTGATTTCCCACTTTCATAGGCTCAGGAGGCATCAGCCATAGGTAAAAACATGAAAGGAAAGCACTAATGTATAATAATAAGTTTCGGATATTAAAAACTATTCATCCACACTATTTACTATAGCCATAAACATCCCACCACTCCAGCATTTATCCTCAACAACACCCAACAGATTCATAAGACCAGGTGTGTTGTATGCCCCCATGAAATCCAATACAGTATTGTACAATTTTAGTCAATTTCTTCTTCACAAATGATGCCCACCCTTACATCCCCTTAAAGCAGACGTGTCAAACATGCGGGCTGTGTGTGGACTTTTGCAAGCACACCTGCGTCTCCACAAAGGATACTGTAATTTGGTATATAATATAAAAAATATTCTGCATTAATTTTTATTAAATGACTTCAATTAGTTGTTGTGTGTGGCTCTTATGATAAATGTTATATGGCCCTCGGGGACCCTCAGTTTGACATGCCTGCATTAAAGTATCCTATTCCTCTTTCACGCAAACCCCACTTTCTCTTACACGTACCATGTCCAGCTACATAACTTCTTTCCGGAATTACTACTCCCACCTTCAAATTCACTTCAATACACATTAAGTTTATCGTCAACCATTGATTCAACATGTCCAGTCTCGGTATCATATGCTCTTGTTAATCTGAAATTTATTGATTTCTGCAAAATTTCCATGACACCATTCCATCCTCTAATTTTCACAACACTGAACATGCCTCTCACAATCCATTTCTACTTCCCAAATTAATAGTTTTTACATGTTCAAGCCACATCATCTCTCATCCATACGATTAAGCACAAGCACCACTTAATGCAATTTAATAATATACAACAATTTACATTCTATATATATCCACATGCTGATAGCGTATACAACATACCTTGGTTGTAGCAATGCTGTTTACAAAAGACATCTGCTGGAAGCCTTTGTCAGAGAGTGCAACTGCCACTTCCCATCTCTCATTAACATTTTCATACATAGCTTTAATAGGATTGTCTGCATCATCCACCTTGTCTTTAATATACAAGTCCACATAGTCTTTGAAATTTTTCACCTGTGGGAAATAAGTTTCATTCATTAATATATTTTCATAAATCTGATTCCAACTTTCATGAGGAGGCTAAGCATCAGACAGGAGAAAAATGGGAGAATAACATAATGAAAGAAGTTTAAAAACATTAAAAAATAAGACCTTTTTGCCTTCAGTGGTAAAAAGTTTTGAAAAAGATATGAACCCACATCAATTACCCCACCAATACAGAGCAATGATACACACTTTAAATACATGTTTTATATGGTTCAGACATATACAGACTCTTATAAAAAAATCTTTTAACCTTTTTGAAAGATATCAGAGAACACTCGGCTGTCTAAAGTGTAAAGCATCCCTAGGATATGCGAGAATAGTTTGGTTCAGATATTACGGAGATAAAATAGTTCTTAAATCCTACTACTAAGGAACTATATAGTATAATAATAGCAATCTTCCTAACACCCCCATACACAACTCTCTTAGGTTCAAAGTCAAAATGTTAAGGTACAGTATTCTCTATATATAGCACAAGAGAGAAAAAACTACTGTGGATGACTAATAATGTATAGAACAAAGTACCATGATGCAGGAATCTGAAATAATATTTATTCACAGGGTCATAGTATATAGACACTGGACTTAAATGATTTTACTTGGTCGAGTAAATTGTGTGGACACAGTTCTTTTAATACTATTATTACCTACACAATTAATCAATCTGAAATTGCATTATCTGAACTTGCATAGCAAGGGCTGCCTATAAATTAAAAGCCACTGCAAAATACCAATGTTCAAAGACCTTAAATGCTACAAGAATACTTACCGGAATACGCTTTCCATTCAAAAACACTTTAACTCCTCTGGACGAAGCAGCAATGTCATATGCTCTGCGGGACATGAGGGCAACCATATCGGCAGTTAAAGCTTCCATTTTAAACTTAGCAAGGTCTGGCGAAAATGTAATTTTAGTATAATCTTCTCCAGTAAAATCTTTAATCCTTGGTTCACTAGCCTTGCTCATGTTGTTGCCCCAAGTCTGAAAAAGTCAATAAATAAATTAAATTTCAATCAATATTTATAATTTTTATGAAATAAATTTTGAATATTTAATCTAACGTACTGATAAAACAAACCTGTTTAAAGCTCTTTTTGTATTCTTTTGAAGAAGTTTCGACAATAAACTTAGTGCTGAAGATATTGCACAGCTTGGCACCATAACCATTACGTCCACCAGTGACCTTCTGCTCTTCATCGTTGTAGTTCGATGAGGTCAATAAATGTCCAAAGATCATAGTTGGGACATACATCTTCTCATCCTTGTGCATGGCTACTGGAATTCCTTTCCCATTGTTGAATATAGACACTTGGTTGTTTTCTCTGCAGATATGAATACCAGAATAACTAAATGCCTTCCGTAGAAAATAATAATTAGTTTCATTTGGTTATAAATAATATGATGCATAGCAAATTAGCAGCAGTAAGAAATGATGAAAATGCATGACATCTGCATGATGAGATTGTTACATAGTGTATAACTTTTGTATGTACTCTACAGTACATACACAAATGAAAAAAAAAAAAAAAAAATTACACAACACTTGTCAAAATTGTATTTTAGCACCTTGCCTTGTCTTATGATTTATCCTAGCAAGCACACCTTAAGCGAGTTGCAATTTTTGAACACCTCTTTTCTGTAAAAGAATTAGATGGGATACTAAAACCATGGAAAGTCAAAATGCATATCTCCTCCTCTATGGACTTTTGACGATCCAATTAAATTGAAACTGTGAAAGGCAAGCCTTTAAGAAAAGGGACCAGTAGTAGAATGCCTCACTGCTGTGTGAAATGGCCAAACTTTTGCAACTGTCAAACAATCCACTTTTCTGCATCGCCCCCTACTCATAGTCATGTTTTGAGAAGTTGTCCCTCTAAGCTCTAAGATACTGTGAAATACTGTTGAAATGATCCAATCTGTATTTGTATTTTGAATGTGTGTGATTACCTGAGTGAAGTTATGAGATAAGATCTACACTTCATAATATTTGATCTTCCTTATAATCTTCATCTTATGACATTTTGAAGCTTCAAATAAGTGTTGGCATCCACCACCTTCTCACTTAAAATTGTTCCAACCATCCACAACTCTGTTCAAAGCGATAGCTTTCAGACTTCTTTTCAGCACCTTCACTCCCTAAGCTTGAGACTGAGTAGTTTTGTTCAAGACATTGCTGGTTTTAAAAATTCCCATCGTCATCAATTCCTGTCAATTTTGTTTGGTATGGTAATTATATCTCCCCTTTTCAGTCTATCGCCAGATTTTGCAAGTTTAATGCCTGAAGTCTTTCCTCATAGCTCTTTTTTTAGGTTTGTAAGACAATTGGAAGCATGCCTTTGGCCCTTTTTTTTCTTTATATGCTTTTTTAAATATGGATCCTACAACTCCTGCATATATATGTGGTAAAAATATACTCCTAAGCACAGGAGGTACTTAAAACTTAATATGCAATACATAAATTACTCTCAATGATAAACTGTGCATGCAAGAGCTTACGCATCAATGTCCACTTTAATAGTATCCATGGAATGGTCCCTTTGCTTGTTGTCTGCAGCATTCACCAAGATTTCATCGTAGATCTTGTAGAGACCAGGAACATAAGATATTTCCTTCAATACCACTTTCTCAGCATCGGTATCATAAACCCACATCTGCTCAGTCACATATTCCACCGAACCTGAAGAATAACAAGAGTATTACAATAAAAAAATATTTCAAAACAGAATTCACAATCATTTATAGCAACATCTGCACAATTCTTTGTATGATATAGAAGACTCCTAATTAAAAATACATATGTACTCTTTGACCCCAACCATCATTTTTCTTGGTACCATTATGGATTTTAGCGTGTAACTTTTTCCATAGTCTAGATATTTTATTGAAAAATCTGAACTGCCAAAAATGTAAACTTTATGCCAGGAAGGTGGAAAAATGGTCACCAGAAGATGCTGCACCACCAGGAAATTCAAATTCAGCAGGTGAAGTTGCTTTTTATATTTCTCTTCTATTTCTCTATCAAAATAACAGTGAAATTGGAAGAAAGCGTGGCATCACTGAAATCCACAATCTGTTTATATATACAGTACAGTACTTCCTGAATTTCATCTCCCCCATCCCTCTACCTCCCCCATCCTTTCCAATCCCTTTGGCCATCAAAGTACGTGATGTGTCCAAATACTATTTTGCAAAAGTATCTTTTATAAAATTATATAATCATACTGTCCTTCCAATAACATCCTAAAGTTATACATTACATTGTTCTAGGAAAAAGAGCAACCACGTACAAAAGAATCACACTAACTTACCAATGTATGTGTCAGGACGGAGCAAGATGTGCTCAAGCTGAGTCTTCTTCTGGTACACAGTTTCCACAGACTTTCCTGTCTTTTTCTTTGGTACCGATACAGTACCACCCCCCAAGGGGTTTTGTATATTGTTGGCCACATCCTGAGAAAAGAAAAATGGTTGTATAGTATAAAGTACTAATGAGGTACCCCCTAGGTCAAGAACAGGTGTCTGATACTACACATGATCTCAAGCACTATAACAGTATTAGGGCCCATACTTCCTGGACTTAACCGTTGATTAAGCATGTAACCCATTGGTTACATGTTCACACCAGTGTACCGCACATTCTGGCCACAAACATGGTGTTGATTAGCATACAAGTTCACAACACACAATCAAATTTTTTTTTGTTTAACATTCACACTACAATTGTTGACCCTTTTCCCAAGCACCAGTTGGTAAATCCAAAACTAAAAAATTGTTTATTACTGAATAGGACAGTTTTTCCACACACAAACACATGATATACATGGCACAAACACACTCGGCACACACAAACACACGCTTGGAGGCAAGAGATCTCTAATGACATGACTCAAATCAAACCCCCTCCATACTTATCCAATCCTATCCCACCCCAATCAATATACATCCCTCTCTTCATATTCAACCCTTACTCTTCACCCTTTCCCATAAATCCCAACCAAACTCAGCTTGCCACTCCTAATTCTCCCCCCCCCCACCTCCTACTACAACCAAACAGGAAATAAAACCAGAAACAGTGCCAATATGAAGACAAAGCACATGTGATCACAACTGACATACCAGATATTAACAAAAATAAACAGGAGAGGAGGAACAGCACTACAGAACTTTACTAGTAAGTATTCAGGTGCATTATTACTGTAACTGCCTTATTACCAGTTATCAATACTGGTTCTTCCTTATTACCCAATACCCATACCAATAGTTCCATATTATAAAATAAGCAATACCCCCAATTACGATAACATTTTTTTAAGATACAACATTAAAACATGAGGTGACCATCCAGCTTCTTGGATTCTCAAGGTCTGTAAACAAGGACACAGAAAATTTGTAACACTCAATAATTATAACAATCATAGCACAATTGTTCTTTAGAATCAATTAAATGTAACTTTAATGAACTTCCCAGCTATGATTTCTGATTAGTATCAAACAAAACAACAAAAAAAAACTTATTTTACATAGTTACTCAGTCATTGGGTGGTTAGGCAAGACAAGTCAGAAACTACAAATAGAACCATGAGTGTGCTATAAAACTGGATATCCATCTCCCTTTGAAGTACTAAAACTTAGGTTGAGGCAAGACCAATGAGCTGAAGAATTTCAGCTCATTGGTGAACCTCCACACATAAAATTAGAAGTGTGCTGACCAGGAAGATGTGTGATAGGTTAGGATAGGAGTGAGTGGGGGGGGGGCAAGAGAGGATTTATGGGCAATACAGTGGGTGGGTGGGGCAAAAATGGGTTGGGTTATGGGTAGGATTGGCTGGGACAGTAGTACTCAATTGTCCTTACTGGGGTTGAGCACTTCAGCTCTTTGATCCCACCTCTCGGCCTTTAATCAGCTGGTGTAAAAGCTCCCGAGCCTATTGGGTTCTGTCGTACGCATCTACATTTGAAGCTGTGTATGGCAACTACCTTCTCCACCTCACTTTATAGTGCACTCCATTTATTAGCTACTATGACATTGAAGAAATTATTTGTGTCCCCTTATTCATGATAAAAGACAATCAACCGAACTGCCATTGTGTTACTATTGGTAGTACTAGTACCAATAATGTTAAACATTTGTATATACAGTACAGTACTGTATAAAGTACAAGTATGTGATGCTAATTATAAGAATACGTTTGCAGATTATCTTAATGCACTGAGAAAATGAAACACCTGGATGATTCATAGCCTTCAAAATTACCTAGACAAAATAACACATGGAGTGTTAAATGGCAATTTGCACTCCTTTGGCACTCTCCCGAGTGCTTTCTCAAGGTACAGTATGTGGTTAGAATGAGACTTGCATCTCGACGACTAATCCTGAGGTAATATTAATGTTAATACTGGTACTGAGAGAGCTGTATAAAATCTAAGAGCTACTGCACCAATTACAACAAATATGTTCCATTTTATTCATGGGACTACAGGTATGTAAATTTAGGTTAAGCAGTTAATTGAGGAGTCACCACTATTTCCCTTCCCTTACAAGAAAAATACTAATGTACAATACTTTATCCTTAAAAGAACAATGTTCTTCAATTTTATACTCTACAGTGTGTTGTGCTTCAATGTCTGCAAAAATTTAAATTACATATTACCAGTGTAAGTTCAGTGCAAATATATCAGATATACGTGCATGATTTTTTTAATTTATGAAGTCTGCTCCCATACACGAAGCAATGGATACGCGAGAAAAGCTTTCCCTATGGGGAGCTTTCGTGCCAAAAGCATTCTGAACACACGAAGAGACCATATCAACGGTAACACACTGCCAAGCAGAACCTTCAGCGTGAAGAAACTGGGTGTAGTTAGTTACAAAATAAGAAGAAATGTAGCTTACAGAATCAGAACTTTATGAATGACAGTTAGAAACTCAAATATGACTATACAGTACATTCATACTGTTAAGTATTTCACCACTGCCAAGTCACAACTGGAGAGTTATTCTAATCAAGTTTACTGCCAACGTTGTTTTAACTCTCCATATGGAGTTAATGAAGCAGTATATAACATTTACTTGTGTAAGGACATCTCCTGTACCAGTAGTTGCAGTTCCCTCTCCAACTGCCCACATTCCAACGTATTGTTAATTAATTAAAGTTAAATATGACATACCCCGAGCGGCGGCCGGTTAGCCATGCCTGCGGCCTCCAGGTGCACTCTATAGAGCGTAATATAGACTCTATAACCCCAAATTCGTGTTATAGAGCCAGGTGCCCGCCACTCCCGCCTGAACTCCCCACTGTTTGAAACTTGAAATTGCGGCGGCGGCGCGGCCAATGGTTGCGGCAGCCGCAGTCACGTGACGCCCCCGCCGCTGCCGCTGCCGCCACACAACATGTCTCCTGCCGCCGCTGGTGCCGCCTGCCACAGGGTGTATGGCGTGTTTCCCACTCCCCCGGGGACACCACAGGGTGACGGGGCTGCAGGTTAGGGTGAGGGCAGGCAGGAAGGTGCAGGGTGCCAGGGGGCGGCCACCCCCGCCGCGGCTCTCACGCCGGCAACACCAATATTTATTTATTGCCTCCCTCCTCCCCCCAAGCCACCATGTAGGCATGTGTCTCCTGTACACACACTCACAACACACTTACAAGTCTCACAACACACTCACAAGTCTCACAACACACTCATAACACACACACTTGAGTGTTTGCTTAGCTAACACCGCTCTTAATATGTCAAGTCAAGGTAATACCTCACTTTCCCTTATCCATTATACATATCTCACTTGACAAGTCAATTCCCAAGTCAACTTAGTTATGATACAATGCACTTTAATACAGCAAATGTTATTGCCTTGAAGGAAGGAGGGATATGAGTGAGATACGTCACAAGGATCAAAGTTAAGAGTAAGGCGGCCAAGACCTTCTCACTTACCGTTCCATTTACGGCAGGCATTTTGCTGAAGGCTCCACCAGAGGCTCGCCAGGTATGAAGAAGCTGAGTCTTGAGTCTCCACACTCCTCCTCCTGCTCTCCGGAACAGGATATTCACCTAAAAATTCCCGCTCTCCATTTCACGTCCACTATTGTAATTATCCAGTTTGTCTCATTTGAACTCGTGCACTATTGGAGGCATTTATGAGGTGTCTTGGGGACAGGGAGAGCCGTAATGTGAGTTAGTGGGAGAGTAAGGTGGTGGAGGGAGAGCGTGGTGCTGGAACAAAGAGCTCACAACTGCTTGAGCTCACAACTCTGGGACTGGCGCTGTGTGTGTGTGTGGCCGCCCGCCCTCTCCCAAGCCTCCACCACGCTCCCCTGTCTCCCTCTCTCTCTCTCTCTCTCTTATGCCGTCAATCTTGGCGCTCATTGATACACCTCATCACCTATATGAAGCAACTTGTGCATTTACTTAAGACATTCGTATTGTTCATTGATGCTAGGTGATAAGACGCTACGGCAAGGTTGATCTCTGGCTTCGCAACGCACATTTCATTGTTGCCGATATATTATTTTGTTTACATATAATAATATCAATATCTTTCTTATTTTTTATTGGTGAGAACATTGATACTTATGTGAATGAAGAAGCTACTTTACCTAGCAATATCTGAAATACAATAATAGATACATTTAAAGGTAAAATGATGCGAGAGAAACTGACACAATATACAATTAATGGCATCTCTAAATTTGTACCACTCGGCGCGGTCTTTTCAATTCTTTAACTTTGTGGATAGAAAGTGTGTAGTGACAACAAGAACACCTTCGATAAGTAAATGTGATAAATGAAGGAAAGAATAGCCAATAAGGCCCGGATACAAGATAGGCTCCAATCACAGCATACTTATTTTACGCCCACAATCAACTCCATTCATTCTTGTTTAGTTTTTTTCAATTTGGTTCATTTATTGTGCACCCCTTTCTGACAGTGGTAGTGGAAAATGTTACAGAGGCAATAGGCTCAGGAACTGAACCCCAAAATTCATGTAGCTAAGCAAGTTATAGCATTGATGATATACAGAGTTTGGCCAGTCACGTGCCGCTCCGGCATTGATCGATCTGCGAAAGATGAATTATTACAACCCTAAAGACTATAGAAAACGGTTATTAACAGCATCACACAAAATTCGTCGATTAAAATATATAGCTCGAAACAGGTATATGATCTAATAGAGGTAATAAGTGATCTTTAAAATGTTGAGCAAATTCGATGACGAATTAATCCAGACCTAAGTTCCCCAAAAACTTGCCGATTGACTGAACAGAACAGTCAACAGATTCTTTTTGACATATTTGATAAATACACGGAATCGCTTACTCGTCAAATCCGTAAATACCAAGTAGGGAAATTTGGTATATACTTGGCAATATTTTGGGGGGCGCCATATAATTTTGGATGAAATATTTTTATATTTCGCGAGAATTCTTCAGACATTACATTGTCCGTAAATTACTGAATTTTGTCACATTCGATTATATAATGATGATGCAGGGCGTGCAAATTCATGGTAGAGTATAAATACTTGTTTTTTTTTATCAGCAACATCATTATATGATTATATAGTGTGGACCAATATGGAAATTGTAACAATCAATATTAACAACACCCGTTGCATGAGGGTTAAGACTTTTTGTACCCTCGCTGTTGTATAATCCTCCCGAGTTACTGCTCACAGGGTTTTCCCTGTGAATTTGTTACAGAGGTACTCACAGGGTTTTCCCTGTGAATTTGTTACAGAGGTACTCACAGGGTTTTCCCTGTGAATTTGTTACAGAGGTACTCACAGGGTTTTCCCTGTGAATTTGTTACAGAGGTACTCACAGGGTTTTCCCTGTGAATTTGTTACAGAGGTACTCACAGGGTTTTCCCTGTGAATTTGTTACAGAGGTACTCACAGGGTTTTCCCTGTGAATTTGTTACAGAGGTACTCACAGGGTTTTCCCTGTGAATTTGTTACAGAGGTACTCACAGGGTTTTCCCTGTGAATTTGTTACAGAGGTACTCACAGGGTTTTCCCTGTGAATTTGTTACAGAGGTACTCACAGGGTTTTCCCTGTGAATTTGTTACAGAGGTACTCACAGGGTTTTCCCTGTGAATTTGTTACAGAGGTACTCACAGGGTTTTCCCTGTGAATTTGTTACAGAGGTACTCACAGGGTTTTCCCTGTGAATTTGTTACAGAGGTACTCACAGGGTTTTCCCTGTGAATTTGTTACAGAGGTACTCACAGGGTTTTCCCTGTGAATTTGTTACAGAGGTACTCACAGGGTTTTCCCTGTGAGGTACAGGGTACCTCACAGGGTACTCAATAAACTAAACGCCGCTGGCGGCAATTAATCTGATGCTGTAAACTGTCAGCAAAAGCTGACACCCAGCAAAGGCTGACAGTTTACAGCACCAGATTAATTGATCGCTGCCGCCAGTGGCGTGTAGTTTATGGCGCACCCTGTAATACACTGTGAGCGGTAGCGCAAGAGGCACACCCACGCCACAAAAACACACACACACACACATACTCTTAGATTACGGGCTATTCATGCCTGTGCCACCTGGTTGATACCTGGTTGATGGGGTTCTGGGAGTTCTACTACTCCCCAAGCCCGGCCCGAGGCCAGACTTGACTTGTGAGAGTTTGGTCCACCAGGCTGTTCCTTGGAGCGGCCCGCAGGGCCACATACCCACCACAGCCCGGTTGGTCCGGCACTCCTTGAAGGAAACAATCTAGATACAATCTAGGTACCCGGGCCCGGGTACAGCCCCAGAAAGGGCCCGGGTACAGGCCCAGAAAGGGCCCGGGTACAGGCCCAGAAAGGGCCCGGATACAGGCCCAGAAGGGGCCCGGGTACAGGCCCAGAAAGGGCCCGGGTACAAGCCCAGAAGGGGCCCGGGTACAGTCCCAGAAAGGGCCCGGGTACAGACCCAGAAAGAGCCCGGGTACAGGCCCAGAAAGGGCCCGGGTACAGGCCCAGAAGGGGCCCGGGTACTGTCCCAGAAGGGGCCCGGGTACAGGCCCAGAAAGGGCCCGGGTACAGGCCCAGAAAGGGCCCGGGTACAGGCCCAGAAAGGGCCCGGGTACAGGCCCAGAAGGGGCCCGGGTACAGGCCCAGAAAGGGCCCGGGTACAGGCCCAGAAAGGGCCCGGGTACAGGCCCAGAAGGGGCCCGGGTACAGGCCCTGAAGGGGCCCGGGTACAGGCCCAGAAAGGGTCCGGGTACAGGCCCAGAAGGGGCCCGGGTACAGGCCCAGAAGGGGCCCGGGTACAGGCCCAGAAGGGGCCCGGGTACAGGCCCAGAAAGGGCCCGGGTACAGGCCCAGAAGGGGCCCGGGTACAGGCCCAGAAAGGGCCCGGGTACAGGCCCAGAAAGGGGCCGGGTACAGGCCCAGAAAGGGCCCGAGTACAGGCCCAGAAGGGGCCCGGGTACAGGCCCAGAAAGGGCCCAGGTACAGGCCCAGAAGGGGCCCGGGTACAGGCCCAGAAGGGGCCCGGGTACAGGCCCAGAAGGGGCCCGGGTACAGGCCCAGAAAGGGCCCGGGTACAGGCCCAGAAAGGGCCCGGGTACAGGCCCAGAAGGGGTCCGGGTACAGGCCCAGAAAGGGCCCGGGTACAGGCCCAGAAAGGGCCCGGGTACAGGCCCAGAAAGGGCCCGGGTACAAGCCCGGAAAGGGCCCGGGTACAGGCCCAGAAATGGCCTGGGTACAGGCCCAGAAAGGGCCCGGGTACAGGCCCAGAAAGGGCCCGGGTACAGGCCCAGAAAGGGCCCGGGTACAGGCCCAGAAAGGGCCCGGGTACATGCCCAGAAAGGGCCCGAGTACAGGCCCAGAAAGGGCCCGGGTACAGGCCCAGAAAGGGCCCGGGTACAGGCCCAGAAAGGGCCCGGGTACATGCCCAGAAAGGGCCCGAGTACAGGCCCAGAAAGGGCCCGGGTACAGGCCCAGAAAGGGCCCGGGTACAGGCCCAGAAATGGCCCGGGTACAGGCCCTGAAACAGTGAAAAAACTATACAAGAAAACAGTGAAAACTATACAAGAAATAATGGTGTATATTTTTGTGTATATAAACCTGTAGCCATGATCTCAAACAGTTCCTCGGTGTTAGAGAGTAAATAGAAGATACAGCAGCTAAAGGCGAATGGTGTAATAAGAGTTAAGACGTACAAATGCCAGACGTTTAACACTGGAAGCGTGGAGGGAGGAGGGAGAGTATTAGCGTGGAGGGAGGAGGGATTGAGAGTATTAACATGAAGGGAGGAGAGAGAGAGAAAGAGAGAGAGCATTACCATGGGTGGAGGAGAAAGAGTACATTACGCAACTAGCGGTACGGTATTGAGACCCGCCAAATTCTCACTATAAATATAATCCCCTGATGGCCTTCACTTCACCCAGCGATCAGCTTAAACAAGTTATATGACTCCCAAAAGACCATAATCCACAACAGCGCAGGGAGGAGGAAGACTGGATATTCCCCTGTGCTCTCCTTTCCTAATGACCACAATAATAATTGCTATTAGTCAAGCAACTAAGTGATGTTAAAGATGTTTCAAGTTCATGGCGTCGTGCCAGATCCCTTAGGCTCCGGGACTCAACGCGCATGCTGATGGCTTTTTTGTTTTTGTGATCAGAATTAAGCAGTATATTTGTGTTCGGTATTAACATTGGTTCGTTAGCATTTATCCTAAATTGTATGTGTGTGGTTGGCAGTGTTTTGTGGTTGGAGGGACAGTGTAGCCATGTATCAGTATTGCCAGCATCAGTATTTCCCAACATTAGTATTTCCCAACATCAGTATTTACCCTCCATCAGTATTACCCACCATCAATATTCAATAATCTAGGGACTCAGCCAGTCACCTTTCACCGACTGCGTTGAGTTGAAGTGTTAGGTGGTCACTTCTGGGCTCGAGCCCTTTTAAGAGGACCAATAAGACCTACCCCGACCAGCCTATGTCTGTCCCGTACCCCATCCCACTCACCCTGCAAAGCTGGGTGAGGCTAGCCCCGAGCGTCTGGCCTCCAACGTTGAATAAACAAACAGACAGATAAACATTCTCTTAACGATATAGTGTCAACTCATCCTCTAAAAGGGATGTACCCAGCGGAAGTTTAATTTTTTTATTATTGGAATACTCTAAATAGCTTGCGTAAAACTGGAAGAGTAAGTACACGACCTAACCTAACCTGTCCTAGGCGTATATAAGAATATTGTGGAGGATGGGATGGCGTATTGTATACGAGGCACTCTCAGCTACGCAACCTTCACTCTAGCTGGCAGTTGGCGCACTTGATCAGCGCCCCGCCATGTGCCTCACTCCTGGTGAACGCGTAACCACAAACATAACTGCCAGTGCTTCAGCACTTTAACGCGCAGCGCGAGAGAGTCCTTGTCCAAAGTTCCCGGGTTCGATTCCCGGCCGAGGTACAAATAAATTAGTGTTTCTTTCATCTGATGTCTATGTTCACCTAACAGTAATTGTGTACCTGCGAGTTAGACAACTGTGTGCGTGTGTAGTCACCTAGTTATACTTGCGGGTGTTGAGTTTTGGCTCTTTGGTCCCGCCTCTCAACTGTCAATTAACTGGTGTACAGATTCTGGCGACTCTAGGGCTCTAGCCCAATAGGTCTATTGGGGCTCTATCAAATCTACATTTGAAACTATGTATGGAGTCTATCTCCACCACATCACTGCCTAATGTATTGCATTTGTTAACTACAGTATTCTGACTGAAAAAATCTTTCTAATGTCTCTGTGCTTCAACTTTGACCCAGATATCACAGTAACAAGGTTATCACGAATATTTGAACTCAATTACGGGCTCACTATAGCCCGTGCTACATGGAAATTTTTGTTCCGAGTAACTGAATCTAAAAAAACAACGTGGGAGAGTGACTAGAGTGTATAGAAGAGAGAGAGAGAGAGAGAGAGGAGCTAGGGAGTGAGCTAGGTCACAGCCCGCTACTGTGCCAGGTAAGTCCACTACGGGCTCACCATAGCCCGTGCTACTTGGAACCTTTCGTTCCCAGTAGCTGAATCTATAACAACATTTTCTCCTCAGCTGTGGTTAGTTTAGTATAATTAGTTGATTGATAGATGATACAGATTAAGCCACCTAAAAGGTGGCACGGGCATGAATAGCCCGTCAGCTAGGAGCTATATTCACGCCTATGCTATTAATTAGTTTATTATCAAACCACATACACACCCGTTCTGTTAGTGGGGTGAGTGCCAGTTTGGGTCACTTATTGTGGAGGAGTATTATGCACCGAGGCCAGGTCGACGACCGGGCCGCGGGGACGCTAAGCCCCGGAAGCACCTCAAGGTAACCAAGGTAACCCCATGCTCATCTTGTGGGCGGTAGTGGAAAGGTTACATGTGCCTCTGTAACCCTTGCCACTACCGCCCACAAGATGGGTATGGGGTGCATAATAAATGAACTAGACTAAAACTTATCATGCACTCCCTACCCGTCCTGTGATCGGTAGTGGAAAGGTTGCAAAATTAGTTTAGCTAACCAAGTTACAGCGTTGATGAGTTATAGTTAAATAACATAAATAAATCAAGAGTATCTTCTCGGTTTACCAAACTTAACATGGCCGTGGCCTTTAGAAGCCCCGTTAACGCATGGAGTGAACTTGACGCATGCAGTATTAATTCGCGTTATCATGCACTGCACAAGCAACGAGCGGCCGGTGGTGGAAAGGTTATGCACGCACCTGCATGCACTACCTACACTTTGTAAACTTTGGATAATTTGCTAACATTTCCGTAATAGATAACTTTGAATTAATTGGAAGGGGAAGACAGGGTTTGGGGAGAGGGCAGACTGTGAGTTTGGTGAAGGGGAATATAATAAACGGAATTAGTTCGAGCTACACACACCTACGAATTAAACAAAAAAATAACTTAGAAATAATCCAACAAAAGTTTGACTTCAAGAAAAGGCAGTTGTGTAACAGACCATGTGCCTTTTCACCGTAAGTAACCCATATGGAACTGCCTACCCGCCGAAGTCGTAAATGTCAAGACAATACTTAAATTGTAAATTCAGCTGAAAAAAATCCCCATGAATAATGGTTGGGGGTTGGGGGTAGGGGGGGGGGGACTTTGACAAGCCACAGGTTTCTTGTCTTCGACGAGACCACTCGAGATAGTATTCATGTAAATTCAGGTAAATATGTGTAGGTAGCGTGCAGATGGGAACTGGGAGCTGGAAAAGTGAAGAGGGTGAGGACTAGAGTGTATAGAGCTATGGTGGTCAGGCGAGGTGTGTGGGGGAGGCTAGTGTGGGGGAATGTTTCTCTGGAGGGAGGTGGTGAGTGTGGGGGGTGGTGAGTGAGGGAGAAGGTGAGTATGAGGGAGGTGAGTGTGAGTGTAATTACCTAAGTGTAGTTACAGGATGAGAGCTACGCCTCCTTGAGTGTGAGGAAGGTGAATGTGGGGAAGTGAGTGTGAGGAAGTGAGTGTGGGGAAAGTGAGTGTGGCTGAAGGAGAGTGTGGGATAGAAGTGAGTGTGGAGTGGGAGAGAATGAGGGGGGAATGAATATTTTTGGGGAAATAGCAGCCAGAAATTAGATGGCAGCCAAAACGCCTTGACGAACATTAGTGAGACCCCGAGGGATTAAGTATCTGTGTGTGTGTGGATATATTGAAGCACTTTGCAAACTCTTGCAATTGACCTGTGTCTTAAAATGACCACATTAACAAGCCGCATGAGTTCACCTTTGCTATAATGCCCAAGAAATAAGACAATTAGCAACCTGGCTGGTATTTCAAACCCGCGGCTACACCACTACAAATTCTCACCTGCAGATGGCAGCTCCTGTTTGTTTTGGAATATAATATAAAATTAATAATCGATATGTTGTACGTCAAAATTCCCATTTGCTGATGTTACTGTCGATGTTGAATGATGTGAAGACCTTGGAGGAGTAGGTGAGGGCTGGGAACACCCCCATGCAGGAGGTATGTTCATTGTGAGTTATGAGTGTTGGTCTATGAATAGCTGGGTGAGGAAGGTGGGTGAGGGAGGCAGGTGGGCAGGCAGTGTCGCCCAGACTTCTGCCACCCTCACTACTCTCATACCTCATCTTATAACCTCACTTATCTACTTGGAAAGCCAGAGATTTCTTGGTGTGAGTATATATATTTCCGTTGTTCTTTTAGGTCATGGATTAACTTGTATCTATTGACTCGATTCTGCTTCGTGTATTGCTTCTAATTTAGCGGAGTCCTTCATATATTCTTATATCTTTAACGAGGAAGTTTAACTGTGTTACAAGAAGGCTTGTTAGGTTAGTGGACCAGTGTTGGGAGGTCTGTGGTATGGAGAATATTGATGCATTATAATAATTATTTCACCACTTGTCTTGTAATACATCACACACATGCATACAAGTCTCTACCTTGCATGCAGTATGAACCAACATATATCCCTAAGTGCACTAGTTATCATTAGAAATGCCATAAACCAACATATATCCCTAAGTGCACTAGTTATCATTAGAAATGTCACACTGCTAATCAACTTCTAACAGTCCCTGTGGCACAGTGGTAAGACACTCGCCCGGTATTTCGCAAGTGCTTTGGCCTGGGTTCGTATCCTGGTCGGAGAGGATTGACTGGGCGCCAGTCCTTAACTGTAGCCTCTGTTCACCCAGCAGTGAATGGGTACCTGTACGATTTGGCAGGTCGTATTCCGAGGAAAATTAAGATTAAGGACCTGCTTGAAATCCTATTCATCCTAGTGGTTGTACGAGAATATAAGAATGCTTGTATATACAGTATAAATAAAATAAAAAATCATGTGTAAAAATAAAAAATAAAAAATAAAATAAAAAAATCAATCATGTCACATTCTAGCCACATAACAACCTCCCTTGGGCTAGTATCCACTGAATACGTACTGTAACCTCATTTACATATATCTAATGTGTTCTCTATCCTCAAGTTAACTAAGTCAAGTTAAAGGAAGGAAGTTAAAAGCCAAGTCAAGTTAAAGGACATGGCAGTTACACAGAGGCACTCTAAGATTTGCTTATATTATGTGTATTACAAACACACACATTCCTTAAAATACAGTGAATTCAAACATATTCCTTAATAAAATACAAGAAGTAATAGCTCGATTCTGCAGACACAATAGTAAATACAGTGTCAGTTTTCACTCATGATTGTATCTATAGAATGTACAGTATTGTATATTATTATTTATTATCCATATTTTCTCCAGTTTTGTTATAATGAAGTAACTTAATAGAAAAATTAGTATAAAATGTTTTAACTAATTGTATTTGAAATATGTATATACAGTACACAATAATTCATTGATTAAAAAATGGCTTCAAAGTTACATTTTCTGAATTAAGTCTAACATTGCCACAAGTACTTTGTTGCAATGTTGAATATTATGATGCTGAAAATCACACCTCTTTCAGCTTTGTCGGATTGTTAAAAGACCTCAGAGTGGATGGACTCATTAACGCAAGATGACAGTGGGGGAGGCAGGAAGATGGGGTTGGCGAGACTGGCAAAAACTCGCAACTTGTCTGGTAGTTTGAACAGTCTGCAGACGATGGAGGGAAAACCAGATGAGAAAGATGGTAAGATATTTGAGAAGAGTTGTGTAATATAACTGAAGATCTTGAGTGTTTATCTAGTGCTGATTAACAACAGTAAATGATGTAGTCTGCATGAATTTTTGCTACAATTAAAGTTCATTGGGGGGTCTGTGGAACCCACCCTTTAATTTTTGTTTTATTAATTAGATATATCACATATTATAACAGTAGATTAAGGAGTTCATAGTATCAAAAGGGATTGATCAATATAATATTTGTACACTGTACAGTATCTGAATTCAAATACTGTAACTGTAAAGGGAAAAATCATGCATTACAAAGAATGATTTTCTTTAATTCCCAGTCCATAGTTCATTGCATAGGTCTTGTGTAGGCATTGTATATGTAGAAATTTTAATTTTGTGTTAACCTCTGTATATTCTTGAACCTGTCCTTAGACAAATCCTTTCCTTGTACATTTGGGTTATGTTATATGTTCCAACATTGTTTCTTGGATTACTGAACTGATATAACATGTCATCAGAAAGAAGGAAAAATTAAAGGTGAAGGTGGATCATTTGATTAATAATAATAACAATAATAATAATGATACAGAATTTTCTTAAAGTGAACACTTGGTTAGATATTTGTATTTTTATGAATCTACTGATTATGCAGTGTTTCAAGCATACCTTAAGGATAATAAGTTTTAGAATAAAAGTTCAAATGAGGAATTTAAAAATGCTTAATCAAATTCTTAATGGAAAGCAGACGTACAGTACAGTATTATTACAGCAGCTGTAGGACTCGTTTATCATTGGCATTTTATCTCTTATAGCGGGCTCCCAAAGGAAATGGTGGATAGTAAACGCACAGGCACACAGGCAGGAAAATAAAAGTGATTGTTTTATACTTTAATCTTATCCACATTGACCAAGACTTAATTAAAATAATCTTTTGTATACTGTATATGGTTCCTTCTACTTTTGAATATGGATTCTACTTTTGTATATGTTCCTTCTACTTTTGTATTCATAGTTCCTTCTACTTTCAGATGCTTGGTTCATTCTACTTCTCAAATACATAGCCAGAGTGTCTTTTTTTTTTCCTTACTTACTGTACCTATCTCTTGTCCATCTCTGATCAGTTAGTTCCTCTAGCTACTGTGTTCTGCCTTACTATTTCTTTCAATTTGCTTATTCAAGCGCATCATGGCTTTTATTCTTTGTAAATAATCTCTTAATGTTTGACTCATTCCATCTTCCTGAGATTGAGGTTACAGGGTCACTCTTTAGAATTACTGTACTACTATATGTATGACGTGCATCTACATACAGGCATTTTGTAAGTAATTTGGATATATTGGTGAGACTAAATTCAGAAAGAGATAATGTAAGATAACAGTACACCTGTTTCTCATATTAGTAACTGTACACAGAGGAGTGTTCAGGTGTTTTGGATGGTTTCTGTATTTACAAAAACCTTTCTGGCAAAAGGAGGAAAGTATTTATGGCTGTGTTATGATTTTTTCTTTCTGGTGGCATGATATGTTTAACTGGATGTCATCTTGGAATTTTGATCACTCATTATGAAGGAATGTTTCGAATTAGGTGAATGGATTTCTTTTATGTTCACTCCATTATGTATACAATTCACAATCTTTTAATCTTAAATAAATTTTGTTCTTTTCTTGTATTTGTTCCTGTGTGTGCTTCTGTTTTTATTGTTGTTCAATCCATATGTCTGTTACCATGTCTAATGGAATTTTTCTTGTTAATCTATCCTCTTCCTAGTGTGTACTAATAATTCAATAACATTAATAACATCCTCTGTCTCGTCGTCGTCGTCTCCTGTAATTCCTGCCGTGATCCTTGTTACCCCAACCCAATCATCCTTATTTCCTGCAGATCTCAACAGTCCTAATGACACCCAACGATCACTCGATCCACCATATGATGTACAAGTATCACCCATGCGCAGCCTTAGTAAACAGAGCGCAGCAGTGAACTTGTTGCCAAATAAAATGAATGTATCGGAGCTGAGTGGCCAACAAGCAAGTGATCGTAAAGGTAAAAGTGCAAGTCTGGAGGAAGATGTGCTATCCTTGGATTCAACAGGGTATACACATGTTCCATGCAGTGATCCAGATTTTATTCGTAATACAAAATCTGGAATTAGAGCAAACCAGTGTAACCCTGTTGCAAATCAGAAGGGTATTACTGATAATTATGAACAGCAAGGCGACAGGTCTGTTAATGCATTTGATAAAGATTCTCCCGTAATGAAGACTGAAAGCACATCAAGTGTAACTCCCAAATTATCTCCTCTACTTTCTCGCCGTTCTCGTTTAGCTCCTCCACAGGTCAAGCGTTCAAGTTCAATGACCCGTCTGACAGAAGCTATTAACCAAATACACAATCTGTGCGTGTTTCCTGCTCAGCCAGTGCCTGTAGATCAAGTAAGTTTCAATATTAATTTTGTAATATTTAATAAATTGAAAGCTATATTTTCTGGGCAAGCCATGTCTGTATTTCTCCTAACTTGTGATACCGACCACCCCGAGAACACAGATCACGTGAGGCATTGGATTACTTTTCATACACATAGTGACAATCATATTGTCAAACTCTGTTGTACCCTCTTATCTGTGTTGGGAGCTTGTGGAAATCAGAGATTAATCACTTGCTCAAGGTATACTGCTCACTATTGTTTGGTATTGCCAAACTGCCAAACAACTTTCCAAACTAATTAAGCACTATTACCTGACTACTTTGGCATCCTTGTTAACAGGAGCATCATTTCTCAACTTTAAATAATTCCGGGTTGTACTTTAGGTAAACACATCGGTTTCATTGTCAACTGAAAAGAGAGAATTTTTGTCTCTGCTCTTGATGCTGGTTAAATGAGTGATGGCTTGGTTTCTCATAGTTGGGGACAGTAAGCCTGTTAAGCTTATCAAGGTTTCCCTAGACCAAACTAACCTTTACCAGACGCAACCTACAGTCATTGCCTAAATCTAAATCTTAAAAATTTTGAAATCCTTTTGAATAAAAACAACTTATGTTAGGTGGCTGGATACTGACGACTATAATCTATAATTTTATCTATAATCTGTTATATTGTGCTAGATTTTCAACATTCATATGTGGACACACACATTTGAGTGAGGCATTAGTGTGACTAGAGATTTTTAACTCAAGGTTGCATGTTTTGCATACCGTTATTGTTTATGATGTTTAACTCATCTGTATGCAGATAGGACAGACAGATTACCGGGTTAAGGCCAGCCACCTGTGTTAGTGCAGGCTCAGCCAGTAGGCAGTTGACACAAGCTCTCTTGTTTTTTTTTTACGTAGTGGACTCCCATGAACATAAACCATAAAGGTAATCTTGAGGTAACTCATGAATTATTCACTACTGAAGTTGTCTATTATTATATAGTGTGTGTATGTATAGTTGATTCAAATGAAAGTATTTTTGTGCATCAAGGTCGTATACAAAAGCGTGTATTGCTGTGAAAATAAAATGGTTCTGTTGTAGATTTCCAGATGATGATGTAGCTGGTGATTTTGAGTTTTGAAGAATTTTGAAATTTTGATGTGAAGAAATTTTGAAGACATTTTTGTAAGAGGGGTTGAGTTTTAGACATTTCCACTTTTTGGTCATGGATCTCGATAGCGGGTTGATCTCTGATCTGGCAAGTATCCTGGTGTTGTCACCTTCTTAAACATCCTGGTATGTTACCTGTGGGGAGCTACTGAGGTGTAACCTAGAAAGGGAGCACGTCTATACACTTAACACCATTTCTTTTTCATTATCATTAGCAAATAGTATTTTTACATGCAGTATTTTTTACTTACTATTTCCTGTACATTTGTGCTTTCAATGTGAATTATTTCTAGTTTTATTTGATTACAGTCAAATTCTAAGCTATTCCATAGGGTTGCTTCCTAAGGTGAGATTCTCCTGATCCCACGGACAGGATTATGTACAATTAATGCATTGTGCACCTGCACAGAAGGATGTGCAGAATGTTTCGGAATGTTTCTGCTGGGACATAATGGTGCTATGGAGATGATGGAAAATTCTCATTCCATTCCAGAATGGACTCCAAGAGGTACATTAAAATACACAAAAAGTTTATACCGTTCTTGGCATCATAGATAACGCCAAGCAGCACTCTCGTAAACTACTGATTTAGCCTGTCAGACCGCTACCCATAACTACCACCAGATGGACTTTAGTTAAGGGACTTGTTTATTCCTAGAAACATTGGTTTCATTGTTCAGGCTTATATTATAAGTGGAATATTGTTGTGTTTGGGTAAACAAGTGGCTATCATCTCTTGAGATTCCCATTATATTTGCAAATCTTTGTAACTTCATTTTGTGATTTGGGCGGATCTGAAAATTTTCCAGTGTCTATCTAGTTTGAATATGACTTGGCAGGAATGGTTTGAAAAGATGAGTTATGCACAGGTGCTAAATTTCAGCCTGAATTTCGGAGAGGATTATGGGTTTAACTAAGCAGTAATCCTCTCCATGGAACCATGAGAACTTTACCCTAGGAAACAACACTTGTCTTGCTCAGAAAGTTGCTTTATACAGTACAGTACTATACTGTATACTCAAAAGACTGATTAGTGGAAATTACCTGGTAGATATTTGTAAAATTGGAAATATCGATTTACATGTAAAATTGAAATATAAATATTTGTTTGACTGTGTATTATATAATTTGTAATTTTCTTTTGTTGTGATATACAGATGAATGAAAAGGTGGCAGAGCGCACTCCTAAGTCTCCCCGTGCATCTGCATCCATACGCCATCAAATGTCTGAGGTAAACAGTAGCGTTACCCTTACACCTCTCATTGCCACAATCCCTAGAACTGACCAAGTGTGTGCCCTGTCTCCCAACCTCGCCAGACATCCAGCATTTAGAGAGAGCTCGAGAGAAAATAGAAAGTCATGCACAAATTCCACAGATATTTTTGCATCCCAGTTTGAAAGAGTTCCTAATTCCATAACAGATCTTGAATATTTAATACATTCACAAAGTGTGTCTAGTCCAAAGAAAGTGCCATCTAGTCAACTTAATACTAATGTTTTTGAGAATGGTTTTTATACTTCTTGTCCTTTAAGAACTAAACATCAAATACCTAGTGCTAGTAGTAAAGCTTCGAGCTCAAATAGTGAACCTTTGGATGTTGAGAGTTCCAGGAGTGTTAACAGTAAACATAGGCCAAATGATTCTAAAGATGAAAAGAAATTAAGAAGAAACAGTGGCCAGAGAAGTGATAACACCCCGAAGAGCGACAGTGGTCCTGCTGAATTAAAGCATGCAAGCACAGCTCCTGACAAATTAGCAAATGAGGATCACTCCCTTTATAGTGCATCATGCCTGCAGTCTGATCTGGTAAGCTGTTAGATGTAGCACACCAATTCATGGCTTTGAACCACTTTTCTTCCTTTCTTGAATTGTGATTTGCTGAATTATTTAAGATTTGAATTCAATTTTTTATGTGGCTTAGTCTCTTTCTGAAGCACATGTACAGACACACAGATGCATGCATTTAATTACATGGCTGCATACACAGGCATGTGCACACCCATGCATGATCACACTATATACCTAATTCTATCCAAGGGTATGTAGCTCCAACAATGGAACCAGCATTGAGTAAGACACAAGAAGAAAATTTAGACAGTTCATATTTTTGTTACAAGGCAGGTACCGGAGATTAAACAAACGAGCTAGCTATAAGGACAGGCTAATAATCTAACAATGTTAGAAGAGTGAACAAAAGGTGGTATTATCATACATGCATGCTACTGAGAGTGAATAGATAAAGTGGATAGGGACAGTCTGTTTTTCCAGGTGTAGGATAAGCGAAAGAGTGTACACAAATGAAAGTTGAAAACATATGAGGCAGAGAAAATTGAGGTAACACTCTTTATGCAATGAGAGTGGTAAACTGTTAAACTCAAAAGAGGTAAACTTTTATGGAATGACCTTAATTCAGAGGTATAAGAAGCAGCCACTATTCTGTTTCTAGAGTAAAATTGACAAGAGTACGTATTGTAAAGTCAGATGGTATAAATGCATGCGATGCATTAGCTACGTGGTTCTAAACATGAATTTCATTCCCTAGGCACAGTTAAGTAAGACAACTAGAAAATACACCTCTACATACTCCACAACCAACTGCCCACACCAAACACACACACTGTAAATACTGATTCGATAACAGGGTTGTTGATTTGTGGAACCAGTTATCACGTAACGTGGTGGAGGTGCGGTCCCTTGATTGTTTCAAGCATGAGTTGGACATGTATATGAGTGGGATTGGGTGATTATAAATAGGAGCTGCCTCGTATGGGCCAAAAAGCCTTCTGCAGTTACCTTTATTCTTATGTTTTGTACCTGTAGCCACACCCATCCATGCACCACACCAAGCATACTGTAAAGGCAACCACACCCATCCACCATGTCACACCCAGTCATAATATATTTTGTATTGTGGGATATACCTGGTGCAGGAGCTGCAATTGAGAGTGATTTCAAAATATATAATTTAATTTATTTTTTATTAATACTCTCACTATCAGTTTCTATGGGTATAGATATAATCATCCTGTTAATAATGTTAAAAGTTCCTTTAAATATTGTAACCCAACTATCACGACCCCTAAAGTCAGTTATGTCTAAATTTGTAACAAACCTAATATCTGCAGTCTTGAGTACTCTGCAGTCTACCCACTAACTTTGCTGTGCATTTGGCCTTAATAAACAAGAGGTTCCTAATTTTATGTTTAGCAACCTTCAGTGTTCTCGTAGTGCTAGAGCCTGTACCTGTGTCCTCTCTAGTGCTGATAATCTTCAAAAAGACTTTTTGTTATTTTATATCCGAATACTGGTCCTGATGTCATATTCTTTTACCACACTGAGAGCAGTGTGTGTGCATAGAGTAATTACACTGTTTTCAATCACTTTATGATTTTGTCATCATTAGTAGCATTCTCTTCTGCTGCAAGCGATGAGTCACAATAACGTGGCTAAAGTATGATGACCATACCACACACTAGAATGTGAAGGGACGACGACGTTTCGGTCCGTCCTGGACCATTCTCAAGTCGATTGTGAATGTTGATTGAGAATGGTCCAGGACGGACCGAAACATCGTCGTCCCTTCACATTCTAGTGTGTGGTCTGGTCAACATTCTCTTCTGCTTACCACCTTCAGGCTTTTGAATATCATGTTTACGAAAAATGAGTACAATTTGCTTTATACAAATTATTTGTATAAAAAATGTTTAGTCATGGTCTTGATCATTGTCAAATGATATGAAGGGTTGAAGCACATGGCTGACAAGGTTGGCGCAGGTTTCATAGGACCAGTATTATGTAGGCTGCCATAGAAGGGTAAAAAATCACTTTGTCAAATAAATACTGTAATGTATTTCTACTGTTACAATTAATTAATTAATAATTTTAAATAATGTCTTATTATTAATGTATTGTTTAAATTATTTTATGTTTATCTCCAACTCAAATCCAACTAATTTGTTGCTTTATGCATGTTTACCTGGCATTTTCCAGGTTATCTGGGGCCAGATTCACGAAGCAGTTACGTAAGCACTTACGAACCTGTCCATCTTTTCTCAATCTTTGGCGGCTTTGTTTACAATTATTAAACAGTTAATGAGCTCTGAAGCACCAGGAGGGTGTTTATAACAATAACAACAGTTGATTGGCAAGTTTTCATGCTTGTAAACTGTTTAATAAATGTAACCAAAGCCGTCAAAGATTGAGGAAAGATGTACACGTTCGTAAGTACTTGCGTAACTGCTTCGTGAATCTGGCCCCCTAGACTGTTGTCCATGTAACCTGGCAACATTTTCTAGCTTGAGTTTGTTCTAACTCTCCTAAAGTCTCCTAAAGTTTGTCCTAAAGTATTCCAGTAAATTAAGATACGGATAAACAAGCTTTTATTGTATTTTTTTATTTTATATATATATATATATATATATATATATATATATATATATATATATATATATATATATATATATATATATATATATATATATATATATATATATATATATATATATATATATATATATATATATATATATATATATATATATATATATATATATATATATATATATATATATATATATATATATATATATATATATATATATATATATATATATATATATATATATATATATATATATATATATATATATAATATCTGTACAGTCAGCCCGACCTCCTAAGATTTTACAATGTCAAGAAACTGTTGTACTAAAGTGCCCCTATCCTAACCTACCAGAGGACGCAAAACAGAAAATGGGGCAGTATGTTAATATTGCGAGCCGCTACCATTTTCTAGTACGACAATTTTTGGCCTTGGGTAGAGTATACAGTACGTCAAAATGCGACGTCCTATTAGGAGGACAGGTTAGTATAGTAATACAATTCTTGCACGTGGAATGCATCCTATTTTTCACTCAAGATCCTAAGCAAATTACAGTACTGTACACTGGACTCCTGATTGATTGGAAAATCTTTGTACCAAATAGCTGGATGTATTAGTAGGAATCAATTAGGGCAGTGCCATTGTTATGTTTGGATGCATCACGAAATAAGGGGGTAATCTTTTTAAATTATACTTCCTTTTAAGTGATTTTGATATAAAAATTGTGCACAAAAGTCTATATTGTTGTTTACATCAATTAAAATCTAATAGTAAATAGTGGAAAGCACAGAAAATTAACAAAAAGGGAGAGAAATTTCAAAATAATAAAAGATATTATATGAGATGATGTTTTAAGCTTTAACGGCTTGTTTTGATAAAACCCTTACAGGTAAAACGTGTAGAATTATAGTCTACTCTTAACTTCGTGTTTCTCCTCAAAATCATACTAATGATTTACTATAAGAGCATAAATAGAAAAATGGATGGAATGTAATTAGCATTGCAGTGGAAGGGGTCCAGTATGAATCTGTCTGAGAGGGAGTCCAGTACGCAATGAGTGAAGTGTCTTGGAATGCATCCCTCGTGCAGAGTTGGGAGGTAACTTTGTGTAACTAGGTGGATCTCGGTAAAACATAGGCTTCCTATCCTCTGATATGGTATAATTTACCCCTTAACCCCTGCACTGCCCACCTGTTTTTGTCAAAAACTTCATAGTGCAATTGAGGACATATTTTTGTTGTTTTTATAAATATTCTGGTAAAGTTAATGTCAAAATGTTTCCAAACTCAACTATTTTCATTTCAAAACACAAAGAGTGATGAAAACATTAAAAAACATTAAAATATAGCATAATTTAAAAAAAAAAACACAGCTCTCAGAACGACTTTTGTTGGCTGGCGCAGTTAAGGGATTAAAGTCCATGTGCACATAGACATCTTGTGGTAATCCTGTTTTCTTACCTTCATTTTTGCACTATATTGTTTACAATCTCAATCTTATTATCTATCATTGAAATTACTGCATACAGTTTAGTATTCTTAACGGACCATTCATAAATCACAATTTTAGTATGGAGTAGACACATGCGTGACGTCACATCTAAAATGTATGCTCGAAAATGGAGCAATAATTTAATAAATAGAATGCATTGTAAAGTGAAATGGTGGAGAAAGTATGACGATCCCAGTAGATGCTGAAACCTGTAAACCAGTTGATTGATGACAGAGACAGGCCCAGAGAGTCGAAGCTCAACCCTACCATGTGCAAATAGACGAGTATTCCTTCCCCAGCCACGACTATCCCACCTACTCCTGAACCCAATCATTCCTGCCTCAGCCACACCATTTTTCACATACCCAGGCCAATGAAAGCCAACTAATCTTTTGCCTAATCTAAATAAATGTAACATTATTTAAATGAAAATAATAAAGCATTTTAATACCATTTGCAGTGTACCATGGACTTGATATATTGTACTGTAATTTCATTACTAAAATTGCATTAATTCAAAAATGTATTGCATTAAAGTACTGTACAGTAGTGAGTAATTTAATGTATATATGATAGATGAGGATAATGTTTGAAATAATATCTGGTATGTAGATATGTACTTAATAGCATTTGGTCTGTGGGTTGAGGTTATGAGGTTATGCAGAACACGGGTTCAGTCCCCATCCCGGTCCTGAGATTTTCTCAGAAAAGTATCTTGTTAATGTGATTTCATTGTCCGTGTGTAGATACTGTATTGTATATGAGGAATTGTGGAAAGTGTTTGCAGACAGGGATGGTGCATTCATGGATGACTGTGATAACATTGTAAATCAAATACATTAATGCACTCTAATTACAATCAGGAAAGAGGGAATTTAGATGTTCAGGAATTGATGAAAACAATTATTGTAGAGTTAGAAGCAAAATTAGTGTGTGGGAGATTATAAATTCAGTTGTGAAATGTGGTTGGAAGAGCCAAAGAGAGAGTGTATGCTTGTTTGATTCATCCATTCAGTAAGTTGTTGATCCAATCAGTAAGCTGTTAGTGTCAGGTAAAATGTTGAAGGTTGGTGCAGTTTACAGTACTGTATTAGGTAAGTATACAGTATTGTTAGATTTGGTCAGATTTGTGTAATATTTTGTGCAAGGCTCAGTTTAATATGTTTTTATTAAAATAAAATAGGGGTTACATAGCTGTCAGAATATAAGTACAGTACATGGTTTGACTTTTTTTAGAAGTGAACCTTATGTCTAGAAGTGAATAGAATGAAGGGTGTGTCACGGAGACATACTGGAGATGTATTTAACATGCATAAGTTTTCAAAAAGTATTTTTAATAAAACTGAGATGTATATTGAAGATTTGAGAACAAATTTTCAGTATACAGTACAGTATGCTGTATAATAAAATGAAGTGATTAAGGAAGACTTGGAGAATGATGAACAAAACATGGAGTGATCTTAGGGTTGAAAGTAATCTACAGGTAAGCAGTACAGTTATTTTGTATTTAAGGGAAACCCTAAAAAATTAATGGGTCTTTATTATTTTTTCTGTGGGGAGCCCCTCTGGCTCCCTGGAGCTATCGGACTGATATATGCTATATTAGTCTGAGGCATCAATCAATGGAGTTCTGCCTACTGGGGACCACGAACCAGAACCTGGGCCCCCTCAGAGAGGCATAGGAAGCAATGGCCTATGGAAACTCCCATGTGTTTGGGAGCATTCCATGTCTGCCAATGACTGGGGTTAGGAACCCACAAAGATAGGCATAACAAAAGACCCCACTTGGTAAGAAATTGCAACTGTAGACCGAACAGAGAGGCAGAACTCCCCAAAATTTAAACAAGCAAACATCATACACCGCTGCTGTGTCGGCGTTTTTTTATTTTTGATGCTCGGCCTGCGAACCGAGGTGTGAGTAGCCGGCGTGGGAAGTTCGGGGCTTCCCCCTCCTAGGGAGGGGAGGGCTGCACAGACAAGTGGTGCAGCGGCGGTGTATGATGTTTGCTTGTTGCTTTAAGTTTTGGGGAGTTCTGCCTCTCTGTTCGGTCTTTGGTTGCAATTTCTTACCAAGTGGAGTCTGTTTTGCTAGGCTTACTTTTCTGGGTGCCTAAACCCAGTTGATGGCAGACACGGAATGCTCCCAAACACATGGGGGTTTCCATAGGCCATTGCTCCCTATGCCTCTGAGGGGGGTCAAGTTCTGGCTCGTGGTCCCAGGTAGGCTGAACTCCGTTGATTGATGCCCCAGACTAATATAGCATATAACAGTTCGATAGCTCCAGGGAGCCTCCGGGGCTGAACCAGAAAATGGCGTTTCATTATATACAACACTGGTTTTCTGGGGGGGAGCCTCTTCAGCTTCTTGGAGCTAACCGGGCTGATATGAATGTATAAGACTGTCTGTGTTCATCAAATGACGTCTGTGCTCATTGACGGCATCAGTTAATGTGCATGGCGTTCTAGGCCTACTGGGGACCACAAGCCAGAACCTGGCCCCCCTAAGAGAGGCATGAGGAGGAATGGCCTGTAGAAACCCCGTGTGGTTGGAAGCATTCCATGTCTACCATCGACTGGGTCAGGCACCCAGAAAGGTAAGCCCCCAAAACAAACCCCTATTCTGATTAAAATATTGCTACTGAAAGCCGAACTAGTGGACAGAACTCCCCAAATGAAAATGAGTAAACGAGCATGACGTCTGTGCAACCCCCACTCCCCGGGAGGGGAAGGGGGAGCCCCAGACCCCTGTGCTGGCTATCCACCCTTCAGTTCTGTGGCTGATGTGAACTGGCAAGGTTGTGCGCCTCTCGCTCCTGTTTCTCCTTTTTCTCTCTTCCTCGGTTTTTGGTGGCCCCTTCAGTTCAAGATTATTCTTCCAAGGCTCTTTTTTCCTGTTGGCATTGGCCTCTGGGGGTTGGGTTGGGGACTTTCATATTCTCCTCCTGCGCAGGGGTTTCTGCTGTTTTTGGTCTTGGTGGTAGGTTTGTTTGCAACCGTCTCCTCCTTTTCTGCGGAAGAACTAGACTGCTGCTTTTTGGAGGGGTTCTTGGGTTGTTGATGCTTGGTTGGTTAGGCCTGGGGTGTATCATGTGTTGTGTCTGGTTGCAGCTCTTCACCATTACCTGTACGCCACGGCCTTGGTTATCTTGAGGTTATCTTGAGATGATTTCGGGGCTTTTTAGTGTCCCCGCGGCCCGGTCCTTGACCAGGCCTCCACCCCCAGGAAGCAGCCCGTGACAGCTGACTAACTCCCGAGTACCTATTTACTGCTAGGTAACAGGGGCATTCAGGGTGAAAGAAACTTTGCCCATTTGTTTCTGCCTCGTACGGGAATCGAACCCGCGCCACAGAATTACGAGTCCTGCGCGCTATCCACCGGGCTACGAGGCCCCCATGGTGGCTGGGGATGCACTTTGGGTTGACCCGGTTTCCCTACTTCTCTGTTCTGGGTTTTGGGTCTCCCAGGTCATCCACAGGGTTATTTGGTCCAGCCAGCCTGCAGTCTATCCTCATGCCCATGACGTTTGTAAGTTTGCAGCGCTGGCTGCCGTCTTTGGTAACATGTCTTGGGCTGATATTCAGGCACGGGGCTTTTGGAGGTCGAACAGGGTCCTGGCCGCTATCTACCTTGTCAATGTTCCTGGGCTTAGTTGGGCTTGTGTCGCATTGGGTCAGTGGTTGCAGCCAGTTGTCTTGACTTTGCATTGAGGAGTGAAGGCCAACTGCCTCCCGGGTAAGTCCTTCTTGTTTTGTCTTTGGGAAAGTAGTTCTGGGGAGCCAAAGGGGCTCCCCCCAGAAAATCAACGTTGAATGTAATGAAACGGCAGTTTCTGGGTGAGACCCGGAGGCTCCCTGGCATCTTCCCTCCCACCGGTTGGCATATTTTCGCGTTTTTTGACACCCAGCCTTAGAACTGCCGGGTGGATAGTCTGCGCGAGGGTCTGGGGTTCCACCTTCCGTGGAAGGGGGAGGGGAGGTTACTCAGCGATGTGGTGACGTCATGCTTGTTTGTTCGTTTTCATTTGGGGAGTTCTGTCCACTAGTTTGGCTTTTAGTAGCAATATTTTAATCAGAATAGGGGATTGTTTTGGGGCACTTACCTTTCTGACCCAGTAGATGGTAGATGCTTCCAACCACACAGGGGTTTCTATAGGCCATTGCTCCTCATGCCTCTCTGAGGGGGCAAGGTTCTGGCTCGTGGTTCCCGGTAGGCCTAGAACTCCATGCGCATTGACTGATACCAGGGTCTAATGCATTCACATCAGCCCGGTTAGCTCCGGAGAGCCACCAGGTCTCACCCAGAAACTGGCGTTTCGTTATATTCAAAGTTGTTTTTTTTTATCTTGCATAGTGAAGACATGTACTAAAACGTCTAATGCAAAGTGCACAAAGTTTTATCTGTCTTTACACTATTATATAATTTCCTGTCAGAGTGCAGTACACAGCAAAATATATCACAACTCCTTAGGTTTTAAACTACTGTAATGTTTAAACTTACTGAGAATTTTATCAGTTCTTAGTGTAATATTGTAAAACATTAAAAATGCACCAGTACAGAATAATAACAGTATGTATACATTTTGGTTAGTCTAAAAGCAGCACTTTGTATGCAGGAACAGGGATTTTCTGGTCGGTCAGTATCATGGTATGGATACAAGAAATCAAGTGATGGCTCTGAAGGAAATGAAAGGGAACACAAGGTATGTGGTTCTTCTCAAACTTAACATTACCTAACCTTAATAATCAAATGAGGTTATTTGATTTAATAATCTATAATCATATTTACCTAATAATCAACTTGTATCATATAACAAGTTGATCCATGCAGAAAATCTTCCATACATAATTTATATTCAAAATAATCTTATCAATATCCACTTGCCTAAATATAATATTCTTCCATCAGATGTTATTCTCTACCAGAAGAACACTGCCAATGTTCATTATTAATGTCTGCATTAGTGGCATTATAGTCTAGGGGATTGTGCACAAAACCTAGGAGATTGTGTCCATACTTATTCCTATATACCAAAATTATTTTCAATAGAAGTTGTGTGTTCTTGGGTTCTTAGGATCATGATGTGCTGGACTCTTCTCTTCAAACGTGCCGTTCAGCCTCTCTAGACGAACTGAGCAGCATTGATCACTCTTACGGGCTACCTATGATATCACCGGTGGATGCAAAGAAAAAGTAAGCTTTCTCGTGATATAATTAAGTAATTATTAGCTTTGTTTAATCATGTCTTGTAAAGTGCATATAAAGTACTAATATAATTCATTTTCATTCAGGTGATATAAATAGGAAATGGAGTGATAGCATATTGGGTCATTATCAAGATCCGTGAAATCTCAGACAGAAAGAGATGCACTGAAGTTTTAAAGATTATGTAATCTGACTTAAGACGTTCTAAAATGTCTCTTCTTTACTAGTCTTTCTCTTGTCTTAGTGATCCTTTAAATTTTATCAACTTTGCCTATTTTCAAACTGAAAAAAATTCATATATGAATTCATATATGAATGAGATTGTAAGAATATGAATAGGAGCTGCCTCATATAGGCCAATAGGCCTTCTGCATTTTCCTTGTTTTTTATGTTCTTATTGATACATGCATACATATATACAAAAACATTCATTCATTCAATGATGCATATTCATACATACATGTCAATTAATGAATAAAATGAATGAATGTATGTATCAATAAGAACTTAGGATACTGAAAAAGACCTATGAGCCCATGTGAAGAGGCTCCTATTTAGAGCGATCCAAACTCATTCATATATGGGTGTATTTGCCCATATGAGGATGTAAATAGCAGCTGCCTTACATGGGCTAATAGCCCACTTGCAACCCTGTATTTTTTATGCTACATATAATGTATACATACTGGTAAATTCCTCCTTTTATACATTAATACATTCGTTGTAGGTCTAAATATATTATCGTTATAGTTACTGTAGTAATGTACTCAATCCAGGTTATTGTAAATTACACAACTGTATTAAGTTGCCACTGTTGCCATCGTTATCCAGATGTATGGAAGATGTTCACATGTTTGCTGCTCAGACATTTTGACTTCAAGGACTTCCAAAGGTATAAGCATAGTAAACCTACTTGAAAATTATGATCACCGGGACGTTATGATGCGTAGGGAGTCCAAATTTTGATGATTTTGTCAGAATTGTAGTACAGTACTGTACTCTGTTCTGGATTATGGTAAACTACTCAGGTAGCAAAATCTTCCTGCTATTTTAAAGTTTCCATTGTTTTAGGTCAGGATATTTGAGGTTTTGTTGTAAAGTACAGTACTGTACTGTACTGTACTGTACTGTACTCCATTTTCATTACTAATACATATTTTGCTTTTCTCCAGTTTTTATTGTAATTTATATTTTGTATTTCTATGGTACTGTGTATTTCCTAAACTTTGTAAACTTTTAAGGTTGTAACTTTCCTAATACAGGGCTGTATTTTTAATTTTCTTGGCATTTTTCGCAGGAACTATCTTTTTGGAGGTTTGAGTAGCCTGTTTGGGGCATCAGAGTTAGACCGCTACTTTCCTACACGCAGCATTAACATCTTTATTGCAACTTGGAACATGAATGGCAAGGTGGGCATAACCAGTGGCCTGTTTGAACCCTTTGATGATTTGTAGGTGGCTAAAGTCTGCATATAGAGTGTTAGCAGCCCTGAACTATTTGCAGTACTTTGATTACTTATAATCTTTTATAGTGTGTATTTGGTTATTTTTATCTTTGGTCCTTTTCAGTTTTGTCTGCTAGTTGAAGAAAATTAAAGAGAATGCGGCATTCTCTCATCAAATATAATTAGTTTCCAGTAATGCTTGAAATGCTAAATACTACTAAAACTCATTTATGAAAAGAACAAATCTGGTTTACAGTACTTAATTTTTGTCTCATTAATATAGTTTTATTTCCCTCAGTGAATGTGGATGGGAGTTGTTATCCTTGAGCACCAGTCAGTGTATGCTCGTGCCTTTGAAGGTGGATGCAGCGGTCAGTGACCAGGGATTGGTTTTGTACTGTATGCCATCTATGTGCTCACCATTAGAAACAATGAACGCATTCTGTGATTAGTGTTAGGATTAGATGAAACGGCTTTCATGTTATACTGATATGTTCTTGAATGTGCCTGTGATTACGATAGTGGACGCCTTGGTTGTGATACCTGATGAATGAGAACCTCTGCCGTGTCCACAGATTACCAGTTTTGTATGTTTATCTCTTGAGGGCTTGTAATACTGTACTGAAGCTGTGTGGGCAAAATTAGGTGCATTGTGTATGCATTTATGTTTATGATTGTTTAGCCTTGAGGCATTATTTGTAACCATTGCATTTTGTTGTATAAAAAAATATATACTTTTACATATATAAATTTGCAGCAGTTTGTTTTTCTATATCGGTATTAGATGGGATTAAATTTAATTCAGATGGTTAGTCAGATTATTTGATTTGTGATTTAAACTTTCCATGTCTTATATACATAGGTTAGATTGAGCACACATAATGCCTCATAAAAATTACAGAAGGGTAATAACCATAGTCATGGTTGCTGGAGTAATACCAGCATTAACAGTAATACTGGCAAGTTGTTGCAATAACAGTACTCTACTATTAACAAACTTAGCAAACTTATAATTTGAATGTCAGTTTGTATTCCCAAACTCTGATGCATGAGCATATACAATGTAAAATATATTGAGTATAATTTGTTGTGGCATCATAGTACTTACAGTATTATGAATCGTACCGCCCATTTGGGTTTGGTTCTCCATGCAAGTCATGGTCGGGAAGTGTCCAACACTCGTGCAGATGATCTGTCCCATCTTCAAGGAGTAGATTTTCAATGATACCTGCTTCCAGTGCCTTTGTGAGGTATTCAGGCACCCAAATATAGCTCTTTGTATTGGCTCAGAATTGTCACCTTCCTCTTTACATGGCTTCATTCTCTGATCGCGAGGCCCTTGCACTGGATGCCTTTTGGCTGGATTAATCGCAGTGAGGGTTTCTGTAGCTCTTTTTCCCTAGTTGAGCTGTTGCTGCAGGTCCTTGCCAGGTTGAAGTCCTACCAGGAAAAGGAGGTCCTACCTCTGGTAGGATTCCGTTCATGTGGTGCTTTCATGTCTTGGTTGATTTCTGATAACCATCTCGTGCCAGATACTGTTGAATCATATCATTCAGCACCGATGGCCGCCTCCATTTGGCATTGATACTTCCTTGGCGCCGTTTTGAAAGCTTTATCGTGCATTGTCTCGCCTCCAGCTTGCTCATGAGCTGCCTGAGCCTGCTTGGTCCATGGACCAAGTCCTCGCCTTTCTTTCTTTCTTCACATTTTCTGGTGTTCACATTGGTCCTGATTCCCTTTCTAAGCCTATTATTCTTTTGGTACTTGCCTCTAGTTGTACAGTTGGGGAGCATCATGTTCTTCTCCAAAGAAGTTTGTTCTCTGGAGTTTTGTTTGTTTTGTCTCTGATAGGCATTATGTTCATCTCCAGTGATTCTTCTTTTCTGTCAAAGAATCAGTCATTAGGCTTTTGGAAGGGTCCCTTGGTTGTTGATGTTTGGTTAGTCTGGCTGGGGGTGCATCATGTAGTGTGCCTTGTGGCGACTCTCCACTGTTACCTTCGTGCCACAGATTCTGCCTTGTGGTTACCTTATGGGTTGATCGTGTTTCCTTGGTTTTTGTTCCAAGGCTAGTGTTTCACGGCTCATCCTCAGTGTCATGAAGTCCAGCCAGCATGCTGTCTACCCTCGCATCAATGATATTCTGTAATACACTGCTCTTGCAACAGTTTATGATAACATATACTGGGCTGATATTCAGGTGCAGTGATTTTGGCAGTCTAACAGGATTCTGTCAACTCAGTGTTTAGTTAATTACCGTGCCTCCTCATGCCTGTGCCACCTTGGATCATGTCTCATGGGTCTGGTGTCCTGACTAACTGCGGTTTCTCTTCCCTCGTGAATCCCTCCCTAATTTCTCCTACCTTCCAGGTCATTGGTTAGTGGATGTTGTCTTCACATCTGGCGGGAATCGGGGTATGACCGGATGCTTTCCCCAGTGGGGTACAAGAATTGTACCTGGGGTGGGGTTCTGGGAGACTGTCTACTCCCCAAGCCTAGTCTGGGGCCAGGCTTGACTTTTGAGAGCCTGGTTCAACAGGCTGTTGCTTGGAGCAGATTGCAGGCCTACATAGCCACTACAGCCCAGTTGATCTGGCACTTCTTGAAGAAAACTGTAATTTTCTATTGAAGGCTTCCACTTTCATTCTGGCAATATTTCATATACTTCCTGGGAGGATATTTAACAACCTTGAGCCTCTGATGCTCAGTGTTATCTGATTGTCCCTATGGTACCTTTACTTTTCACTGGCTCTATTCTTAATTTCCTTCCATATCATTCACACCAGCATGTTGTTATTTTACTCTGCAAATTTAGGACCTGGCCCTTCAGTATTTTCCATGGACAGTGGTACCTTGGTTTACAAATTTAATCCTATCGAGAACGAGAACTATTCTATCATTTTCTTGCTTGGTTATGCTCCCTAAATATTAGGTCATCAGACATCATTCTTCCCAAATGCTTTACGTGTTGCTTTCCTACTATGGACTGTTTTGATTGTGTATTGTCACCGCTCTGTGCTCTGTAAGGGGTTCTAGCTCTGGTTCCTAGTAGGCCAAATAGAACTCCATGGCTGGTGGGATGTAGTAGATGGGAGCCATCTCAGTGAGACAGTTTCAGGAGCCACCAGCGCTCCTTCAGAAATTGGAGTTTCATTACATTCAATGCTGGGTTTTTACATTTCATTTGCAGTGAAGCTTCATTTGATATAGTTTTGCACTACTGAATAAATTCTCATATAATATGTACAGTTTTTGTATTCAGCAAGGGGAGGGAGCCGTTCGGCTGAGCAGACAGCACGCTGGACTTGTGATCCTGTGGTCCCGGGTTCGATCCCGAGTGAGAAACAATGGGCAGAGTTTCTTTCATCCTATGCCTCTGTTACCTAGCAGTAAATAGGTACCTGGGTGTTAGCTGTCACGGGCTGCTTCTTGGGGGTGGAGGCCTGGTCGAGGACCGGGCCGCGGGGACACTAAAAAGCCCCGAAATCATCTCAAGATAACCTTAAGGTAGCATTGCATCAGAAATAGTGCTGGTGCAATGCCATAGTCCTTCACCAGATTGGTTACAGTATGGTCACTCAAGTTTCATCATTATTTTGCATTTTTTGTGACTGAATTACATCTTTCATCTTATTTATTTCTGCCCCACTGATACTGCTGCTAGTCATACAGTATTTCTTACTAAACGATAGTCCAATAAAATAAAAAATATAAAAATTCCTTGAGTCTATAGAATCGTGTAGCAGTATCACATGAGGGAAGAAAGAAAACATGACAGGCATGGAGGGAAAGTATAAACACATGACAGGCATGGAGGGAAAGTATAAACACATGACAGGTATGGAGGGAAAGTATAAACACATGACAGGTATGGAGGGAAAGTATAAACACATGACAGGTATGGAGGGAAAGTATAAACACATGACAGGTATGGAGGGAAAGTATAAGCACAACAGGGTCTAGCACATATTTCTCAGAAAACAAAAAAAAAGGTCACATTAAATATGCCCATTACATTACAGTACTGTAATTAATTTCAAAGAATTGTTAAATTATTTGTTTAATTTAATGAGATTTACTTATATGGACTTTTTGTGCAGTGTGCAAAAGATATTTTGTGCACTGTTCGGGGACATTTTGTTGAAGTGCATCTTGATGGGTGCCAGTCAGAAACGTGCGCATGAATTGTCACGGGATATTTTACAAAACTATCCCGTGAAACTGAGGTTAATTCATATTTAGTTTGCAATAAATGTTAAAGCTACCAGTGGAAACAGAATTTTGAAGGAATACATTACATTTGAAGGGGAGTACGTTTGAATTTGAATATATATACAGTACACAATAAGTAATGAAGTGTAAAATGATTAAGTGGTCATGATTATAAATTTTATGTAGCGCTTTTAGCTGGAAATGACTGTACAGAGCTTCACAATAAAGTATATTTTACAGATATATTTAATATAAGTTTACATTAAAATTTAGTAATACATCATAATTGTTTACTTGTATGTAGGAGCCACCAATGAATCTAGAAGCTTTTTTGCTTCCTGATGAAATGGACCACATGCCTGACATGTTTGTCGTTGGCACACAAGAGTCTGGTGGAAGCCGCTCCGAGTGGGAGGTACGTATATACAGTACTGTACTGTACACCATATATTTTTACAGTAGTTGTAGTTTATATAGTAGTTATAATAGAGTTTAGCATTGGTAAACGTGTACTCACAGAATTATCTTATATTGTGTACATAGTTGTACCAACTCTGATCCTAAATAACTACTACTGTATTCTTCTATGAGTGTCTGTTGGTTAACAAAATCTGTTGGGATAGTACTGTAGTTTTAAAATCATGTGAATATACTGGACTGAATTAATTTTGGAAAGTGAGCCCTCAGTAGGTGCCCAGGCTTAGCTCTCATACCACCAACCCTTAGCCCGACTCGCCAGGCTTCGTGAGAGCCACATGTGAGTTTTGTGATGTGTGGCTGCTTACATTCTTCCTCGCTGAATGTTTGAGGATGCAGTTTGTTTCAGCAAAACAGATTCCCTTGTCCCAGCACATCTGTCAGTCTGTCTGACAATTACAATCGACTTGATAATGGTCCAGGACAGACCGAAAGGTCGTTGTCTCTTCACTTTCTAGTGTGTGGTTTGGTCAACATTTTGCAGCCACTTTATTGTGACTCCTCATCTGCATGTGTGATGGTTTGGGTGACTGGAATCCCTTGTCGTAATGAGATTTATTTCTGATGTGTGTTATCAAACAAGTCATTATGGCTTTCCCCCATCTGATTTCCAACTTAACACAGCTGTTTGCAGTAATAGTCAATAAATTTAAACCTGGATCACCTGCCATGAAAAGCTCAGTTGCTCAATTTATCATGCTTGCTTCGGTACTTTTTCTTATCCTCATATCAGACATAGACAAGGATACAAACTATAGTACTGTATCATCCTTTTTTCGCTTCTGTAGTCCTGGGTTTGAGGCTCTGATGGTCCAAGTGAATAAATCTGTTGTTCTCGTGTAATTACAGTAAATTATAAGTTTGGACAGTTCACTTGTGCCTGGTTAAGTTTGAAAGCTGAAAATGCTTAAAGCAAAATATTTATGAACAAAGTATCAGTGTTCTTAGTAGATGAAGCAATTTGTATGGTATTATGATTGGCAGAAAATGAACAACTCGCATACAACTCACAATCATTAGTTTGAGATTTGAATGAATTATGTAGCTGTATTTTAAATGTTGTGGTTACTGGTAACTAAAATATTATCGTGTAAATTTATTACATTCTTTCTTTTTCAAACAGGAAGCTTATTTTTTGTATATGTTGTTTGCTAGGCTGAGCTCTGCTTTTCTAGAATACAGTAGATGCATACATGATGTGTAACAGTAGTCATGGTTCCATATTTCTAGATATAGTAATATGATATTGTATACAGTATTTACATTTTCTGTACTTTTTCTAGAACATTAGAGAGTTCATGCATGGTTGACTGCTGTAGTACTCAATATTGAGCAACATGCAGAATAACCACATGTGAAAAATAGAAAATGCTTAACGCGTTTTCGGCTAATTCGCCTTCATCAGAGCAAAGTAGAATCATTCTACTTTGCTCTGATGAAGGCGAATTAGCCGAAAATACGTTAAGCATTTTCTATTTTTCACATGTGGTTATTCTGCATACTTGGATCAGTGTTTTTGTGATCATTGTTGCATTGAGCAACATATATAAATATTTAAACAAATTTCAGGTACGCTTACAGGCTACCATTGGTCCCTCTCATGTACTCTTTACCTCAGCTATATTTGGTGTTCTCCATCTCACCATATACCTACGTAGAGATCTCCTCTGGTTTTGCTCAGGTAAGAAGGTTGCTACTCTGCTTATTACATGTCCTTCTGCTCAAACTCTTATTCCTTATCATTCTTTCCCTGCTTCCTATCCTCGTCTACGTTTTCTTTACTTGTGGCTTCCTTTTCTTCCCTTACAACAAATTTCTGCTGGTATATACTAGCTGCAGCAATCCCTATTCCTGCCAAATGTTCTTATTATTTTTAGTGCAAGAACGCAATTACTGCTTCACTTACGTAATAGTATCTGCATGTGAAATTCCTTGGCAAGTGTTTCACTCGCTCCTTGAAAGGTTTTCAACTCTTAGAAGAAATTCAGTCCAGAGAAGTTTGTAAATAAAGTTCACTCCTCAAAGGAGGAGAGTACTTTTGAGGAAGGAAAGCTTGATAGAAGTAGTTACAGTAGTTATACTGTACTTGTATTGATGATGTTGTTCATGTGGAAAACTGCTCTACTCTTACTTAATCCTGTAAAATATTTAGTGGGTAATTTTGTCGAGTTAACTGGACAGAGTATGAACAGTACATCTTATTTACGATTAGAACTAAACAATAGTTTAAGCAGAGATGGAAGTGCAGTCAAACTTACTGTGGCATGCTCAATTTTGTTGACTTTTATTAATGCCTTGAGATAGTTAACCATTTGTCTTGGGGAATGTATCTTTTACTCTGTGACAGATATATGCAGTAGAACTAAACAATAGTGTAAGCAGAGATGGAAGTGCAGTCAAACTTACTGTGGCATGCTCAGTTTTGTTGACTTTTATTAATGCCTTGAAATAGTTAACCATTTGTCTTGGAGAATGTATCTCTTACTCTGTGACAGATATATGCAGTAGCGAAGAGCCTGAATTGTTGGATATATGATATTCACTCGCTTTCTTCTTACAGTTCCAGAAGAAGATACTTATAGTCTTCGTCCTGGCATTGCTTATAAGACGAAAGGAGGTGTGGGAATTGGTTTTCAGTTCTTTGGTAAGTTTGTGCTGCAATATATTTAGAATTACAGTAATTATAAATATAGTAAGAGATATTGTATATCTAACATTTGCACTGAACAGCAGGAGTTGTATAGCTCCGTGATCCTGTGGTCCCTGGTTCGATCCCGGGCGCCGGCGAGAAACGATGGGCAGAGTTTCTTTCACCCTATGCCCCTGTTACCTAGCAGTAAATAGGTACCTGGGAGTTAGTCAGCTGTCACGGGCTGCTTCCTGGGGGTGGAGCCTGGTCAAGGACCGGGCCGCGGGGACACTAAAGCCCCGAAATCAACTCAAGATAGCTCGTGTATTTACATGAGGACAATGTTGAAATAGATGTTAAGAAGGAAACAATGCAGAGGGTCACACTTTTCTTTACTTTGTCTAGGAACACAATTTGCATTAGTTGCTGTCCAAGTACTCGGCTTGGTTCCCCTTTGACCCTTCGTAGTCTTTCGTTACTAAGCCAACTGTGGATTTTGTGGGGGGTTGTATATTATCCCCTCCATTGCAGTTTTTTAATGACTCGACCTCTTTTATTCCCTTCATTGCAGGATGCTATTCTGACTTGTTAGTGGGGTTGCATCCTGGGAAGGATCAGTAGTTTGACCTCAAGGGACCGTCTATACTTGCATAAAATATATATATATATATATATACAGTATACACGGGCTTCCTGTCTCTGACGAGATTAATTATCATATAAAATATTTTTCTCTCGTGTGGCACCTATCAACTCTAGGAAGCATTTAAGGTTATTTATTTGATTTATTTATATACAAGAAGGTACATAACAGTGTTCTTACTTTCTTGCAAAGCACTAACATGCATAGCATTTCAGATAGGTTAGCGTTCGTACAGTATTGCAGTTAAGAGTTTTATGGATACTTCAATTTTTATGGATACTTCAGAGTGTGTGCAGTGACTTGATATTTAACATACATAATTCAAGATTTTCAACAAGGTGCTGAATTCTGTCTACGATTGGAGTTTGTTATTGTACTTATTGCTGCCTTATGTTGAGTAACTATGGGTCAAAGGTAATTTTGGGTTGTAAACTTCCAAGCCCAGATACTGTAGGCGAGATATAAATAGATGAGAATAATTTAGTCATAAGGCAGAGCAAATACTAACATCAAATACATGTACTGTACTAGTATTTGGTTTTAGAGACTGTTACCTTACCTTGAAGTGTTTCCGGGGCTTAGCGTTCCCGCGGTCCGGTCGTCGACCAGGCCTCCTTCAAAACCATTGAACAGGACTGTCTACGGTTTAAGAAATTTGTTATTATATTTTGTACAGTACATGGCAATTGAATTCAGTTTATTGTTAATGTAAACTCCAAGAAATTTCCCATCTATTCCATTCAATTTGGGTATTGTTAAGTCTTACTTTAATTTGATTGGTGGACGTTTTCCCAAGCAATATGTAATGTTTTTTCAATGTTAAGAGTGAGTTTAACAGTGAGCCACAATTGGGCTGACTTTCGCTCGGTATTCACTGTGTCATTTAGAATAAGTGGGTTTTCATTTGAGAAAATGAAGGCTATGTCATTAGCAAATAGAATTGATTTCAGGTGTTGAATGGCATTTGATAGGTTGTAAAACTAATCTAAATGAGAAAGGTGTGAACCAAATATACACAGGGTGTGAACCTTGTGGAACACCAAGTGTTAATTAGTAGTGTGGGAGAAGTAGCATCATTCACAGAAGCATACTGGCATACTGAGAGGAATGAGCTACGAGGAAAGGCTAAAGGAGCTGAACCTCACATCCCTGGAAAACAGAAGAGTAAGGGGAGACATGATAACCACCTACAAAATTCTCAGGGGAATTGACAGGGTGGACAAAGACAAATTCTTCAGCACGGGTGGGACACGAACAAGGGGACACGGGTGGAAATTTAGTACCCAGATGAGCCACAGAGACGTTAGAAAGAATTTTTTCTGTGTCAGAATAGTTAATAAATGGAATGCACTAGGAAGTGATGTGGTGGAGGCTGACTCCATACACAGTTTCAATTGTAGATATGATAGAGCCCAGTAGGCTCAGGAACCTGTACACCAGTTGATTGACAGTTGAGAGGCGGGACCAAAGAGCCAAAGCTCAACCCCCGCAAGCACAATTAGGTGAGTTCTGGTGCGTGTCACTATGTTAAGAGTGAAGATGTTGAGGAGAGTCGCCCTGACTCCATAGTGGGGAAGGTTGAGAAGGTTATTGTGGTTAAGTGTCAAAACCATTGAACAGGTCAACAAATAAACTTATGGGGGATACTCATTATTATCATTCTGATATTAAATTTTGTTTTCCTGTAGGTACTAGAATCCTCTTCATAAACTCGCATCTAACTGCCCATGAAGAGAAGCAAGCTCTACGAATCCAAAACTTCCGCAATATAACTCGGTCTCTCGATTTACCACGTCTCTTACCTTCCAAAACTAAACATAAAGGTTAGTGAAAAGAAAATTCTAATTTATGTAGTTTCATTACTTTATTCAAATTACAAAAACAAAAATTCCTTTGTATTTAATTTAGTCACTCCCTTATAAACATTTGATGTACAATATAAGAGAAACTCCCAGAGAATATAACACCAAAAGTTTAAATTAAAAGTAGAGTTAAATTGCTGGTTGTAGCCTATTTCCAGCATAAAAAATAAGGCAGTGAGTGTAGATAAAATGCTTCTTTCTGACCTAGTCACTTGGCTGCTCCCATGAGAGCTCCTGCTTTCCCAGGGCATTGCCTGAGTCAAATCAACTTCCTCATCGTTGACACAGCAGGCTGTGTTAATAATACTATTGCCAGGCTGTGTTTAGAAAAAAAAAGAAATATTGAAGAATTGTCAAGCCAACTCTGAAGGATTGTAAGAAGGTACACACCTCTACACCCAGAACCCTTCTTGAGGGAATGCTTGGAATCAAAGAGTCTGTCAAGCAATGCCCTGCTACTACAGACTAATAATTATCAGTTGACCACCTGGTTATCACCACCCACCACCAGGTGGCAGCACGTAGGGAATGGGTGAAAAAAGGTCATAGGAATCTGGTATAGTACTTGGTATGTTCCTTGTGAGCCAGTACTAGTATAAGTTTATGGGAGCTACTGAGGTGATGCCCAGAGGGAAATTTCATTACACTCAAAGATCTATTTGTTCTTATATTGAGACTGGCTTGACTATATAATGGCTAATGTAAGACACTCATGGCTAACTCATTTAAAATGAAAGGCTACATTCCTCACGTGTTTCATGAATAATAGTTGCTAAATTTTATTTGCAGATGTTACTCATCGCTATGATTGTGTCTTCTGGCTGGGTGACCTCAACTTTCGTCTTGCTGTGAATCGGGATCATGTATTTGAACGCTTAAAGAAAGCCGGACCCGAGACATACCAACATCTTTTGCAGTGGGATCAGCTCACTCAGGCTCGACGTAAAGGCTAGTTATATCTATCTCTTGCTTCCTGCTATCCATTAGGGTGGCAAATATAGAGAGCACTACTTACCCTATGAAAGTACATGTAGGGAAATGTATCCCAAGTAATTTGCACCCCAGGTAACACAAAAAGGAATGTGAAAAGTACAAAGATTTGCAACAAGACCAGTACCATAATTATCACTACACTGTCAGGACAGTTTAAAGGAAATAAAATTTATAGTCAGAGAGGAGAAAAGAAGTAACGAGGATATGATCACTATACACAAGACCCTGAGAGGAATAAAGTTGGACAAGAGCCATTTCTTTAAATTTTATGAGAAAATAGGACAAGAAAACACTGATGTAAGCTGGTAATACAATTGAGCTGTAGAAATATAATGGAAATACTCATGCCCTGTATGGGCAGTCCACCCCTTGGCCACCCTGCCCCACCATACCCCACCCCACCACCCTACTCCAGACCTCACCACACTGAAGCACCCTGCTCACACCACACCACATTCGATTTGAGAATGGTCCAGGACAGACCGAAACGTCGTCGTCCCTTCACATTCCAGTGTGTGGTCTGGTCATCACCACACCACATTGCCATAACTATCACCACCACCACCTCCTTGTTAAATGCCAGAGAAGTGTTTTAGTGCTGTATTTTATATTTATATTTTCAAATTTCAGGTGAAGCATTCAGTGAATTTGAGGAAGGCCCAATCAACTTTGCTCCAACATTTAAGTACGATCCTGGCACTGACCATTATGACACATCTTCCAAGCAACGTGTTCCATCCTATACTGACAGGATTCTTTTTAAGGTAGGAAGAGTGAGTAATATCATCATTATTACTTTATTATCATTACTCGGTTTCTCACTTTCAGGGGGCAGGGTATTGACATCCTGAAAGAAAGAGAAATATAGGAAAATAAGGTTAACGATACTAAGAAAAGAAAACAAAAAATGAAAAAGAGGAAGGCATCCATTCAGCATATGTTCAGTACTACGTACCGAGCATCACATTGCAAAAACAATCGTCACATTCCACCAAAACATCCACAGCTAAATTTCCACTGCCTTTTAAAGGGGTTTGTCCTGGTAGCTCTGTTGTTTACCTTATATATTAATGATTTAGACACAGGATGGAATGGCAACATTTGACATACTCTTAATGCTTCTTCTGCAAGTAGTTGTGATGTTTTCCAAACTTACAGTAAAGCTAAGCCTTTCATTGAGAGTAATATCCATATTGAATGACTCTCTCATGGGGTCACTTAGTGCCTTGTATTGAGTTCAATGGGCCATATTTTCTATTAGAAAATGAAAAAATCAAAAATATATTTTGTTTTCTACAATGAAAGAATCTTTTGTCATAATTGTTAATGGTACAGATGGAAAGAGCAGGTGTTTTTCTTACTCAAAATAAAATAAATAATTCGAAACCAAAATTATATTGTTGTACCTACATTTGGTGCAAAGAAAACATTCCAGAGTGTGATGTAGCCAGAGTTAACCAACAACACTTCAGTTTTGACCCTGTATGATGTATAGAGTAATTAAAAACCAGGAATTAGCTTGTATGAAAAACCCCTTTCTGATCAGATCATTTAGTGACTCCTGATTCCACCCTTCCTGCCCATCCTCTCCTATGCTGAGAGTTGGGTTCTTTGCACGAAAAGGTTTCCGAGATGGTCCAGGGATAGAGATGTATAGGTGGTGCCACTGTGCTGTGACCTGGCAGCAATCAGTATAGGTATTCAAGCAGGCCAATTGGTAGTTTTCTGAGCTCCTGTGATGGTCATTGGTGATGTCAAGGCAGGATTCTGTATGACTGAGTTTTAGAAATTAGATACTTTTGGTTATACTGCATTGGGAAGGATTAATTTACTTCCAATGACTCCATAGCACCTTAATGTTCATGCAGGGATGTTTTAAAAAGTGTCCTGTGGCACCAGTGTCAGTAAGTTGTTCTTCCGGACTACTTAATTGTCTTACATGCGGAGCCTAGACTTTACCTTAGGGAGCAGCCAAATGACAACTCAAAAAAGTAGTTTTCATATTACTTGGTCTGATTGATTAACTGTGCAAATTTAAAAACAAATCTTTGAATTATCTGAATCTAAAGACAAAACCAACTGGTGAGTGTCCCAATTAATTTGAATAATTGAGAGAACATTGTACTACAAGCCCATTTGTTTTATTGAAGGTTTCAGAAAATGAGCATTAATGGAAGTATATTCCAAACTGTGTACTGTATATGTTAGTAAAGATACATTTATTTAATAAAGCATCACACACTAATTTGTGTCACATCACCTTTAATGTTTTTACAGAGCAACCGAGGAGCTGTCACATGCTACAGTTACGATTCCTGTCCAGTGTTCAAGACATCAGACCATAAACCAGTACTAGGTGCCTACCACTGTAAGATAAGACCCGGCAAAGATGAGTATGTATTAAAATGTTCATGTATAATATTTGTTAACAATAAACAGCATAATAAAAATAGTTTATAATGTTTGCACTTTGTGTAGATGTTAGTGCAGTATACCAGGTAACCTGGTTAAGGTGCGTGCAGAACCAGATGCGTAACAGTTTATAAAACAAGAAATCAGCAGAAGTAGAAAATGAAGTTGTAAATTACAGAAGAGGTGTAGAAAAGATAGCACGAAGTACTATTATTCACGGTGGCTGATTACAATATAATACAAGAGAAGGTTTGTGCTGAAACCTTTGGAAGTTTTAATCTATTTACAATAAAATATACAATGAGGTTATAACTCTACAAAAAGTTTTCTACCCATAAGTATAGACTGGTTCTAAAAGAAGGCATTATAGTGACATCTTTAGCATGGAGGTGAGCTCTGTCACCTCACAACCTATTGGACCCTGAGTTTGGTTCCTGGGCCGGTCTAGATGTTTGGGCATGCTTTCTTATATCCAATGCCTCTGCTCACCTAGTAGTAAATAACTACCCAGGAGTTTGGTAGCTGTTGTAGGTCATCCTAGAAATGATTGGCTGTTGGCTTATGGGGACCTCAATAAACCTAACATTTCTTGTCCCAAACAATGGGAAACCATATTAGGGGCAGTAAGAAGGTAGACAAAGACAAGGTATTTGAATGAGGGGAAACTATGATAAAAGGGCACACATAGGTACTGAAGCAAAGCAAGGAAATGCAAATGAATATTGAACTAATGTGAGTGGACATAAATGTACACTGAACCAAGATGTGGGGAAGAAAACAGTGAACGAGGATCAGGATACACAAATGTATACTGAACCAGGATGTTGCTCCGGGTTCTTCTCAGAATGGAGACTTTTTTTGTAGATTTTCTCCCTGCTGGCTCCTTTTTTTTTTTTTTGGCCTGATGTTCAAAACCACAGCAACAGCAAAGTGCTGTGGTTCTGGCTCTTTGCGCCCGTTATCCGAACCTGTGTCATTTTCTGCAGCTCTGCCTCTTCAGCAGATTGGGCCAGAGATTTTTCTTGATGGTTTGAAGTTCTTCATTTTTGGAGTTTGTGACTTTAGTGTTATGCTCATTGTCTAGTCTGAAGGGTGTTCTTTCTGCTCACTGTCCAGTCTGCAAGGTGTTCTGCTCATTGTCCAGTCTGCAGGGTGTTCTTTCTGCTCACTGTCCAGTCTGCAAGGTGTTCTGCTCATTGTCCAGTCTGCAAGGTGTTATGCTCATTGTCTAGTCTGAAGGGTGTTCTTTCTGCTCACTGTCCAGTCTGCAAGGTGTTCTGCTCATTGTCCAGTCTGCAAGGTGTTCTTTCTGCTCATTGTCCAGTCTGCAAGGTGTTCTGCTCATTGTCCAGTCTGCAAGGTGTTCTGCTCATTGTCCAGTCTGCAAGGTGTTCTGCTCATTGTCCAGTCTGCAAGGTGTTCTGCTCATTGTCCAGTCTGCAAGGTGTTCTGCTCATTGTCTAGTCTGCAGGGTGTTCTTTCTGCTCACTGTCCAGTCTGCAAGGTGTTCTGCTCATTGTCCAGTCTGCAGGGTGTTCTGCTCATTGTCCAGTCTGCAGGGTGTTCTGCTCATTGTCCAGTCTGCAGGGTGTTCTGCTCATTGTCCAGTCTGCAAGGTGTTCTGCTCATTGTCCAGTCTGCAGGTGGCTGATCTTTTGGTGTCTCCTTTGTGGTTTCTGTGGTGGCACAAGCATGTGGTTTCTTGGTGTTCCTTCAGTCTTTTTCTCTTCACTGCTTATCTTTCTGTGCCTGTTGGTCCTGTCACTTTTGTCGTGGTTTTAGTGGATCAGTTTCTCGTGCTGTTTACTGTTGCCTTATATCTTTCAGTCTTTCCACTTTCCCAGCAGTTACTTTCTGTGGGTCTCTTCTCCTGGTGTGATCCCCTTTCTTTGTTCTCCATGTGACATACCAACAAGGAGCCATCATCACAGGAGCCCTTCCAGAAAACCATAATTACATGTACACCCGCCAAACACACACCGAAACTACGACGTTGGTACAACGTTCGAAAAAGTTTTAATACAGTGGTACCTCGGAATGCGATTGTCCCTGTATGCGAGGTTTTCGGAAGGCGAGGTGTATTTACTCCAAAAATTTGTCTCGGAAGGCGATGGTTACTTCGGGAGGCGAGTTTGGACGCGAGTTTGTTGATACGCATACAGCCGACCTAGCGCGTTCGTCGCCCCTCCGCCCCGCCGCCCCTCAGTTTATTATTGTCTCGCGCTCAGTGACTACCCCCACATCAATTCTTCTCGCTGATTTTCAGTGTTTTGTTGGATTTTTGGTGATTTGTCTATACAATTTGTTATTATATATCTCACCATGGGTCCCAAGAAAGCCAGTGGTAAGGATAAAGGCCAGAAAGCTCATGTGAGGATGACAATAGAGGAGAAACAAGAGATCATTCGGAAGCATGAGAACGGTACACGTGTTGTTGAACTTTGTAGGCAGTACAACAAAGCCACATCAACAATATGCACTATACTTAAGAAGAAAAATAAGATTATGGGTGCTAAAGTGGCAAAAGGAGTAAGAACATTAACGGCACAAAGACCACAAATACTTGAAGAAGTGGAAAAGTTGTTATTAATTTGGATACACGACAAGGAGTTGAGGGGTGATAGTGTTTCGGAGGCCATTATTTGTGAGAAAGCCAGGGTGTTGCACGAAGACCTTCTAAAGAATACCCCTGCAACGAGTGATGCAGATAAGAAAGAGTTTAAGGCAAGCAGGGGCTGGTTTGAAAAATTTAGAAAGAGAAGTGGTATCCATAGTGTTACAAGGCATGGGGTTATGTGATGTGATTATGGAAGGGGACTCCCCTTCCAAACAGTAACTCCTCTCCTCCTCCCCCCTCCTCACCATCTTCCATACGCCTACAGCACTCGACAGCAAGGTAAGTAATAACTGGAACACAGTTTTGTAGGTTTATTTAGATGAATTAGGTAAATTAGGTATAAAAATTTAGTTTGATGTGGGGTTTTTGGGGTAGTCAGGAACGGATTAATTCATTTCCCTTTATTTCTTATGGGGAAATTAACTTCGGAATGCGAGTTTTCGGAAGGCGAGGCGTCTCCAGGAACGGATTAAACTCTTATTCTGAGGTATGCCTGTACCTCCTAACTAGTTATAACAACCAATATAGTAAGTTGTAACAACATTCTAATACATCATAAACATGTTAAGCTAAGATGTAACAACTTTATTACGAGTTGTAACAAGCAGAAAATAGAGACAGTTACGGATTGTGTTTCCAGGGCAATAATTAAATATCTCTTTCTGGTGTGTCGTTGGTTGGTTCTTGGACTGCTCTCTCCCTTTTCAGGGGTTTTGGTTTTCATCTTGCTAACTAAATGACTGAGCTTGTCTAGTTAAGGGATTGACAAACAAGGCATATCGCTATCTTGCAACACACAGGTACAATTAACGAGTGAATAGCTTCATGACCGATGGTTTGCTCAGTTTGGGGTCTTGGTATTTAGGATTTGTTTACTTAACGGATTGTCTGTTTTGGCTCGTCCACCTTTCTGGCAGCTTTTTCTTTGTTAGGGTGATCTTGGCTTCCCTGTTCCCTGCACCTCTATAGAGGGAGGCCAGGCTTTAACCTCTGTTCTTCAATAGGCTTAAAATGGCTTGCATGGGCCTGGTGTGGATTGAATTGAGTAGAGCAATTCAGGTCGCTAGCAACAAAGAGGCACCAAGGACTCACCAGAATGTGTTTCATTACATTCAACACTGGTTTTTTACATGCTTACATCCAAGAGATGTTGGCTTGAGTGATGAATACTGCATCCAGTCTTGCTGCTTCCCAGTTGTGAATAAGTATTCAGAGAAAAGGATCATCATATTTCAAGCTATGAGAGTTTGTATGAAAATTTGCTGCAGATTATAGTGCAAGAGCATTATTATAAGTGATAAAGGGTGAAGAGATTGACTTTTTATATATTTTCTAATTAAAGAAAAAGAATCTAATGCAGATATACCACTTGATTGTTATCTTAGGTATGGTTTTGCTCTTCCCATGGACAGGTCTGTACAGTCAAGGCAGGTTGGCATTTTCCACCAGAATAACAGCAATTTCCCCAAACATCTCTAGAATTATAATGGTACAAGAGAGAGACTGGAGAATTGTCAATCTTATTTGGATTGATGTTGAGAAGACTGGTTTAACTACACTTATACCTCTTCCAGGTACTACATTGTGCCAAAGAGACCACCAAAAAGCACACTGCTAATCGCTAGTATAGAATAGGCCCAGCCTCTACAGTATGTACTTCCAACTAGCATCAGATGTCAGCAGGATACCCTCACTGCTCAACTCACATTTTTCCAGTGACTGGAGCCAGCAGTGTCGGCTACCAGACGCCCCTGTCAACAAATGACGATTACCGCACATTGAGGGTTCCAGTCATTCTGGGCTCTATTGAGAATTCCCCTAGTGTCTCCCTCGACAGTGAACAGGAATGTTTAGAAAAATCCCTTTTATATTGTTGCAAAGTGTTGGTGTGCTCTGATTACATGTGACTGTCCATGGGAACATCAGAACTTTGACTAAGGGAGCAACTGAATAACTCGTTCAGAAAAGTGCTCTCCGCCTACTGGTCTCTCAAATGTTTTTTTTTTATATGTGAGACACAATACCAAAGTTTTTTTTATATTATATGAGACACTACAGTTTAACAAAAATGCACGTTTATCTTTCAGTGTTCCTCTGGCGGCTGGATTATTTAATCGAGATGTATACCTTGAAGCTTTAAGGCGAAGACGCCGATTCCTGTATCAGCCAGCGATGCGCAACTGTCCAGTGCAGTAAATATCAAGATCGCTGGCCAACATGGTGCATAACTCTCAGAAAATCATTACAGTATGTATTATTTGTGTCATGAAACAGGATGTAACTAATTAAGAGTTACATTTTGGTTGATATTGGTGTTCATGTTTTGTACTTGTTTTTTATGTCATGTACAATACCACTTACAATCTGTCTTCTTAGGGTCTTGTAAAATGCATGCAAAACCACAATGCAAGTGCTTTGCTGTCCGTAATATTGCATTAAGCACAACAATCAAGCATTATTCTGAATGTACAGTATATACTGTATTTAGAAGAATCTCTAATTACAGGTCTTTTGTGTTTAATGTTGATTATAATTAAGAACACTTGCACAGTTAAAGGTTTACTCTTCTCCTTATGATAAATGTGCACATAAAGACATGAAAAAATAGTATTACTAAGTTCAAATAGACTGTTAAGGTTATGACACTCACTTTTGAGCAGCGCCACTAACACTTGCAGTGTGAGGGCTCACCCGGGACACCACAGTCTCAGCATGCTTTGTTAACCTCTACCCCTGTGAATGCAAAACCCTATAAAGTGTCAAAGGGAATACAAGAAGGTGGGCCCATATCCAGAACGGGACCTTGAGCTACATCCCAACCAGGGACAAGAGACGAGGCAGGAGCATTCATTACAGATGTCGCCAACTCCTCAGTTACCTCAGTAATTACTGACACTGCAAGCCACACACTTGTGAGAGAGTTGAAGAGACATCCTAGTCATAAATACTGTACAAGCTGTTATATACAGTATTCTCTTCATAAAAAAAAAAAGAGTATCAATTCCAACTCCAAATCAAACTGGATTGCTATCGACCTCTGAAACAAGTTATACATACATGGAAAAAAAAAACCTGCACAGATCAAGAGACATATCAGAGACAACAGGGGTTGGCAGTTACATAAGGCTAACTGAGCTCCGCACCAGCCGGGGAAGGCTTAGGACTCATCCAGCAAAGAATAGGCTCAATAATAATCCTGGAGCACAGAATCTAGACTGATCAAAATCTGGGGCCAGATTCACGAAAGCACTTACGCAAGCACTTACAAACCTGTACATCTTTTCTCAATCTTTGGTGGCTTTGTTTCCATATATTAAACAGTTAATGAGCTCTGAAGCACCAGGAGACTGTTTATAACAATAACAACAGTTGAATCGGAAGTTTTCATGCTTATAAACTGTTTAATAAATGTAACCAAAGCCATCAAAGATTGAGGAAAGATGTACACGTTCGTAAGTACTTGCGTAAGTGCTTTCGTGAATCTGGCCCCGGGTATGGAACCCAAATACCATAACATTTTATAAAGTGGTAGTCTTGTTACAAGAGGTGAATACTCGGTGTGTATGCACTGAACCCCAACCACATTGCCATGGGCAGCCAAAGACAAAACAGGTCACATTACAGTATTGCCTAAAACAAAACCTAGATATTGTGATCTGACAAACAAATTCAGGGTAAAGTGAACTTGAATGCTTGAATCCTAGGCCTATGTTCCAAAACAAAACCCATACGAAGTAACCTTCCTCAAAAGGAGCCAAACCACACCTGGAGCCTACCAGATAACCACAAAGAACGTAATTCTGATGGCTGTCAGTCATCAACAATTAGTGACATGAAAGATAACTCTGAAACCCAGATGAGGAGGATAGCAAGAAACCCAGATGAGGAGGATAGCGAGAAACCCAGATGAGGAGGATAGCAACAGCCAGAGGCATACAAACAACTGGTCACTTACTGAAGCAAACACTAAGCAATGGCCACCATGTATGGAGACTAAGTCTTAAGCAATATGCAAACAAATTAACTGAATTGGCCTCTTGAGAACTAAGCAGATATGCAGGTGGGTATCATACAATAAGTATGTGTATCATACAATAAGTAAGTGTAGCTGGTAGTGGTGCTGCCATCTAGTGGTAATCAGAGTGGCTAGAAGGTAGCAAGTGGTAATTAGCAGAGATTTAACTGCCATTCCTTTTGCTTCCAAATATTTCTTAGAAGGGTTATGAATGCAGGCGATGAGTTACAATAACGTGGCTAAATTATGTTGACCTGACCACACACTAGAAGGTGAAGGGACGACGACGTTTCGGTCCGTCCTGGACCATTCTCAAGTCGATTGTGACTTTAGAATGGTCCAGGACGGACCGAAACGTCGTCGTCCCTTCACCTTCTAGTGTGTGGTCTGGTCAACAAGGGTTATGAATGTTTTTCAAGGTCTTTTAGTGTCATAGTGGGTGGGCGTTTTGGTGATGGATTGAAATTGATCCAGCTTGTACAAGCGGTGGGGCACAGATCAACAGAGCCTGACTAGACTGGTGTGCTAGGTGGGTCTAGGTCCTGGCTCCAAGAATGACTGAGGTGGCCTTGCTCATCTTAACTACAGGTGCTCAAAAACAAATACAAATTTTCAAAGATGCAGTGCACCCCTACTTAAATATTTTGGTAATTTTGAATGTTTTTAATTACACAAACCATTCAGTTTGTTTCTCACAGGTCACATAACCACATAACACATGGTTGAGTTGTTTGTCATTACTTAATGAACCTCCTTATCTGCTGCCTTACAAGTACCAGGAATTTCCTTCCCAAAGGTGGAATAATAATAATTGTCATTTTAACAGAGGCACATATCCATATCTATGAACATACACATGCACATATGGTATACATACAGTATTTTACCTGAATTTACCTGAGGGGCCACTAAGACTCTTAGTGCCTCAACCAGGACAGAAAGCCAGCGGCTTGTCAAAGATCTCCCCTTTTGCCCATATGTATAATTTATATACATATGTATACAGTATAGTATATAGTGCTAATACTGTCTTTATCTATCCCTCTTACAGTTTATATACCCGTTTACAATTGTTTATTTAGTTGATAAAGACAAAACTATCATATTTTAGGGGATTGAGTACGTAGTGAAGATATTTCTTGATTAATCTGTTATTTTAGTAAATCCTGTGAAATGAAGATATATTTCTTGATTAATCTGTTATTTTAGTAAATCCTGTGAAATGAAGATATATTTTTCCATGTAATTTTGCAATAACATAATAATTAAGTTATATATTTATTTTATAAAAAATCAAAACAATTTATGGGCTCCATAAACAGTGTAAATACTCCCATTCAAAGGCAGCTGAATTCAAGTTCCTTCTCTCTTTTTTTAATGTATAATCTCTAACACACAAGCAATCTCTAACATATTGTACAGTAACAATTTTTTTAACATTTTATTTATATTTGTGCAAGGTGCAGATATTGTTATAAATAATTTGTATGTATATTGTATGGTTACTATTTATTGTACATTTATTTATTATTTTGTATTGAAGATTGATTGCATGTTATCTAGGATATCCAGATGTAGCTTATTTACTAACAAATTATTTAATAAAAGAATGTTGCTTGGAGAAACTATAACGGTAGAAATGATTATATTGAATTAGTACTGCAGTTATATGTTATAACTTGTTCCTGAAACAAAATACATAAGTCCTGACTGTATGCAAGTGAAACCTGAAAAATATAGCTTTGAAATAAATAAATATTATATATATATATATATATATATATATATATATATATATATATAATAATATACACATACATATATCTATTCCCATTGCTTTTAAGGGTCTGAGTGGTGTAGTGGGTTAAAGGCGTACCAAGCTATGCCAGGTGTTGTGAAGCATCTATGCTGGCTAGGGTTCAAGTCCCCTGGTGGGAGGTTGTTGTCTAAGGTTGTATAACTTCAAACTTGTATGTTTAAGCAAGTTAGTGCATAAATACATATATATTTATATATAATATACATATAAAAAGTGTGTGTGTGCGAACACTTTTCTGAGCAGTACACTGGGTTGCTTTCCTAAGGGAAGATCCTAAACAGTTATTGTTTGCCAGTCAGGGCAGGTCAACATTCCACATTAGTGCAAACACTGGAGAATACTCAATCCAGCCCAAGATGTGGACATAACAGTGCTAGACATAAACTCAAAAGCTTTTCCAGATATAACACCTGAGACTGCCAAATTAATTATTCCATTCCACACCCAAAAAATATTAACTTAAAAATACGGTACATTTTATACATACTACTACTCATATTTTGTACTACAGTTTGTACAAGTATATCTTACCCTTATTGACCTTTTTCTTGAGCACTTTTCTTCACACTCCCGCTCCATTTCCATCTTCACAGATGGGTCTAAGTCCGTGGACGGTGTGGGCTACATCGTTGTTTTTCCTGACCGCACTTATATGTGTCGCCTTCCTTCGGAGACTAGCATCTTCACAACGGAGCTCCATGCTCTCCGTCTCCTGCTTTCTCGTTGTCAATCCTCCTTTGTGATTGTTGTTGACTACCGTAGTGCCCTTATGGCTCTCGGGTTCTTTAATCCTGTCCATCCCGTTGTCTTTGAGATTCAACATTGGCTGTTTCTTATCTCTAGTAAATTTAAATCCGTGGAGTTATGTTGGGTTCACAGCCATGTTGGTTATTCTTTAAATGAGCGTGCGGATGCTCCTGCTAGAGAGGCTATCCGCTCTTGTCCCGTTTCCCGTAAGGGTATTCTTTTTTCTGACTTTTATCCGGTTATTCATTCCTCCATCCTTGCCCGTTGGCAGGGTTGTTGGTCTTCTGTTGTTGATAACAAACTGCGTACTCTTAAGCGTTGTGTGTGAAAGACCTCGTCGCCAAAGCAGGAATTCTAGGTTAACCCCCAACAATCTAAGCAAGTCTATACAAAAAACAAAGATGGGAAAGGAAAGCCCATGACCAAAACAAAAGGAATAAAATAAGTCATAAAAATCCTGCCAAGGTGGGACCTGGGGTAAATAGACTGTACAGCAGCATCACCACACCAGAGAAGTGGCTTTGTTTCCCGTGAGGCCGAGGCAAGTTAGGATGGACCATGAGAAGGTTGGCTTGGAGAGCTTTCTTATGGCATTGGCAATATCATTTGGTGGCAGTTGGGAATACTGAAGTGACCTACAGTAGTGGGTAGTTAACCAAGGTACAGCATAGCAATTTGTGTTGCAAGGTTTCACCTGTGAAAGCTTGAGTTTATGTAAAGCACTCTTCTCTTTATTCTGGGCGGCATTGATTGTTTCCAGTTTCTCCCTAGTACCAGTAATGAACAATATTACCTTAATGTTGATCTGTCCTGATTGAAGTAGATCCTAACCAGAAGTGAATAGGATCTTGCCTTAAGGATCAACCAAGTAGGATATCTCGGAAACATTAAAAAAATATTTTACGTAAGTTTAGAGCAAAAAGATTATGGTTGTGAACTAAATATTATTAGAACCCATTGTAATAATAACCTTTATTAGAATGGATTGCATACTATTAAATATGGACTATTATAGATTTAACCAAAATAGGATTTAGTGTGGCCACAACACACTTCAGGGTTGGTCAAGCTCCTGAAATACCCTACCTCTCCCTGAGATACTGTATTGGAAACTCCAGCCTGAGGCAGTGATACTGTCCATCTCTGCAAGCAGCAGGGATCTCTTCTGAATTCCCACTCCAGGCCATAACTGGAGGAGGGAAGACACTGAATAATTCTCAGTCCGGCCCTGAACCATTGGAAGGTACATTCCTCTAAACTAAATCTCCCTCATTGCTAACTACCAACTTCTAGTTACCTAGCTGCTACTACCCACTTCATAAGGTAAAACAGCATTGGTAATGTATTGCAAACAGAATTAGCCAACAAATGTGCCTCATTTTCATAGTAATTATCCTAAAAATAAAAGGGCACAGGGAAAACGGGATCAAGATCAGAAAGCATTTCAGCTATACTATACCCCTAATTTCCTAGCATGAGGCACTTAGTTGTTTACTTGGGCAAGTCACCACAGCCAAACAAAAACAAGAGAGGGAAGAGCCCAGAGGTGGCAAATGCAACCAGCCCCGAAGAAAACACACATTCAGTGTTTGATCCTTGGATGTGTGCTGATCCAACCCATTCCTCCTGTTATTGCCTAGCAGGGACACTTAGAAAAAGATCCCTACTGTGTCTAGAGATGGAAAGTTGAACTGGTACTTGCTGGTACACAGCCGGGAGTTAGCAATGTTCCAGAGGAACCTAATATATTGCCTAAGGGATGGGGCAATTGACTGGCCAATGTTCAGAAAGGAAAAGCTTTAAAAAAAAAAAATATTACAAGATAGCCCTTTTCTTACATGGAGACCTTTTGGTAGGCTGTCTACTTACTCTCTCGAAGAAACTGGTTCTCTTACTGTACGTGTACTTTAATATTTTTTGTCAAATTTCTTTATTACTATTTATTTAGCTTTCCTTCTTTTTATCATGCATTTAGATGCATGTTTCATAGTCTTCCTCACATTTTATAGCATTTTAGGGATCTTGTGCATTTTGCATTTTCTTTTGTCTGGTTTGGAATCAAGGTGCTAATCATGTGTATTTAACCCATGTAACTTAGTCTCAAAAATTTATTTATTTAGTTATTAAAACATTAGAAGCTGGCACTAGACTAAAATAATAGAATACAATATAAATCCTTGCTGTATGCATTTGAGATGATAAATTTCTAGTATCCATCATTAAAATAAAATTACATGCCATTTGTTTATAAAAACATGTAAGTTTATAACCGATTTTTACCTCATTTAAAAATTGTGTATCGTGGGGATATGATTTTCACCAATCCTTTCTACCTAGTATTTTTTCATATGACAGAATTTCAGAATATTTTTGCTGTTACATATAGTGAATTAAGAAATATATAATATATTTATTTGATGTCACAATTTTAATAGTTGCCGATATAAACTTTTTAGAAGTATATTTGTATTATGTGTGTTCTGTAATACAGTAATGATAATGAACATATGTGCAATCTCGATATAGTTTAGTCTAATCCACCACAATGTTATTATTCGTAAATATGTTTATTAGTGTCATAGGGTTAAATCATTTTAGTATACAACTTAAATGTCATTATTGCAGGTTCTCTGAGTGTTAAAGAATATTCAGTTGTTCATTTCAAGTCCAAGTACTTTACCGAGATAATATATCTCAAAAGGATAGAGTAGCTCAAGTTATTTCTACCCTCATAGTTGTTCATTAGTTTGTTATTTCTGATGTTTTAATTTTACAAAATTAATTGAATGAGATTTGCTGTTAACAGTTTAATATATTTATTGTTAATTTCTTTATTTTAGTGATACTGTACTTAGAAATGAGTACTGTACTGTACATGTTTGTTAGGCAGTACAATATTAATATTTTATATTAAGGATCAATTTGTTAGTTCAAATTACAAGAATATGTTTCACAATTGTAGGCCATTGTTAAAAACAATGCTTATAAAATTCTGGACAAAGCATAGTCTACTGGTTCTATACTAAATGTATATAGAAAATCTACCTCTGTATACAAGCCAAGAGAAACAATCTTCCTGAAATTAACCTTCCTGGTGATTTCATGTTACTGGTAGTACCTTCTGTAGTATATAATAAAATTATTATATTATTTTACTTTTGATTTGAGAATCCAATTTCCATAATGTTAGGATATATGAAATATTTATTAATTAGATATTATATATCCAATTAAGACAGGACATTAATTTTTACATTTTGGAAACAAATGACATGCATCTGAATTAGACGAGATTTTCTTGTTGTTTGCATCTGGATTTTCTTTCTGGCTGCAATACAGTCTCTCCTATTCCTAGTGAACAATGCCCTTCTTCACCACCTTCGAGGTCAACCCCGGAACTCACAGTTCCTGCGATGGCGCTGGAACCAATCGTATTGGCGTATGCCTTTCCATTGGAGACTTTCAGCGCCGTGGAGAGGGGGGGACCTGCTGCCTGGGTAACAGCTTCTCCCCCGTATCAACCTACCCTGGCTTTGCGCCCTGGTGAGGCCGCTCTAGACCGACAACCAGAGCGCAACTCCATAGTCTCCCGAGACTGATGGATGCCTACTACTAATGCTTTTATTACCTTGGGAAATGGCAGTTGTTTTGTTACTCGCAGGCACTCTAGTGGTAGGTATCCTGCGTCATTAATGATGTTCTGTCTAGGGAACAGTTACCGTATATAATAACAAACGTCTTCGTTATACACATCTGCCAAACTTAAGTAAAATGAAGTGAATAAAGCCTTCAAACCCTTTAATTGTAAAGAGATTCTTCATTATTTACAAATGCATTAAGCAGATTTGTCAGGTAAAACATACTTTCATTTATTTATTTTTGTTTACAAAACACACTCAGTGCACATAATCCAGTCATTGAAGATTATTTTTACCCTTTTTTCTTCCTTTTTAATATTAAGAGCTCCATTATTTTGTTTAGCCTTACAAATTCCAGCAGCAAAACAGGACTATGCATGATGTACGTATTTAATTTGAGTGTACATTACTAGAGTTCATACAGCCTATCCACATTTGGTTTAATGAAAATAATGAAGCATTTTAAAACAGAAAATGCTATGCAAATAGGTATGATCTATAAAGACTAACAAAAAATTTGCATTTAAATTTATATGATTAACACTTTCAAGATAAATTATGTATTGTACATGAGAATGAATGAATGAACGAATATGAATGTGTGCGCACGTATCTGTAAAAAAATAAATAAATATATATGAATAAAAGTAATTTCCTAAATAAAGAGTACTGTATTTTGATGCGTGATTTATCTGTATAATTTACAAATTACTATTGTTCATCAGTCACTGAATTTATGGACGAGAAATAAATTGATAAATTATTTAAAAATAAATAAATTTATGGTTCAAGATAATCATACATTTGAATTAAATGATTACATTTTATATAAATAATATCCTTTCAAAATATTTACAATGAAGTCGAATACTATACACACAGTTTATAAGGTAATGCCTACTGTCACTCATGATAAATATGATTATACAAATAATTCACCAATAACATCAATAAACTATAGTCAAGTAAACAAAACAAAATAACATTTTGTTGTAGTCATTATGAAAACTTCAATATTGGTACACCTGATTATACTGAAGTAGTCTACTTGAAAGAACATAGTTTCCCATCCTGTGCATATTACTTTCTATTCCACAGTACAGTATCAGATATGTACAAGATAAATATGTAGAATTTTATGTCAATTCCCAATTCACTATAATGCAGACATCTTCAATTCTTAATAGAGGTCATGAAAAAGTCTTATAATAAAGGGGATGGTAATTGTATTTGTGAAGTAAATATGGTGTCAGCTTGAGAGGATGCAACTTCTTCCAGTATCTCAATTGGTTTTTTTCCTGGTAATTCCAGATAGTCATTTTCCAAGACATCATAAGGTGAAGATTCAGAGCTTGTGTGAGTTTGTGTAATGCTTCCTTCAGTGTAACTGAAATGAGTTAATTTCATATTTCCATTGTGATGCTTAGTATCATTTAATATATCTATTCTTGTGTCCATTTTGTCACAGTTCATAGATACTGGAGGAGGAGAGTTAATGCTGGTATCAGATGGTGGACACAGAAATGTCTCAAAGCCAGAATCTCTCTCCTTGTGCACCACTGTTTTACCTCCATCTGTTTAATTAGGAAAAGAAACAACTTTTATTTGCCTAAACCAGTGCCAACATTATAAGCTTAATCCCTGCATTCCTTCACACTAACTACTAACTGAACAACCACTACTGTATAATGAAAGGAGAGTGAAACTGTACATCATACTTACCCTCCCCTGACTTGACATGAGCCGTGGACTAGCATTAGCACGTCAAAATGCTCAGTTTGGTCAACTTGACAAAGCTTGCAATGCAAACCAAGGAGAGAGTGAAATAATCTATTCCTAGTAGGATACTATGAGTATGATTATCCAAAACAATTCAATTTTCAGTTGAACTGAACTGATACTGAAGGAAAATGTTAAATTTTCCTTCAGTATCTCAAGAACGGCTTAAGAATGACTAGAAATTAAAATACATTAGTTTGGATAAAAAGTGCATAGCAGCTATTGAAAGTTGGCAACATAGTGACTTAATTTTTGTTTTGGTAATATATTTCAAAACCCTCATCATATAAAATATGATAAAATTTGGCATATTTTAGTTTTCTGGCAGTCTACCCAGTGATAACTATTGTTTTCTATTTGTTTTTTTGGTTCAGATTTTTTTTTAGTCCAAAGAGAGTCCAAAGAGTTTTATCACATTATAAGGCTGCCAACCCTTAATCCCCACCAAATCCACACAGCACCCTTACTCTCACACCACCACACAACATCCTTACCTTACCACTCCGCTCCTCCCTTCCCCCACCCTGCTACTCCCCACTCCTGCTGCCTTCTCTCCAAGATTTCCCTGTACCAACAACCTGTAACACATTATATTGATTATATGCCAACCACACCCTTCTCTCTACCTGGCATACATTCACTTGTACTCTCAACCCCATTCACACAACCACTAACAGCACCCCCCCCCCACCATATGCCCATACCCAGACTTCATGTGCCCATACCAACACCCAGACTTCATGTGCCCATACCAACACCCAGACTTCATGTGCCCATACCAACACCCAGTCCACCATACCCATAACCACTTCAACACAACATGCCCACTCAGATCTTGCCTTCAACTTCCCCTCCCACATGGTCCCTGCTGATTATTCTTTTGCTAATGATTCTTATTAATATAATGGCAGGAGAAAAGGAGAGAAATGTGAGCAAGAGTTATAATATCCAATCAAAAATAGAGTTCTAGCCAAGTCATGGTTTGTGCAAGGCAGAAGTGAAATGAGGAATTTTGTTCTACCTTACTGCATATAGAAACAACGACCTCTTGCACTGAGAACCTAAAATTTTAGATTGGATGAGGATTTCCATGACAAGCATATACAATGTCAATAAATTAAGACAAGACCAAGAGTAAAGGCATATACTGCATGGGAAAAATAAGAGAATAATAAAATATAAATAACAATATTCTGGGTCATTGTGAGATCCTGTACTAGGTAGAAATATACATATATACAGTACAACACAGTACTGATATGCAACTAACCACAAGTGTACATAAACTGCTGTTGAAAGACATGAGGTGGTAGACCAGTTAGTCATTTCCATGACTTGTGTGTTCAGATATGCAATATCAATAATAATTAATAATTAGTTTCTCGGGGACAAGAAGCTTGTTTGTATATATACTTTAGGTTTGTATTGCTGTCCACCTAATCTTAACCTTCCCCAGAATGCAACTCCATAACAGCTACCTAACTCCCAAGTAGTGTACCTATTTACTACTAGATTTTACCACATTTACCATAGATGAACAGCAACATTAGGTGAAAGGAAATATGCTCAACCATTTCTGTCCCACCTGGGAATCAAGCCCAGAATACTCGACTGTGAGTTGAGAATAAAGCCAACTGTACTATAAGACCCTGTAATAATTTTATCTCACCATTTGTTTATTAGGCTTACCTAACATGTTAGTTACTTGTGTAAAGGAGGAAATGTAGATGTTTATCTCTCAGAATGTTGGGTAATATGTTTATTGTTTGTGATGTGTGTCTATGTATGTATTAACATGATGTACTGAACGGGGTGAGAATAGCTTGAGCTACCTCATCCCTTTGTGTGTATTATACCTCAATAGACTTATTTCAATTTCAATTTCAACATGTTAGAACAATTTGAGACAAGTTAATTATCCGATAAACAATACAAATAAGCCACACCCATGTATGTTATACTACCCTAAATATATTACAGAGATATACTTCCCTAAATATATTACGGAGACAATCTTATAACTAGTGATGTACACAGATGTGACTTGTGCTTCTACTCCTTTTCCACTATTGAAAAATACAGTAATATTTAAATTTGATTAGCTTGTCAAGATGTTTTCAACAATTTTCTTTGGGTGCTCTTCGGTTTAAACTTAGTTGCACATATTGGGAATCTCTTACACAAGTTAATCCATGCAAGGGATTCAAATGTTAGGGAGCCGGTCGGCCGAGCGGACAGCACGCTGGACTTGTGATCCTGTGGTCCTGGGTTCGATCCCAGGCGCCGGCGAGAAACAATGAGCAGAGTTTCTTTCACCCTATGCCCCTGTTACCTAGCAGTAAAATAGGTACCTGGGTGTTAGGCAGCTGTCACGGGCTGCTTCCTGGGGTAGAGGCCTGGTCGAGGACCGGGCCGCGGGGACACTAAAGCCCCGAAATCATCAAGATAACCTCAAGATAAGATGGTGCTAAACATTCTTCTGCATGACGGTTCACAAAAAACATAAGATTTGCTTACCTACACACAGTGAGTCTGTACTTGTTTCAGACTCAGACAAATAGAGGAGATATGAACTTTCAGAATTTCTGCATTCACGTTCCAGACACTTGCGACACTGTAGAGGTGATTTGTCCGGACCACGAGGATGACCTATAAAGAGTACTGTACATATATTAATTTATCATCACAGTCTTGTGTATTTACACTGTACTCAACACATAAGCAAAATATATTTCTTATGATTTTCCTGCAATCAATTAGCACTTTTCTCTCATCTTCAAACTTGTTAACTTTTTGACTGCGACAAAAGACTTTAGTCAAAATCACACAAAATAGGCCTACTCTTTCACTGTGACTCTAAACCATTGTCATTCTTAAACATTTTCAATTCTGAACATTATTGCAACATTCGGTAAAGCATTCCCAAACCTCTTAAAAATACATCATGCCAGTGTGTGCCTGTCACGAATCTTATTACGATTCTGCTAATTCTCCCGAACCTCGTATTATGTTATTGTTTTCTCTACGTAAATATTGCTGTCAGTTGTATAAGATTTGTGTATATAGATATATATACATTATATATATATAACATAGATAGCTGGGTAGTGTGTGTAAGGTTTGTTTTGGTGGTGGATGTCACGTGAAATTAGCCGTGTGGGCGGTTGACAATAATTGGGAATGGCCAGGGCGATTGTTGGCAAATCAATTGCCTATAGTTTTATATTTATTTATTCCCATATGTGGTAGCCGTAATATTTCAAGGAATGTGAGACCAGTAATTACAACTCTTAGTTAATAATGTTGGAGTTTAGGGCTGACCTTTGTAAATAGAATGTTCACAATGTTCATGCGAACGTTAATTGGTGTTTGGGTAGACGGTTAGTCGACGTTGGGCCTGCGGACCACGTCCTGGGCAGTAGAGTACCTCGTGTGTGGAGGTGTGGAGTGTGGGTACCTCGTAGCCTGGTGGATAGCGCGCAGTACTCGTAATTCTGTGGCGCGGGTTCGATTCCTGCACGAGGCAGAAACAAATGGGCAAAGTTTCTTTCACCCTGAATGCCCTTGTTACCTAGTAGTAAATAGGTACCTGGGTGTTAGTCAGCTGTCAAGGGCTGCTTCCTGGGGGTGGAGGCCTGGCCGAGGACCGGGCCGCGGGGACACTAAAGCCCCGAAATCATCTCAAGATAACCTCAAGAAGAGTGGCGGCTGCGGTCGAGTGCAGTTGTGTTTAAGCTAAGTTCTTGGTTTTTGTTATTTTAAGCCCATATAAATATTAATTTATCTGGATAGACGATTTTAGTGTATTTATGGCTTACTCCATATTCTGGTGATAGTGCTCAGGTCTCAAATAATTACTTGCATTCTATAGTATTACATGCTGATAAATATTTCTGGCTACTATTTATTTAATTGTTGTTAAGTTGTCACCCTTAGGAAAATATATTGTTCTCCCGTTTTTATACAGTGATTAATTATACCCCTAGACACCTATTGGCATGGCAGATTTTTATTGGTTCTTTACACTGTGGGGAGAAGAATATTATTTAGTCTCAAGGGTCGTGACAGTGCCACCAACTGGTAACGGCACCAAACAAGAGCATAAAGATTACACCTTGCCTAGCCACCACTTATAGGATTATCCTATTTAGCCCAATTTCTGCTTAACTATGATAAATTAATGTCTTAAATAATATAACATGCAATATAAACACCTTACATAGATTTCTGTTGTCAGAGATAAGAAGACTGTATGTATGAACACACACAAATCACACTGGTGTGATACATCAATGAGAAAATAATTTCAGGCAATGAGGCGACTTGAACAAGCATTCTGGCGATTCTGGTGTTCTAAAGGAGGACATAAAGTTGTAAACACCATTACCCACAGGTTAGACTGGTGGGCAGGCCAAATGTAAAAACCTTGGTTTTGGTACCAGTTGGGGCCTCCAGATATGCCCAGTGAATTCAGTAGAGTTCTGGGTTCATTGGTTTTTGTCCTATAGTGGCTAAGTAGGTTAAGGTGAATGTCTGGGAATCATCAGAACACTGGTTCATGTTACCTCAAATGATATTCTTACTGCATGTAGGCTTATTGAGGTCCCCCTAAGTTCTAGGCCAACTACAGGTACTGACATTTGACCCTCCAGTACCTATTGTCTGCTAAATGAATAGATGTACCAGGTGAAAAACTTGCCCAAATAACCTGCATAGTGAATGAACTTGGGATCCTCTATTATGCATCAACCTGTAGATAACTGCACTACAGGCATTGATTTTGAAGATAATTATGATGTTTGCTTTTTAATTCATCTACAACTGTTTGTCCCTCACTTGCATAAAATACTCAAGTTTTTAATGTGCCACCAAGTATTGCTCTGCTGACTCTGCTGATTGCTCTGTTGGCTGCCTGGCTGCTACTGCAACTCTAATCTAATATTTCTCTGGAGCCACATGCTGCCTGTCTGTAAAACTTTCTTCTACGATTGTAATATGTATGAAGTGAATGCGAGGAGTTGACTATAGCAACTGGGAGTTTATCTTATTGTAGATGCTCTTGGCAGTTTTGTAAAGTTGGCGTTCTCTGTGAGCTCACTCTTCTGGCCTTCCTGCAACCACTTATGCTTCGTTTGCCTCCATACTCATTTTTCTTTCTATTTTATTCCAGAGGATTAATTTTCAGTTCTATTCGAACCATTCCAGGCTATCTACAGAGTTTTTAAGTTATGTATGGAGGTTAGGTAGTGGCAATTTTGATTCGAGCCATTAGAGATTCTTTGTCACTATAAAGTAAGTGGTCTTTGGTGCTCATTTCATCTTGTCTTTAATTTTACCAAGATTCCTCTACTATAACTCTCTTCAAGTCATACTTCACTCAGCTTTTTCAGGAAGCTCATGCCTAATATGCAGGCTTCAGTGGGTGGTAAGTTCCATGGTTTTATTACCCTATAGGTGAAAAAGCATCTCTTGGTTTTCTGTCCTACATTGTGGCTTGTTGAGCTTGAAGCAGTTGATATTTGTCTGTGTTATATCTGGCTGTTTAAAGAAGTGCATTAGATCAAAATCTTCCATTTTGTTTAGTATTTTAAAAGTTTTGATGAGATCAGCTCTGTCATGTCTGATTTTCAGTGTTGTTAGCCCTGTGGCCCTAGACTGTTCCTGGAATGAGAGTCGAATGAATTCTGGGATGACTTTTGTTGCGCAGTGCTGGACTTTTCTCCAAAGCAGATATGTCCTTCTGAAGGTGAGGTCTCCATGCTTGGGTACTGGGCACACCACAGATTTGAACAGTTGAATAACTACCTTTTTTTCCTTGAGGTCAAAGTTTTGTTTGATTATTCCTAGGGTCTGGTCTTGCATATTTCATGTCAAGAGAACATACATGGCCAAGTATTGATGTTTCTTGGATCATGTTTACTATCAATGAGACAAAATGATTATTTTTCCTCTGATATTTCTGCCTGGATTTTGAATGGACTAGACTAAAAACATTGTTTTCCTTACTTTAAGTCTAATGACAAATGTAATCCAAAAATATTAATACTTTGTCTACTTTGTCTTCTCTTTGGGGATGAGAGATATCAGGGGTGGCTGCAGGAAAGGGGTTAATGAAGAAACTAAAACTAAAACAAATGATCTTCATTTACCGTACCATTATCATCAGGGTGCTTGAGATACTCTCGGTGTGCACCTCCGTGGTACACCGGCCTTTCACGCTCCCACAACCAGTGATCTGGCTGCATCCCCATCACCTTTGATTAAGTTTTTGAGAGAAGTAAAGTTCAAGCATTAATTACAATCCATTTCTAATTGCTATTTTATGTACATTATCTCTTTTTTTCCCATAAAATATGAGGTGGATTAATTGGAATAGTCTATTATTCATGTGCATTCTTAACTCTCAACCCGCCCAACACACAACGAAACTACGACGTTGCTACAACGTTCGAACAAGTTTTAATACCTCCTGACAAGTTATAACGACCAACACTGTATAGCAAGTTGTAACAACGTTCTAATGCGTCATAAACATGTTAAGCCAAAATGTAATAACTTTATTACAAGTTGTAACAAGCGGAAAATAGGGACAGTTACGGTTTGTTTCCAGGGAATAAATTATATAATAACAGTTACTTCAAAACACACTAGAAATTCACCCTAAATTTAAGAATTATATTCCAAATCTTACTTTCTGGTTGCCTTATCTATTACAATTTCTCTGGACTACTCGAATATCTTGCCTACAAAATCATTTCAGGCAACAGCCATCTGTAATCTATTACACTGAAATCTATTACACTGTCTTCCAATATCAAAGTTTTTGTTATATAGTAGTCTACATTTAAATTTAGTTTGCAAATAAACAAATAACGTAATAGGTAAGAGGTAAATTAAAATTAATAAATACTATAATGTATAAAACAAAATTTAAACCTGCTAAATCTCAAGATTCTTTTAAAGTTTTAACCAGCTAAAGATTTTTTCAGAACTGCACAAAAGCATTACCTGGTCACAGCACCTCTTGGAAACAACGGCACGACAGCCAATAGCCCAGAAAATATCATCACGTATTCGTAATAGAGATGTGTATGTTTTTCGCCATGCATGACCAAGTGTCCAGGGTAAAACTTCATACTTTAACTCTTCCTCATCTTCCTCCATATCATGTGCAAGATACCTGTAAGGGAAGTACATCATACGTATAGTACAGCACTGTACATACACCCTGCAGTTTGGTACAGTATTTACAGGAAATTTGATAATACTGTATTACAAGAAAGGGTTTGATAAAAAAATCAAGTTATGAATGCTATGATATGCATGTAGGCTTACAGGGGGCAAAATGGTAGTAGAATTAATAGTCTGCATAGTTAGTATTAAAAAATGGAGGAAGAGAATCAGATACAACTACATAAAAATAATCAGTACACAGCATAAAAATACAATTGGCATTAGACTAAAATCACAGATTGGTTATCTTGAGATGATTTCGGGGCTTAGCGTCCCCGTGGCCCGGTCCTTGACCAGGCCTCCTTTTTGTTACCCCCCCCCCCCAGAAAGCAGCCTATAGCAGCTGTCTAACTCCCAGATACCTATTTACTGCTAGGTCACAGGGGCATCAGGGCGAAAGAAACTCTGCCCATTTGTTTCTGCCTCCACCGGGGATCGAACCCGGAACCTTAGGACTACGAATCCCAAGCGCTGTCTACTCAGCTGTCAGGCTCTAGTGTCACAATTGATATGCTCATCCTCCACACCGAACTCCATTCAATGGGCAGGTATGGATAGGTTACAATCACTTAGTTACTACCTACAGTTAGCAAACTGGGGATATTTGGCTAAGATTTCTGGTAGCAGATCATTTTGAATGAAATATTTACACATCTCTGGAACATTCGTTATAGAATTATCTCTGAATTCACATATCTTTTTGCACTCCATCACATAGTGACGGGAGTGTACGAATAATTTTGTTGACACAGTTTACATTTAGTCAGGTCTACATCAGCAGATAATGAGAATTCCCAGAGATACTTGACAAAGTCTAAGCCGAGCAGTAGTAACATCTAGAAGTCTGCTGGTTTTATTGGATGATCCATAGATGTGTGGCTCTTCTTGCATGATAATTTGATGATAGGGGTTTATAACCAGAAGATGACAAATCGCCTTCTGTTTTCAGTCCTACATTGTGGCTTGAGCTTGAAACCGTTGTTCCATGTTTGTGTTACATCTGACCTTTTGAAGCAGTTATCTGGATCAATATCCTCCAGGTAAATCAGGTAGATACAAAAAATTCTTTTAAAAGTTTCGATAAGATCAGCCCTGACATGTTTACTACCCATAATGCATCTTTGTAAGTGTTTATCCATATGTCATCTTACAATTTAAGGACAGTATATGTATCTATAAGCAAGAGAACAGATTCAGTATATTATAATTCCGTAAACTTAAACAATCTTACGATTTTCGTAAGAAACATACATAAAATCATAGAAAATCGAACATTTTAATATTTATTCTAATAGTTTCGTATTTTCATATAACATTTTAAGGAACTCCTCTAAATTTTAGGCTAAAAAAATCTGAATAATTTATTGCAGCCCTTGACCTTCAATTTTACGAAGAGCCATTCTGAAGTGAAATACAGAATATGAATACACAAAGAACCACAGTTTAAGCATATATCATACCTTACAAAATCAACATAAAGATAAAATTGAATTAACCTGGCTGTATTCATTACTTACAAAGCAGCAAAGAAGTTCTTCCTAGAATACTGATGAGACTTCAGATCAGCACGTACAAAGTAGGTGAACACCATAGCCAACAGGTACTTGTCAGCATAGCGGCGGCAAATGTCAGTTTTTAAAAACTTTCTCACAACTGGGTCCTCTTAAAGTTAAAAAAAAATAACTTGATTACTTGTTATGCAAATTAGCTGTTACATCAAAAGACATAGAGTATATGAAAAAACACTTATACCTTGCCCACAGTAGCAGGGGCTTGAGTATTAGTTTTGGTGATGTCTATAGACGTAGACATATTAAAAATTAGGAGTATTGATTTTATTTTAGTTTAAGCTAAAATCAGTGAATAGTTGAATGAATCTGTTAATAAACTAGAAACTGTCAGTGGATTTGAACTAAATTTAACGAGAATACTTTACTAAACAAATCAAATAAATATTTGGATACGTGTCTGTGCAAAAAAAAACAAAAAAAACTCTAAGATGGTTGGTAAAAACTATACAATTTCATAGGAATATAGGTGCTAACAAAGCAGAAATGAGGAAATTATTAGATTTCGAAAGGTAAAAACAATTATGGCCAAGTAGATGAACATGTGGTGTATGAACAGCCCACGAGGAACCAATTTGATGGAACAAATTTGTTAAGGGAATGAATGTTCAACAGTTTTTTCAATGATAACTCCTGACTTGGAGTTGACTTGGCTACAAGTATATTTAACAGTTTGGCATGTACGGGAGCCTAGATGAAGTGAAATTATTGTACTGAAAATGATAGTTTCTGAAATTTCTGCAATGTATCCATATTTCGCTACTAGTAGATACACTAGATATGTATGTTGAATATACGGGTTGTGACCTAAAACCATAAATAGCAACTCTGCTATTAACGTGTGAAAACCAATGTTGAAAACTATGGTATCATTAACAAAGAGTCCTACCTATAATGTAGAGTATTGTATCTACTGTACTGTATATCTATAAAATAGAATGCTTGCTCGAAGTACGAGACTTGGGGCTGACCTCAGTCAACTTTCACGCACGAAACATGGGAGTATGTGAGTGTCAAGGGCATGCTTTAAGTGATTGATTGATTGATAAAGATTAAGCCACCTAAAAGGTGGCACGGGCATGACTAGCCCGTAAGTGGCGGCCCTTTTGAGCCATTACCAGTATCAAGAGCTGATACTGGAGATCTGTGGAGGTGAGACTGCACCCTGCGTGACGGGAGATGTCTCCCGTCTGCTTTAAGTGTTACATTTTAAGCTATTGGCATCTTATTAAGATTCCCATCTCGGCGATTTTCTTGAAGTCTGAAATAATATAATGGGTTGTGTTTTCCGTAGAGTTTTTACTTGCTACATTTCTAATAGCCACACAAAGTAAAGGGTTTCGAATCTCCTTTGTATGGATACCATCACACATAAATATAACCCATCATAATGACACAGACATTGCAGCGAAATTAGTCCACCAGACTGTGGGACACAGTTGTTGCCAGGATCAGATTGGGTTACCGTTACCTATAGCAGCTAGGTGGCTACAGACGAATCTACCCAATCCTGAGCACTCCAGGTGTAAACTCTGCAAGTAGGAATTGGGGCATGATCTTGCACACTACATCACCGAATGCCCAGTTATGAGACAATTCAGACCCGTTGGCATGAGGTACCTGGAGTTTTATAATTACTTTATTCACTCTCGTGTTCTTGAGGATATCCTCATATTGCACCCAAAACTTGCTAGTGCAGGCTACTGAACATATGGCTCTGTATGACTAACCATCCTGCAAGATGGAGACTTTTAGTATCACTGTTACCTTATTCACTCTCGTGTTCATGATATCCTCATAATGCACCCAGAATTTGCCAGTGCAGACTACTGATCACATGCCTCTGTATGACTAACCATCCTGCGAGATGGGGATTTTAGCATCACGTAGCTAGTTTTGTGACACAATGTACTCCCCCTTCATATAATCTAGGGTAGCTGCACAAATGCAGATGTACCTAAATGTGATAAAAAAAAATACCCGGGTGAAATGGGAAGGGGGGGGGGGAAGAGAGGGGTGATGTTGGGAAAGAGGGGAGAGACATGAGAAGTGGGAGAGAGGGGAGGAGCAAGGTAAGACGGAGAGGGGATGGTGGGGGAGAAAAATTAAGAGGGTGGGAGATTGGGAAAGAGGATGAAGCAGGAATAGGGGAATGTTGGAGGAGAAAAGTAGAGAGGACGAGAAATTAAAGAGGGGGAAGGATAGATTGGGAAAGAAGAGAGGGGGCAGAGAAGGAGGGGAGAAGGGGGAATAGAAACCCGGATGCAGAATCCTTCTGTCGAGGGACACAAAGCCAGCGGCTTATTAAAAGTCCCCCCATTTTTCCTGATGATCTTATCCAACTGTATTTTGAATTGCAGCAATGTCTTCGGATTCACGGCTTCGGCGGGTAGGCGGTTCTATGTGTATATTATAACTCTGTGGGCGAAAAAGCATCTCCTGTTTTCTGCCCTACAATGTGGCTTGTTGAGCTTGTATCTAGGTCCCCACCCCTTCCCAAAGGTGGAACTACTGACCTTCCCAAGGACGCAACTCCACTACAGGTACCTTACTCCCGGGTACCTATTCACTGCTGGGTGAAGAGAGGCGTACAGTTAAGGATTGGCACCCAGTCAATCCTCCCCGGCCAGGATAGGAGCCCAGGTCAAAGCGCTCGCCAAGCACCTGGCAAGTGCTTTACTACTGCACTACGGAGACTACGTGCCCGTACTATTGCTACTAACTATTGGATGAGGGGCGACTATTGGATTGGATAACCTAACCTACTATTGCTAGGAGAGGTTAGGTTAGGTCTTGTATTTGTTTCTCAGTTAAAAAAAAGTTTCCGGTTTGTCCAAATTCATTAATACAAAAACCAACTTTGTGGTAGTCCATCACTACATACTGATACTATCGACCAAGGAAGGAATTACCAGGGGAAAGCGCCAAGCCAGGACGACTATATAGCACTTGGAAGGGGCCAGGATAAGGATTGAGATGGGACGGGGGGCGGGGGGAAGGGAGGGAATGGTGCCCAACCACTTGGACGACCGGGGATTGAACACTGACCTGCATGAAACGAGACCGTAGCTCTACCGTCCAGCCCAAGTGGCTGGGCTACTATCGACCAAGTAGTTAGTATAAGCCCTTTCATTTTCAGAGAATGGGGTTAAAAAAAATCAAAGTGGCTCGCAAAACTTAGGTGATGTCCAAGGAAATGTATATGTTTATCTCTCAGAATGTTTGGTAATATGTTTATTGTTTGTGATGTGTGTCTATGTATGTATTAACACGTTGTACTGAACGGGGTGAGAATAGCTTGAGCTACCTCATCCCTTTGTGTGTATTTTACCTCAATAAACTTATTTCAATTTCAATAGGTGATGTCCCGTTTTTTTTTTCGTGGGTTCGGGTAATTTAGTATAATATTTTAGCGACGCTGTGGACGCTCGAGAGGACGGGCTGGGCTATGCATGCCGTAAATGCTCTTTGTATTCCCTCTATTTTATATAGCACTCCTGCTCTGAAAGAGGATGTGTGACCCCCATCGTTGCTATTGGTAGTCAATTTACTCGAATCATAGATGCATAAACCTATTATGGTGGTGGATACAAAAATAAGGAAGTGAAAAGTTGTCATTAAATATCTTCAGCGTAGTGTGTAGAACAGCAGATATTAAGATAATCTATAACCAATAGGGACTCGTCAATCTAATGTAGCGACACTAAAATTAAAGATCTCCAATTTATATTCCTATTTAATTTTCACACCTACAGTATAAGTAACTGTACACTAATACAGAAATGAATTCAGTAAACTCACTAACTGTATTAAACCATTAGCAATAACTCACCCACAAGTTGAAAAAAGCAGTTCAGGTGCTTCCGTGAGACTAATACGTTGCCGGGAGTGTTGTCATCTCGACGACTGCGTCGGTAAATTGGTTTCCTTTTCTCGTTACTGCTGGTGATAGGCGTTCCTTCCTTGAACACATTCTTATGACTGTGATTGTGGCTGATAATCCTAACACACTCCGCTGAATCATCTTTCTGGCTCTTTGGAATATTGTTATGATTGTCAATAATAATAATAATAATAATCATACTACTACTACTACTACTGCTACTAGTAATAATACTAATTATCATACTACTACTACTAGTAATAATAATAATAAGCAACGGTACTGTAATGTAATTTTATTATGTTGCAGCTAGGTAACATATAGGTGTGAGGAGAGGTCAATTTTGTAGGTACAGTAGCTGTATACAGTACCTTGCACATAGCCCACATATGTTAGTATGCACGATATTGTGAAGAACGCTAACATATTTTAAACATCATATCATAGTTAAGTCATTTGTATGCGAAAAAAATAGTATATAGTATTTGGTCATGATGCGGACACGGTATAAGTAATTAATACCTCCATGCCCACCCTGTTAACAGTAGCAATAAATGATTACAGAGGGCACACACACAATGTTAATCAGATCACAGTGGATGATATCTGTAGGGTTGGTAAAAAAACAAAAACAAAATTCTTAAAACCTAATCCCTTCAGACTTCATGAAAAAATTAGGCTGTCTTTCTTGGACGGTGAGTGGAGGGTCCAGTACAGTCGTCTTGGCATTATGCTAAGAAACTTTCTTACCATGATGCCCTGTATTGGACTGACAGGATGAATATCTGGCAAAGTTATTGTAAGTCTTGCAACCGGTGAACCCTAACGTTAAATAAAATTCTCACATAAAGAGCCAACAAGACTATAACAAACATTGGTATTGATAGGAGCACTTACCAGAGTTTTGTGGCGAGGCTTGAGAATCCCTGGAAATGGCTGGTTTTCTCCATGTGTATGGGTGAGGCACCTCAACTCTAGTGGTGACGAAAGAAACTGTCTGTTCTGTTTCAACCTGGCCTCTTGTCGGAACGTTCCTAGCATGGAAACTGCTGTTGGTATGTTAGAAGCGACTGGAGGAATGTTCTCTTTATCAGCTGATGCATCATCATGCACTGGAAGTTTTTTTCCATCTTGTCCAAATAGGAACATTTTACGTAAAGGAATAGGCATAGGGGCAGTTGGTTGTGATAATGAAGTGGGCAGCTGTGTTTTTGGAGTAGTCAATTTATTCCTAATGATATTAAAAACTTCCTGGAAAATGACCATTGTTGGACGGGCTGGAGCGGTAGTTTCTGTGGCTGCCTCTTTAGTCTGCTCAGATTTGGTAGCATTCTTCTCCAGCCGCGGCACCTTGCATGCAGACTGCTGCTGTGTGTCATTCTCCCAGTCGGAGCGGCTTTCTAGAAAGGTTGTTTGGCAACTGCTCATTTCGTTACAGGTGACAGACTCGCTGTCAGATGGAAGGAATGAGAGTACGCTCAGTGGTTGTCGCTCCTGACGGCGACGGACGTACACAGCGTTCGCCCTCATCACTACTGTTGAGGCTACACAACACACTTATTATTATTATTATTAACATCTTTATTGACAAAATTAATTACAATTTCGCCTAATCTGAGGATTTTGATAAAGCCTTATTAAAGTGAGGATAATGTTGGTATTCACTGTCACGCAGGACAGAGGGTCACATAATACACTGTTAGAAAACACCAAGTCGGGAAAATCTTGCTTTAGTAATATGCAAACTTGGGTAATACTCAGCCTATAGCAGCGCATACACGTGATCAATTTAATAATTGACATTAAATGCAATATTTAAGTTAAATGTAAACTGCCTTGTATAGACTTGTATACCCGAATGAATAATTTATTATTCACACTTATGGCTATTATTTACTTATTATGCTCTCATTAATTAAATCACTTGTGATATAAAAAGCCTGTTCATAAGTATATGTATTTGTGTACATGTGTATACATGAATGTATTTATGTATGTATATGTACTATTAACAACTGTGTAACTAGATTCGCAAGACTGTCACTTGCTTAGTTAAATGAACTACGAGGTTCTGTTCCTGAACCCATTAAATACTTCTGTAACCCTTCCCATCATTCCCTACGGAAGAGTTAAATGTAAATGCTCAGCTATCAATGTATATTATTAGTTAATAGTATATTCTGTCGACTGAGCTTCGTCATTGGTTCATTAAATAAATCTTTTAAGCTATTAAGAAAATGACACTAAGAGATAGATATGCCAAGATATGACTTTGTGAATTGAGTCGCAAATTAAATAAACTCGTGAACAAATGAATAAAATTCGGAATAAGTAATAAAAAATGATAAGAAACATGAATTAATGTTATAGTATAATTGTATAGTTGGTATAACTCAGAATATTTGTTTTGAAAATTAACAAGATATAGGATATATTTTAATTCGGAGTATTTCTAAGCGTTTATCCACAAATTAGTTCATGGATCACGTAGATATTGTCCTCGTATATTGTACGGCAAAATTATTGATCACACGTAACTAACACCTGATATATTACATATATTAGAGTTAATTTAGATGTTGGTTCACCAGGGGAGGCGGTTCTTAAGGAGCTCATATAGAGGCATTAATGTGCTGCTTAGACACTGCAGGAAAACATAAGTGACAGCAGCTATATTACAACAATCTTAATTGTAACTTAATTAACGCATTTATTACCCGAAGACAATTAAAAAAAGGGGATCGGGTAAGCCTATTCATTCAAGTTTTACTGGTTGTAGGAAATCGGCAAAAAAAAAAACTTGTAAACAAAACTTAAGTGATATGAACTTCTTAAAATAAATTACTCACAGGAATGATGATGCAGGGATATATATATGTGTGTGTGTGTGAGGGTATGAGGCAGGAGGGAGTAAAGGCGAGGGAGGACCCCTGGACGTGACCGGCCGCCCTGCCCGCCAGACGTCAACTGACCCGCCCGGCCGCTCCCGCCTAACACCTTTCGATGGCAAGTCATCTTTAGATTGAATAAATATGACTTGTAAATTAATTCACAACACATATTTTGTTTGATAAACGCAACTAATACTGTTAAACACAATGATGAAAATGTAATTTGATGTTTATATTATACATAATATTTATATGTATTTATGACAGTGTCAGACCACGGAGAAAAATTGAAACAGGAATTTCCTTAAGTACTTTCGGATATTAATACATCTTCAGTAAGGAGTCACTCCTTCTGAAGATGTATTAATATACGAAAGTACTTAAGGAAATTCCTGTTTCAATTTTCCTCCGTGGTCTGACATTGTCACATTTTTAATCACGTGTTTATTTTTCGTGATTTACACACATATGTATTTATTTATACACAGTATACAGGAGTTCTTAGATTCTTGTAAGAATGTGATATACAGTATATATAATAGATATATAAAACTACTTTTAAATACGTGGATGACGAATTATTAAAGAAATTGTTCACGATGTACGTAAGACCAAAATTGAAATATGCAGCGGGTGTATGGGGCCCATCATATCTCGAGCAGCACATCACAAAACTTAAGTCAGAAATACAACCAAATGGCTCCCAGAATTGAAAAACAAGAGCTATGGGAAGGGACTAAAGGTGGGAAAGATACCAACACTAGAAGATAGAAAAAAGGTGATATGATCAATACATACAAAATAATAACAGGAATCGGCAAAATTGACAAGGAGGAATTCTTCAGATCTGCATCTTTAAGAACAAGAGGTCATAGACTCGAGCTCAAGAACAAAGCTGCTAAAAAAACAATATTTTTTATTATTTTGCAAACAGAATGGTAGATAGTTCGAATAGGTGAGGTGGTGGATGCCAAAACCGTTATTAGTTTCAAAGCCTCATATGACAAAGAATACTAAGAAGACGGGGATACCACGAGTGAAGCTCTCATTCTGTAATTACTCTTAGGTAATTACCCAGCTTCGCAGAGTGAATGGTCTGCTGGGGTACAGGACGAATATAGCTTGGGCCTTCCACTACCTCCTCCTTTATATAATCAGAGAAAGGCGTCTGGCCAAATCCTTCGATTTCTTCACTATAAACGATGATTGTTGTTGTTATAGATTCACCAACTCGGAACAAAAAGTTCCAAGTAGCATGGGCTATGGCGAGCCCGTAGTGGACTAAGAAATGATGAATAATTTCATCGCAGGGGAACATTGAAAGAGAGGGTAGAGAGGAGAGATTGGGAGACAGGGTGGAGCTAGAGGAGAGATCTAAGAGGGAGAGGGAACTGGGAGAGAAGAGTAGAGGGGGGGGATAGAAAAACAGAGATGGGGAGAGATGGGAAAGAGGGGGGGAAAAAAAAAAGAGACCCGGGACAGCCAGACACTTGCCTGGTACTGTATATATATAAAAATGTGTTTGTGTGAGGTCGGAGACAAGGTACTTGGGGCTAACCTCACCCAGCTTTCCAACATGACACATGGGGGTGGTAGGTATGGGAGTGTCATACACCAAACGTTGTTGGCTCCAGTGCCACACTTGAAGAAATATTGGTATTTACACTACACCTTCCTCCCCTGCAATTTTCATTAAGTCTGAAATAGATGTTGAATGTCTAGTACAGTCATATTGCAGTTTGAGTGCTTTGTAATATTAAATTCTGAGACTAGAGAGTGGGAAGAAGAGGAAGGAGGAGAAAGGTGGAGAGATGGGGAGGAAAATGGGAAGAGGGCAAGGAGAAGGGTAGAGGGGATCTCTAGGTAAAGGGATTGTGGAGACCTTGTATCCAGGTCTCCACAATACACCCTCCCATTTCTTTCCCCTCACTGTAACTATCTTCAATACATACTGTCTTTATCAATGTAAACATCACTTTACAGTGGTAAAGACAGTATGTATATGTATAAATACATACATACATACACACTTTTTGTCTAGGACTTTCCATTAGATATGCTAGAATGCCAACCATCCTGTGAAATTGGGGTATTAGGTGAACTATTGCTAGCACTCAAATCCCTGCCAGAATTGGGTAGCAACATTGGTGTGTGCCTAGGCAGTTATTCAGCAATTAGGACAATAATATTATTATTAATATAATTATTTTATTGATAAAACACTTTCAACAATATAAAGCTAAACTTCATTAGTTTAATTCATAACAGGAGAACATTGCAATGAAAGAAGATACCAATGTAATGGTTTGCTGTAAAACTTCTTTACTGCTGGGGTTTACCATTGATAGTGAACAAATGGACTGAATGTGTAATGTGTGTGTGTATGCATTTGTATACTGTACTGTATAAATATAATCGAGCCATTAATTTTTGTACCATGGGAACTCTTGGACATACAATACTGGATATGTTGTGGTACTGCCAGTTGTTTCAGATCTACAACAGACAGGTGTTCCCAGGAAAACAAAGTGCTTCTAGGAAAACTATGTGAAAGGTTTCTCAACAAGATTGCTGAACCTTTAAGTATCCAACTGTGAAGTATTCTTTTCTAAGCTCTTTGCTCCACTAGATTCTCTTTTTTCACATTTCCAACTGTCTTCTGGGATGGTTTCTTTTGGTATATCTTGTTCTCAAGTTAACACTTGCATTGGGCGAGTGTTTTTATTTTCAGATCTGGATAAAAAAATATTTGCATTGTATACATATTCATGCATGGTTACTTGCAGATAAAAACCATCATGGTGTCAGCAGATAAATATTATGAACAAAAACTTAAAAGTCTTCTAATGAAATAGTTGAGGTGGTACCCTCATTAGGTTTAAAATATTATCTATGTATATATATATATATATAATATATATATATATATAATATTATATATATCGTATATATATATAAATATATGTTATATATATTTATATAATATATATTTATATATAATTTATATAAACCTAATAAGGGTACCACCTCTGGTGCAATTGTAGGGACCCATAGCCTCGGAGAAGAAAATAAAGGGTACCCAGAGAAGACCTTGTGGATCCTCACTAAACACTAATACAATATGTTCTTCTCCTACCACCCATATTCTTTTTTTGTAATATTATATATATATATATATATATATGAATACAGGAAACAGCAGGCCTATTTATACCCAACAAAACTCCTTCATATTCATGCATAGCACTTGTCTATTATGTTACCCAGTTATTTGTTCCATAAATCTACAACCCAATTCTCAAACTATCTTGATTGAGAAGCCTTCTCAATCTAATTGTATCCAATAAATACCCATTGTTTTATAGTCTGTTTTTATACATTTAACGCTCTAATAATATATACTTTGTTATACCCTCTCAACCTTCTGTATACTTCAATCATGTCACCCTTTACTCTTTGCCTCTCTAAAGAACGTACATTAAGAATTCTTATGAACATAAGAATAAGTTAACTGCAGTAGCTGTTAACAGCTAACGGTAGCTGTTAACTGTTAAGTTAACTGTAGGTAGCTTATTAACATATGCAAGCAAGCTTTAATTTATATTCAACAAAACACATTCATATATTCAGTCCATTATGTCCTAACCTTTACTTGAAGCAATACAGTGATCTCAGGTCCATTATGTTACTAATTAATTAGTTCCTTAAATGGTTGTCTTATATACTGTACTAACTGTTGCAATATTTATATGTGTGCAACTCAATTTTTATATATTTTTAAAATTTCTTAAGTCTTTTCTTAAAATTCATCTTCAATGTTATAAAAGTTGGTCAGAACTTTAGTATTTATTCAACAATTTCAAAATATAATATAAAAGATAATATGTTAATGCCTCTAGAAGAAAAGTGTTTGGAAATAAAAGAAGAAGCCTTGTTAAATATTTATATTCAAACACTACATATGGATCTGGTACAGAAATAACTCCATATACAGTATTGACTCAAGTGTGTTGTCAATAAAAATTCCTTAAAATTTAATATACAGTGAACTATAAAGTAATACAGTACTGTGCTCATGTTTTTAATCACCTTCCTAGTATTCATATCTTGGTGCCTTTTCCCTGGAAAAACAAAACATAGGTATTATTTAACAGTCACCTTTAAGTTGAGGAACAATTTTTAATATTTACTTTTCAAAGGTTTAAAAATCCCCTTTTATCATTATTCAGATAATAATTCGCTATGTCAACAATAAATATTTCATTGCTATTTATCTACACGACTTGCTAAAAACGAGTGTTCATATCGGTTAAACAGTGCAGCCGAGCTCTTGTATGAATCTTTTCCTTCACTTAAAATCTCATGTCTTCGCATATGTATCATTCAGCCACGAAGGTACAATAGTCGACACGTGAGGTTTTAAATAATAAACTTATTGTAGATGCTTCAAATAATATTCATATATATATGCTCTTTGGCACTTCAATTTTTTAACAAGCCACACTACATAAACTTTGTATATGTTATAATCAATTTTTTTTTAGCAAATCTAAGAGGATTTCATTATAATTGTAAGGAATAAAAAGTCTGAAATATGTTCCTGAATGATGTATTCCAGTCTACACTATTCTGATCAATAGTTAAACAAAAAACCTAACAGAAGGCAAACACAAATTGCTGTTCTTTACTACGCTTAGGATAAATACTTACGGAACACCAGAGGCCCCATCAGTATCCTTGCGTCTCTTGAGGATCTGCTGGATCTGTTGCCACTCTCTATTCAGTTCGGCATTTCGGTCCTTCTCCTTGTTTCCGCCAATACGGCGAGTCTTCCGGCCATCAGCCATTTTCACACCATACTGGAAAGCAGCTTTTGGCATAGCTTCCCGCTGGTTCATATAATCACTATATTCTTCTTGCGTGTCAAAGTCCCAACGACCAACAGGGCCTTTCTTGTTACCCTAAAATTATGGAAAATTGTATTAATAAAATTGTTCCCAAGCCTAGAATATAATAATTGCACAAAATGCTACACGTGCTAGTGGCTGTACAAGAATGTAAGAACTCTTGTATATATAAATAAATATATAAATAAATATATAAATAAATAAAGAAATAAATAAAAATAAATACATATACAGTAAAAGATATGAGGCAAGAGGTAGAAATGAGAACTCATAAAAAGCCTAAATGGAGTAAATGGTCAAAAGTGGGAATAACATTGCATGTAGCTGATGTATGAGTTTGTGGAGAAGGCCTAAAAGCTTTGTCTTTGTACATACATCCTTTCAGAATGTACAAACAGTTTTTAAAATGTGACATACATATATAGTGTGAGGAAAAAATCTAACTTTTGAAATAAGCTGTGTTTTAGTTCATTCTTAACTATACCAACCACTTGATGATCCACTATAATTAAAAAACCAAGATAAAGAAAATAATTGTACAAAAATAATTATGGCAAAAGCATAAGGTATTCCTAACAAAATACCTAATAATTCTAGAACGAGACTAACCATATCCATCTTGGTGTAATCTGCTTCATCATCCGAATCATCAATAGCATCCTGCATCTCTGCCATACCAGGGTAGCACTCTGTGTAATAGTCATCCACCATCAGCAGACTGTTCACTCTGAAAAATGTACATTTTGCTGATGTCAACAAATTGCCATTAAGACACAGCTGCTCCAATGATAATATAATTAATGCAAAAAACAAAACGCACACATGTAAAAACGACACCGTTAACATGGCTAAATATATACATAAATACTGTATATACAAAGACACATAACTTACACTAAAACAAAATACATAACGGCATCGAGTTAGTATTACAGGAAACACCACTTTCTTTCCCAAGCCAGGGCTAGTGACCACCCACGACCCACCCTTCCCATTAGGCTCTATCGACCTCTGACCCACATTGACAAGGAACTCTTCAAAACGTCTTGCCAGCTAACTCTTCATTTACCTTCTTTGATCTTCCAATCACAATTCTGCCATTCACTTTGGCCACAACACTTAGTAGACTAATGTCTCCGAAGTTCATACCCACTAAGTGTATGGTTATATTTATTATTATATTAACAGGGGTATCTGGGCTTGTTTGGGTGACGGGGGTCACATGTACACTACATATGACCATCACTGAAACCATATTCACCCCAGTCTTCATTGGTAAATGAACTACACAAACGTTAACATTTAATCAGCATAACAAAATTAATATGATGGATGAATCTTGGTGAGGACAGAATTTAGCTAGTTTTGGTATTTTGGTTTAGGTTTTGGTAGTTTTGGAAGCTGGTTTGAAGTGGTTCATGGAGAGGGGCCAACCTCAACCTCCACATGACCCTTACCTCAACCCAGTCACCCTGCAAAGAGAGTCTAGTCACAAGTGTCTGGGGCCAGATTCACGAGGCAGTTAAGCAAGTACTTACGAACGTGTATATCTTTACTCAATCTTTGACGGCTCTGATTACATTTATTAAACAAGCATGAAAACTTCCCAATCAACTGTTGTTATTACTATAAACAGCCACCTGGCTATCCCATCTACTTCTAATTTCCTTTTTACCAGTTATCATTCTCCTATGTATATCGTTAATGTTAAAATTTACTTTCCTATCTGCCTCCTTGTTACTATTTGAAGATTCTTTCTAAAACAGTTTTTTGCTTTCTGACAGATATGTATAAAATATTTGTTCGAATTCCTCGGTCACACTTTTTTTCTGCTCGTTTATCTTTCCGCATATTTTTTACAATCCTACTCCAACTTTTCCCTTCAGTTTGCAATGACAGAATCTAAATACTTTCTTGTTATCAATAAAGGTTTGAGTTTGTGTTCCTTCAGATATTGATAATTTTTTATCATAAACATACTTTAACATAACCCTTTCCACAAACACAATCAACAACTCTTTCATTGCTTGCACGATACCTTGAGTACTTACGAATATCCTTATGAATATCTTTTACTCTGTAGCATCGCCATATTTATTATCCTGGCATTTCCATAGGCCTCAATGAATATACACATGTAAAAGTTATATGAACACCAGCACCAAATATCTACAGTCATTTTTTTTATCTCAAACAAAAGTTTTAAACGAAAGTTACAATTTAAACTTCTAGAATACAGAAAATGTGTTCATACGGTTTTGGTGGTGGCTGTTGCTGCTGAGAGGGAGCCTGTTGTTGCTGTGCTTGCTGTTGTTGTGTCAGCTGTTGTTGTGGCTGCTGTGGTGCCTGAGGTGCTTGCTTGTCAGCCTTTATATCTGCTCCAGTGGGCCATTGTGTCTGTAACCTCTCTTCCGCAGCACGCATCTCATTCTTTACCTCTTCATGTGCAGAGCGGCTGAAGTATGAACGGGGCTTTCGTTCTCTGTCATGCTCTCTATCTCTATCATGTCTGAAATATAAAATTGTTTAGAAATTAATCCAATAATCATATTTATCTTAGAAAATGCAAATTTAAAAACTTGTTGCAGTCAACAACTATTTTGGACCAACCACTACTTATGTTTTTTTTTCAGCACTGATAAGTTAAGTCAACTAAATGGCAGGTGTGGCAAAGTTATCATGTTCCTAGGGCATAACTTGTGGTAGTGGGCACAAGGAATGCAATAAACAATCATAAAGTAAAAGTTTTGATGATACAAGTTATTTAATGTACAGATGAGATTAGACCATGATATTTTTTTGTTTTTACCTTTAAGTGTATTTTTAAAATGAATAGGAAAACCTGCAATAAATATAACCACAAACAGGAGTTGGATTGATAAAGGGTTATCATAGGAATGAGAATTAGTTTATATTTTATAAGAGTGTGAATGGAAAATCTGAACAGTCGAGTTAAATCTTACCGATCACGATCTCGATCTCTGTCGCGTTCACGTCGATCCTTTTCTCTATCTCTGTCGCGATCTCCTCTGTCCTTTTCCCTGTCTCTTCGGTCACGTTCACGGTCTCTATCTCTTCCCCTTTCACGGTCACGATCTCCACGATCTTTATCTCGATCACTTGCCTTACCCACTGATGGAACATAGTCTCCGATGTCTCCATAGATACTGTCATCAGCTCCAGCCCTCCCAGCCTAATAAAAAAATTAAAATTTTTTATAAGCACAGTATAATTTTTGTATTTGATAATTAACCACATTTCCAAAATCAAGAAAATGCACAAACTAAATACTCTGGGACCAAGGGACTCCTTGAATAGTATTTACCCAATCCAAGGAATACTCCTCAGCATAACTTTTCTCCCCTATATCATCAATGACAAAGTGGCAATTAATGCCATGGGAATACAAATGAGTGGCCATTACCCACTTTAACTAGTATGCTGGTGCATACAGAGGGAATACACACTTATCATACAAGTGAGTAGCTGCTGACTGCATTCACCTGACCACCTGACTTCAGTACAAAAAAAACTTGTATAAAGAAATGTATTTGGAGGATTAACAAGCCGTCACTGATGCCCAATGGCTATCCTGTTGATGGGGTTTCCTTAATAAGTTTCAATGTACAGTACGGTATACAAAGTATAAAACAAGAATGCTAGAATATAATAAAATCAACAGATAGTCCATTAACCAAATATAAAATATTTAGAATAAGGACATTTCATTCACTTCTTTTTAGCTAATAATCTCCGATGCCTTGATATTTGAGAAATTTTTTCCAAAGCTACAAAAATCATGTAAAAAGATAAACTGACAAAAGGTATATATATATACAGTACTTACCGCTTCATTTTTGCCTTTGTCTTTCTTTTTTTGTTTTTTGCTGGCTCTACCAGTGCGAAGGTAGGATAAAATCTGAGTAAGCTTCTGAATTACAATGTCATTTGTTGTAAACGTTGCTTGCATATTCTGGAAAAAAAATCAAATATATAATAAATAGTGCACATGTACAGAAAATATAAAAATAAGCAAGCAACAGGGAAGGCAGGTGTATACAAAATTACGTCAGCCAAAGGGAGGATGAAAGGGAAAGTGAGCTGATGGGACAATAACCTAAGCATACAAAGTTTTATCAGGTGATAGGGTAATGAGAACTTGGGTGACTATATTGGGATATGACATACTGGGCAGCGACATCATCGTTGGCTTGTTTGCGTTCCAGTTTTAATTTCATTCTCATAGTGGGGAGAGTGAATAATTCTGTTATTTGAGTGTTTATGCTCATTTGTTCAACTTTCATGTGTAGGGCTTCAAGAATTTGTAGTCTCCTAACATTCTGGGCTTCATCTAATAGACAAGTGTTTTTATTCAGCATTTCTCTTGTCAGGATGATGTCATGGGCTTCTCTCGTGTGATTTTTAAGGGGGCACCTGATTGAAGATGACAGGTTAAATGCCTTGTGAGCTTGGCCGACGTAATACCCACATACAGTACTTAGAGTGAAGGTTGCAGCCTATAATATATAATCATATATTCTCATCTCTATATACTAAGTTGAGGATAATCTGTATAGTAGTGTCAACTGAGACGATGACACTACTATTTGTAATGAAAATTTGTTTTAACCATTTTATCATAGACAGGTATCACAATGAAAGGGTTAAGCAAAACCAAATAAACAATAAAATGATCACATTTTTACTAATGGTACCCAATAACAGTAATTAAGTAAAACATCATATACCTTACCTCTATACCTTGAAGATCAGCTTTGGAGCGAATAACAGTGGTAGGAATGTCACTCTCGGCAACTTCATCATCAAGATCAATAGCATATGCCATACGACCAGTGAGAAATAAGTCATTAAACTCTGCTGGCTTCGTGTTGAAGATACTGCTGAAAATGCGTCGTCCTGCATTTGTTCTAAAAAAAAAAAAAAAAAAAGTTAAATAATTTGTTTATACTGGTACATCAAAAATCAATCTAATTAGATACACACAATGCAATTTTTATCCATTAGCATCCAACAGACTTTTTGTCAAGTTCATTCAACAGCTTTTCTGTTCCTTCAAGTTTAGTCTTAAAATTATACCATGATGAGGATTCAATCCATGATTTGAATGTAATTTCTGACAGCTCTTCCAGGCTCAATTGAGAATTCTCCAGTGTTCCCCTAACTGCAGTATAACCCAGCAGGGACAATTTAATAAGATACTTGTTGCACCGAGGCAGTGTATCGACACGCCCAGACTTGGCAACAAATGTTCCGATTCTAACTGATCCTCAAGTTAAAGGACCAGCTGAGTGGCACTGCATAAAATTCTTATACATATCCTTCACCAATGTAACACTACATTTCTTTTACATACACAAAGAAATCACACTAATACGATATATCAATGAGAAAATGAATTGGAGCAATGGGGCGACTCTGACCAGTGATCAGGATATTCCCAGCTACATACACTTTACTACTTTTCTTACTATATTTCTTATTGTAAAACTTCTTAGCACTTCAAGAGAGCCTAATTATGCATACAAAATACTATCAAAATGCTTTGCACAGAAAATTTAGCTATTTAGTAAACAAACATGATTTAGCAATAGTAAATTCAAAATTAAAATAAATAACATACATACCACTACAGTACTCAAATGCCAAACAGATTTGAGTATGACTCAACAGTTACATGCTGCTGCTGCTACATGCAGCTACTAAGTTAAAAGTAAACAAATTTTATATGATAATTACTTGAATATCAGTTCATCCTCTTCTTGTTGAGGAATACTTATAGGAGGTGGTGGCTTCTTCTCTTTTGGTGCATCAGAGGAGATGGGCCGTTCTATTTCCACCAAAACCTCAGATTCCTTAATTTGGATTTCGGATCGTACTTTCTGCAACAATGCATAATCTAAGCCTTTCACTAAATGGGTATGCTCCATGTCACCACCCAAAAATTTGGACTCTTGGATCATTTGCTTACGACGTTCTGCTGCATCCAAACCCCTGAAATAAGAAATACTTTCATTAAACAATATCTGTGAATGAAACGTTTTGACTGCAGTTGACTGACGGAGGTATTCTCGGTCCTTATGCCTGACATATCTTACAATCCAGGCAGTATGGATGGGATGGGATGGGATGGGAATAGACATAGTTGAGGTGGGAATAGGTGTGGTTGGTGTGGACATTTTCTAGCCTTAAAGCTGTAGATTGTGTTTGCTTCCAATTCTTCTCTCAGTGTATTCCACTTGTACCATGTACAGGTGGCCATTGTGTGTAAATTGGGAAAAAATCTAAATGTGATGAACAATGTGACAGTGTCAGACCACGAAGGAAGAATTACGACAGGAATTTCCTCAAGTACTGTACTTTCATATTTAGTAATACATCTTTAGAAGGATGGATTTACAGATCAGTAAGTTGGATATACTGTATGGCAGGAAAGAGGCGAGGCAAGGCGAGGCACAATATCTTTAATGAGATTAGGGGATATTAATAAGGTATTAGTGAGATAAATGTGTTTCAGTGGTCCTACTTAAATTGCCCTTTAACTGATAAATAAAAAATGGATCTAAATTATACAATCCAATGCTAATTTTCAAATTACATGATTTTGTAATCTGTAATAAAGCAGATTCAATTATGTTCCGACTGAAAATGCTTTTATAATTCATTATTGAAGAAGCTATCTCCTAATCAATTTGGCGAGAACTTTCTGACAAAGGAACAAACAAAGCATTAGACAATTAGCCATATCTTACAGAGTATTTATGTTGCTAAATTCAAAATTTCAAAACTTTAGATGTTTGCCCGACATAATACCTATTACAGTCTTTACAAAGTATTTTGTAAATGACTCAATTATCACAACGAGGACTGTTTCTAACTAATAGTTTTCCTATAGTATTTTTGTAATTAAACACTACATGTATATAAAAACGTTTCAAGGCCTTGACAATATTTTCAAACCCAGAAAAATATAGTAAACATAACATTTTTGGGGCAAATTTTCTTACTGCATACATTATTATAATATGTATGACATGCTTTGCTATGGCAAACCTCAAAAAAACTTGGTGGATAACGAAGCGCAAGACCAATAGAATTAATATTCTTAAACTCTTCATCCAAGAATTCTGGACTAACAACCCAAAGAGCTCTTAGAACCACAGAGGAAATAAATGATTGTTTTACATGGTATCTATGCCTCAAGAAATTATGCCCCCCCCACCCCAAGTTCTCATTCAAGACACTGTACCTCACCTCACCTCTTTCCTGCCCATATATCCAACCTACTGATATGTAAATTCATCATTCTGAAGATGTATTATTCAACACGAAAGTACTTAAAAGAAATTCCTATCTTAATCCTGCCTTCATGGTCTGACACTGTCACAGGGTAATTTATATATTACATTTTTTTGACAATTTCAGCTTACACCTATGTCCTCTTATTCTACTTTTTCTCAATTTAAAGAGGATTTCTTTGTCCTCATTGTATATCTCCCTCAATATTTTGCATATAGTGATAATACCCCCTTCTGCTCATTCTCTTAATTCAGGCTACAGTCTTATTGCAAATCTCACCACTATTTTTTAGTAAGAATACATGTGAATCTGGCACAAACAATTTTTCAAATGCAGAGACCACGGATATATAAAGGTTATGAAATGTTACAAAGATCAGCCAACCAAATAAATTGTATTTAATAAATAAATACTAAGTGGAAAAAGACTGTCAACCAGTTTGCAACAATAGAACATACAGAACTGTATATCTATAGTTACCAACATACATTATAACAAGTACTCAAACTGGAAATACACATACGATTTCAGATCTGGAGCAACTGCACGGTAACCTCCCATACCAGCTTGAGAAGGATCTTCTGCTTGATAATCAGGATTCTTCCCTTCACGTCTCTCTTTAGCTCTGTCACGGTATTTCTCCGCTAACTCGGCCATTTTTTCTTCTTCTTCCTTCTTGATCTTGGCATAGTAGCTGGAGACAAAAACAAAAGTGAGGAGATATGACAATGTTTTCTTCTCAATTTCCCTACAAAAAATATCTTTAATCTGTTTTTACTAAAACTTTACAACATAAGTGTACAGTACAGATATATAAATCAAAAAGAGAATGATAAGCAATATTTATTATGGAGAACATTGTTTTGTGTACATGCTGGTGTTACGGTAGAAAACAAATATTGAAGTAAATAACTTCAATAGGAGTTAGTTAATAATGTGGCTGGTAGGCAAGAAACTGAAAGGGAGTAAGATTTACATATATTTTAATGCACTTCTTTTGAATTCAGGGAAATGAGCATTCAACTACTGTATTATATTCACACTAGAAGATGCTGAATGATTAGTATTTGCAGACTTGGGAAAATCCTTGGCAGGTACAGATGTGATTTTACAGGTGTAGATGAGATTGCCACGAGGCATTTTGAGATTCTTTAAAGTTACGAGTGATTTATAACCGAGCAGTTATGATAAGAACAGTAACTGCTGTTGAGATAAAACTCAAAACATGAAGTAAAAAAAAAATTGTGAAATGAGGATGCTTTTTCCATTCCTTTTAAAGTTGTAAAACATTCATGCTTTCAAAAACACCTATGGGTTAGATTTACACCAGGTAATTTTGTTGGGTGTTTGTTCTATGCAAAATACTTTTTTCAGGTGATCTATCCTGAAATCTATTCTTGTTCAACAACCTCCCAGCGAGCATAAGACATATTGCCGGAACAACTGTAGACATCTTCAAGAGAAAACTAGATCATTTCTCAAAGCAGTGCTGGACCAATCGGGCTGTGGTGGATATGGGGGCCTGTGGGCCGCTCCAAGCAACAGCCTAGTGGACCAATCTCTCACAAGTAAAGCCTGGCCTTGGGCTGGGCTTGGGGAGTAAAAGAACTCCCTGAACCCCATCAAGCAGGTATCCAGAAAGAATGTCATGACTATAATTTGTAGACAATCATACAGTGCAGCTGTACATAAAGGAATAGTGTGGATGTAGCGAGTGCTTACTACATTGTCTATCAGCATGAATTAGCATCAATCACTTAATGTGTTAGTGTGTGTGTTCGAGATAAATTTGTGAGTCACACTGCTATGTGACCCATGACCACAGGCTACCCATTGCACTTCTCACCAAATACTTTAATTAAAATGTAAAACTACAGGTTGAGTATACAGTGCTGCAAGAGATAGAGGCACAAAGCCCACTACCATATAAAATATTCAACAAGTCGAGAACAGTATACTACAAGATGCAGGTAGAAGTCGTGAGAATGCTGTGCAGTTTACGTGGGCATTGTTCTATGAACCACATTAAACGTTGGCCCATAACCCCCCCCCCCCCTCCGCAATAAGTAATGTGTGTGTATCTAATGTTTTATATTTACTTTATGTACATTTTTGGATGCTGCCGTTATAATTTCAACGTGTGTCCCTGTGCCTAACTGTACATCTGTATGAGCACAGAGTAGTTGAGATTATCAGTTCTTGAAATTTTTTTACCACTCTAACATATTACCAATGCACTCATTTCAGTTTCTGAACTTATCACCGATTTCATTAAACGTCGGCAAAAGACAATCTTTCTTGTGCAATTTCTAAGCTCCAATTAAGCTCCAAATCAAATTTAAACGGCAATTCAAGCTTGGGCACTGCATCCATCTATAGCTTCCACTCCACATAAAAGCGGTGACTTATAATATATGCTCCCTATAACTCCATGGGTTGGGTAGATGCTACTAGTCAGAATTGAAGTGTCTAGCTCTAGGGAACAATACAGTCCTAACTAGAGACCTAACAGTCTCCGTGGTGCAGTGGTAAGACACTCGCCTGGCGTTCCACAAGCACTTTGTCGTGGGTTCGTATCCTGGCCGGGAAGGATTTACTGGGCGCAAATCCTTAACTGTAGCTTCTGTTTAACTCAACAGTAAAATGGTTACTCGGTTGTAAAAACGATTCTTCGCGGCGGGGATCGTTTTCCAGGGACTTGCCCGAAACGCTACGCGCACTAGTGGTTGTACAAGAGTGTAACAACTCTTGTATATATCTCAAAAAAAAAAAAAAAAAAAAAAAAAAACTACAACTGCTTCCTGAAAGTGCAACTGCAGTAAACATGGACACATACACACACACACAAAATTTAAACTATTAACCTACACAGTATTCATATTACATTACCTCTTTTTCTTCTTTCTTTCTGCAGCTCGAACATCGTCTTTATTTTCACGGCGTTGGGTAGGTGGCTCAGTACTGGAGGTTTTGGTTCCAGCAGAAGTAACCGTTTCTTTCTGACTCCCCGGCGGTGCACGAGGAGTCATTAACAATTTTCTAAAGTCTGCATTGGTAAGGCGTTGTGGCCTGAAAATTTTTAGATATACAGTATTAAAATAAATGTGAAATTTTTAAGTTTACTGGCACTGCATATTCAATTTTTTTATTTTTTCACATTTAGCTAGAAAACTAATAAAATGAGCCAAGACTGCATCATATTTCATACAGTGCATCAGAATTAAACTGAATCAAGTTCCACGAAAGCAAGACACCAGTGCATAAAATAATAAATTAAAATATTTAAATGAGATATACAGAAAATAGTTTAAAGTTAATGTGACACTATAGATGATGTGTGTTGCACTCTATCTCTCTAGTCAGTTGGACAAGCCATTATGGGATTGCTCTTAATATCAATATAGCATAAATTTTTATTTTGCAAACTAAAGTAATCAAAGAGAACTTTTCTATTAATGACCAGTGTTAAATATAAAATGAAAGAAAGGATTTCAACATAACAACACAAAAGTAGTGTACAGTACCGAGATGTGTCCAAAATTTGTACTAACCTTTCATCTATAACAGTTTCCCCTGGTGGTGCCAAAGGATTGGAAAACACTTCCTCACCACCTGAAAACAGATTTCATTACATACATAAGTTATAAATACACAATACACAAGTCCAATATATATAAAAATAAAGCACTGAAAATAATGAAACACTTATCTCTTGAGCCCTTGATAACTCTTTGACCTTCATTCTAGATACATAAAGCTTTATTCATCATACCAAGCTTCCAAAGGATGATAGTTACCTACCAGGAGCCAGAACTACACTCTGGCTCACTCAACAAGGTGACAGTAGCAAGGGATCGAAAATCATCTATTAAAACTTTGAAATATCCTGCCAGAAAGCATACACACACAAAAGCAGTGACCAAAGGAAATGAGGTATCCCAAGGCAAACAAAGAAAGAGATCATTGATGTTGTGTAACTACCCAAATACTAATGCATCTGACTTCCACTAGATGACAGCCCCAGGCCCCACTTTCCTATAGAGCCACTTGCGCTAAATCCGAAAAACCTACGGAGAAGAAGAGGATAGGGTGGGAGAGAGAGCTATAGGGAGTCCGAGGAAGGAGGTCACACCTCCTTCCGTGTCTAGTCATGACTAGACTAGACACGGTGAGGAAAGGTTTGTTCAGAAAGTTGCAGTGATGTAAGATGATCCTTCGCCCCTAATAACAAGAGGCCTATAAAAAATGTCAGTACCTGTACTACATCGACGACCGGGCCGCGGGGTCGCCGAGCCCTGAAATCCCCTCAAGGTACGTGACCCCTATTCTTAGAGTAAATCTAACCCGACTTATCCAGCAACTAATGAAAAGATAGAAGTAGATGGTCGTTCCATATATGTGGGTAAAGAAGAAATTGAGAAAATTGGTCACATTTAGTTAAGACTTGGGTAAATTCTGGTTTGGTAACAGGGTTGTTGATCTGTGCAACCAATTACCACGTAACATAATAGCAGTGGGATCCCTTGATTGTTTCCAGGGTAGCTTAGGCATATATATATATATGAATGAAATTGGGTGGATATAAATAGGAGCTGCTTAGTATGGGGCCAATAGGCCTTATGCTGTTATCTTCATCATGTTATCCTAATTTAACCGAATCAAAATAACCAATACAATGTTGTGTATACTGGCAGGTTTCAGAGCCTAACTGATATCATGGGCGACTTGAAGACTGAAGAACTAATTCACTAGTTGAGTGATGCAGCATCCTCCTCCTCCCTCCCTGCAGAAATCAGCAGGGAACAGCTCCTGCGACATGATGACAGAAGAATTAGGATAACAAGAGCATTGTCTAGTGATGACGAATATGGGGAACGAACCCTAACAGGACTTTGGAGCAGCGGACTGGTCACTCATCTGGCAATAAACCACTCACCTGGAGGCATGGCTGCTACGTAGAGTGTTGCTTTACTTCATATATATATCAGCTAGTGCACTACAACACCGCTGAGATATTCTCCTCGTGAAGCTTGGGGCCGCTGGTCGTCTATGGAAGAGAGACCAAGTAAACGTAAACACGAAACAAATGACTCTCGCACAAGTAATATACAAATATTTATTCAGGTAAAAGGGTTGAATTTTGTAACTAGCTCATCAAGATTGTAACTTGCTTAGCTAAATGAACTGTGGAGGTTCAGTCCCTGAGCCCATTATGTGCCTCTGTAACCCTTTCCACTATCGCCCACAAGATGGGTATGAGGTGCATAATAAATGAACTAAACTAACTATTCAGGTAAAGTACATACATACAAGGTGAGATACAAAAAGTTGATGGATTTATAGATAGAGCTAGCACATACAATGCCTAAAGCAACTATTACCCAAAGCGTTTCGGGCAGTTTTTTTTTGTTTGCAAAAAAATGTTTTTTTTTAATTCCTTGCTTGTGTACAGCGTGCTGCTTGTTGTTGTTGTTTTAGATTACCTACTCAGAACAAAATGTCCATGTAGCACGGGCTATGGTGAGCCCGTAACAGTTGCTGTTGTTCTCGAGTACTCAGATAATCGGACCACACCTTACCTAATAGGTTAGAAGGAGTGTTAACTGTAATTAGAGAAGAGGTAGGGGTGGTGAAGAAATAGCCTAAGCTACCCTATCCCTTTTTACAGGCTTTTCATGCCCGTGCCACCTCTTGGGTGGCTTAATCTTCATTAATCAATCAATCTATCCCTTTGAGATGTGTTTTTTTGTCTCAGTAAACATACTAGAACTGAAATTGAATTGAAATTGAAATCGAAATAAGTTTATTGAGATAAAATACACACAAAGGGATGAGGTGGCTCAAGCTATTCTCACCCCGTTCAGTACAACGTGTTCATATATATATATTTAGATACACATAACAAACAATAAACATATTACCGAAAATTCTAGAGATAAACATATACATTTCTTCATTTACACAAGTGGTATGGTATCAGACGTACACACAAATACTTTTATGACTAGGTATATAGACAATTTGCAAGAGACATTCAGACAATTCAACAAAAGGTTACAATCTTGGTGCAAAATTCTCATATCGCTCCAGAATATCATCAACCTTTCCGTTATGACACATCCAGGCTATTTTTTTTTTCTTTTGAGATATATACAAGAGTTGTTACATTCTTGTACAGCCACTAGTACGCGTAGCGTTTCGGGCAAGTCCTTAATCCTATGGTCCCTGGAATACGATCCCCTGCCGCGAAGAATCGTTTTTTCATCCAAGTACACATTTTACTGTTGCGTTAAACAGAGGCTACAGTTAAGGAATTGTGCCCAGTAAATCCTCCCCGGCCAGGATACGAACCCATGACATAGCGCTCGCGGAACGCCAGGCGAGTGTCTTACCACTACACCACGGAGACTGCATTTGTTCAGGAACAGTCCTTATCTCAGTGTTTCTATATACATTAATCAACGGACAATCAAGAACATAATGGGTGAGTGTGTGAGACCTTAACATACCACATAGTTTACAGCACCTATCCCATATTCCCAGTAATATTTGTACCCAAGCCTGATCGAGCCGCATGTGCACAGAATCACTCCAAGCATTTCTCCTTTTACCATAAGTGAAATGGGTGTTTTGACTCACACACATGTAGTGTTGCATGGTTTGGCTTCCCTCATACATTATACCTCTCATCGCCACTTCTGCCTGTGCTGCTACCAATTTTAGTACATCAGTGTTTGGCTCTAGGGAAATTATACGTCAAAATGCGATATACTATTCAGGAGAACGGGTTGCATTATCTTGCCCTCTCCCTACAACCCAAAATACCGTCCCTTTCCCCCAATCCCTCACGGGAGACATCTCCCGTCACGCAGGGTGCAGTCACACCTCCATAGATCTCCAGTATCAGCTCTTGATACTGGTAACGGCTCAAAAAGGCCACCACCTAGGGCTATTCATGCCCGTGCCACCTTTTGGGTCGCTTAATCTTCATCAATCAATCAATCCCTAATCCCTCACACCTGATTTACCAAGACACTTGCAGCAGCGTTCACTCTTATCATCCCTCCACCCTAATTCCCCTACTCCCACACCCCTCCCACCTAGCAGCACCTGTTCCAATCCCGAACCTTCCCTGACAATATACCAACTCCCTCTCTCCTTTCTCGTCCCTCCTCCCCTTCCGACAACTTCCCCTCCCTCGACCCTCCCAGAGGAAGGTCGAGCAGGTGTTTCATGCAACACCTGCTGCTCCCTGCTGTTGCGTGGAAGGTGGAAAATAACAGTCGTGTTACACGGTTAGTGTTCCTAGATGACAATATTTACATGTGTTTGTTTGATAATGACAAACTTGTGAAGGAAAGATGACCTTATGCGATGTGAATGCCGGAGTGCAGGGGAGAACGCGTCAGGTCGTGACAATTATTTAGTGTATGCTGGCCACAAGGCTAGAGCGTGTGTACTTCATACAGTGGTTAGTCGCGGCCCTGCATCGCCTCCCTCGGTGTTCTCTGAGGTGTCACGGCCCTGCATCACCTTCCTTGATGCTCCCTGAAGTGTATCGGGACTCTCTATCACCCCCCATCAGTATTCTCTGAAGTGTTGCGGGCCTGCATCGCCTCCCTCGGTGAAGTGCCATGGGATTACATCACCTTCACACCTTGTGGCGGTGAAGTCAGAAGTATCACAAGTTTTCTGGTTAAACGCAGGTATGTATTGCTGCTATTTCGGCTTTCTCTCCTCTCGAAGTTAGTATATTGTGTTGGGCTAGGCGTGATCCCGTTCTTACGAGCAATTTGGGCTTGACACGTCCACCGTTTCTCCTTTCTTGACTTTTTCTCAGCAGTGTGACGTCGGGTATTTTTTGGAACGCACCACAATTTTTTTTCTGGGGAGCATTTGGCATTCACGTGCCCGAACCTGTGACACTTAGTTTCTGCTTAATGCCTGATGTCTGAAACTTTCCGACTGTCTAACCTTTACTCGTGGTGGCCGTTTTCCCTTCCAATGTAAGAGGAAATCGGTGCATAGAGTACAAGTTTTTCCTAGTGTGCGGTAATTCTTCTACTGCACTCAGTGACTAATCCAAAGTGTGTGCCCTAAGAGGATTGTCTTTGTTACGAGATTGACTAATTTAAATTCTTGATCCGGAATGTATTACTTATTTTCCAATATTTTTATTGCTTACAGGTGCTTTTCTGTACTGATTGCTTAAGTTGTAACTTATCTTGAAGTTGATACTGACGCTCTTCAGAGCTTATTGCACGTTACTCTGTCTAGGTCCACTGAGAACCTTGAACATCACCTTGTGGCAATTGACTATCATTCCAATCTTTGAGACTTCCGCCGGGTTCCATTGTTCTGCATCTTGTCCCAGACTCCAGTATGGAACTGTCTGAGTCTGAAGCCTATCATCGATTTCTCCTTTACGGTTTTTTAATCCTCAATGTCGGTCTCATGATCTTGATTGTTCCAGTCGTTGCTTTGGTTTTACCGGCGGACACCCAACCCACAAATCTGAAAATAGAGCAAATGACGTTACTTCCGTACGTCGTGGACCATTATCAAGTTATTCTAAAGTTTTGCAAACTCAATCATAATTAAAATTATTTCTGAATAAAGATATTGAGTGATTACACACAGAGATCACACTAACGTGATTCATCAAATGAACAAATCCACAAGGGCACAAGTGTCTGGGATGCTCCCGGACGCAGGTTCGAATCCTCGTCACGGCCCTTGTGGATTTGTTCATATTGAGTGATTGATTGATTTACATATCTTCTATCTTTGGAGGATGGTATATTTCCAGCCCGTTCTCTCGAGCTTTTACAACGTTACTAAAATGATGTACTAAATTGCCAAAACCTAACTGAACTGATGACCCAAGAATAGAAAACGAGACAGCGTAAATTTTGCGAGCCGCTATGATTTTTAGTACATGTTACCTTGACGTTGGGAATTTATACGTCAAAATACGATATGATTTACCATATTCTGTATGACTGAAGAGTAAGACCCGTAATTTAATTTTTACTCGTTTTTTTTTTTTGGAACGATATACAGTTTTTTTTCCTATATTACCCTAACCTTTTTTACTAAACATTGTTAATAGCTCTGGATTTAATTTCTTAGTATACAATTGTTATTCGACTGTATTTTTACGAATTCAGTATCCTAGCTTAATCAAACCTAACCTAACCTATCCTTACTTAATCTAATTTAACCTACCCTTGCCTAACCTAGCCTTAAATAATCTAATCCTATATAGCCTTGTTTATTTTAGGCTAACCTAACCTAGCCCAATCTTACATATCCTACCTTAGGGTAGGATATGCAAGATTGGGCTAGAACCTATCTACGATACCACCTACGATATGATGCAAGAGACATGCTATGACTAATTATCAAAGGCGTAGTTTTCTTGCTGTTTATAATCAAGAGTTTTCGAAACCTTACTATCTTGGGAATATAAACATCAACATGTCGGACATTTGGGAATAACAATCATCCGCCACTGTGACAGTAAATAAAGAATTAAGCTGGTTGACATATGTCATGTCATAACACTATCATAAAGTACATCTAAAACAGTATATATGTTAAAGAAACTAATATTCAAAATGCAAATATATTCACAGAAGCCTACTAAATTATTACTAAACTGCATCTTACATAAAACTGCATAAAATAACATGAAACTGTTGTTTTATGCAATTTTAGTTTAAATTGTTAAATGCATTCCTTAAAACCTTATAAACCTTAGCGACATACTAGACAATAACACTCAGATAATTACCTCTGTAACCATTGCACAAGCGGTTGTGTCGAGGTGGTCGAGTTGCTCAACTGAAGGCTTGGTTCCACTGTACATTATTTAAAAAAATGATGAGCTCCAGACTTGAATTAAGACGAGGTGAGCACTCGGAATCTCTGAATGTACGTGTGTTGCTTGTAGGTGTACTCTTGCTTGTGTGAGCTTGTGGGTGTAATTCCCTAAGTGTAATTACTATAGTGTAGTTATAGGATAAAAGCTACGCTGGTGGTGTCCCGTCTTCCCAGCACTCTTTGTCGAATAACGCTTTGAAACTACTGACCGTTTTGGTCTCCTAGCACTTGTGGGGTGCACTTGTGGGTATGTGTGTGTGTGTTCGTTTTTAACACGTGTGCATACACGCATGTTTGTGTCAGTATGAGCCAGGGCTTGGTCTGCACACATCTTGGTCAGGCGCGGTCATCACTTCTCCATGTGAAGGTGTTTCTTGTTTTTTCCTCTTCAATAACGTTTTTCTACCACCCACGAGTCCTCTCCTAGTACTCGAAGTCGTTTCTGCAAACTCATTAGGTTATTGTTGAGAGCTGTAAATTACCTGAGGCTTGAGAAAGTTATTTGCACATACCCATGTTGCATAGTCATTCTAACCTCGAACATGACAAAAAACTCCCTGCGTGGAGGTAAAAAAATAATACACATAAAATATGTACAGGTATATATATAATATATAGTAAATACATATAATATATAAATATATATATAGTACATATGAGTATGCACTTTTTCTAGTTTAAACAAAATATCAGAGAATGTGGAGGCAATATGTCTTGGGTGTGTGTGAAATTGTATACCTGGGAACAAACAGGTAATGCAAGCGCCGCGGGCGTCCACATTACCACTCTCGCTACATGCCACAAACCGGCTCTCTGTGCTCAAACTTGGTGTTCTATTATATTAAATACGGCGTTATTTAGGCAGCAATAATCCATTTCAAAAGCCAGGTGGAGTCAAATACCGAGTGTTATATATAAACTGAGTACTTAAAGAATAGTTGGCAGCTGTGATGAGGGTCGGTGGAGGCCAGGTGGAGGGTACAGTGTGTGTGTGTGTCAGTCAGTCCTCCGCTGGTGGTGCTGCGAAGTCGCCAACAAGGTGAGGAGTGTTTTCCTGCTGGTGTGTGTGCCTCGTGTGGCCCAATAGGCCTTCTGGTGTGTATAATTTGTGCTTGCGGGGGTTGCGCTCTGGCTCTTTGGTCCCGCCTCTCAACCGTCAATCAACAGGTGTACAGGTTCCTTAGCCTATTGGGCTCTATCATATCTACATTTGAAACTGTGTATGGAGTCAGCCTCCACCACATCACTGCCTAATGCATTCCATATGTGTGTATGTGTACATGTTAAATAGTCCCACTGGACGCTTGCACAGTGCTGTGTACTATGTACGAGGTGCATCGGATATCAATGAATTGTACGATTAATTTGTTTTAAAAATGTTACATTCACGTGCGATTTGAATCAATGTGCGATTTTGTTAAGGTACATTAAGAAGTTGTACTTTTTATCAGCCGGAAGTTTTGATAGTCCCAATTATCTCGAGTCAATGGCCACAGGTTTCGACGCTAACTGTTCGCTGATAGTTTCTCTTGAAAGTGATTGAAGAATTTAAGTGAAGCGTAGTAATTATACTGAGGAGAGCATGAGGAGCTCCTTACACAACCAGTATGACACATCTTACGTTACTTAGCCCGCAAAAGTTGCAGAGGAACATTGTGGGCCAAATAGGAAGGTTGTAACGCCTCTCTCCGGTAGGTTAGGGGTTTGTGAAACCCGGCGAGGAAGGTCTGACATGCATTACTGTGACATCTATCACGATAAATGTGGCAGCATACTGATAATGTCGACTTCTGGCATCGCAACTTTAGTGAGCCTACCTTCCCATTCTCATGGGCTGTAGGAGACTCGAACCGCGGACTGTACGCCGGTGAGGCTGAAGCTCACACGCTTCGTCTTGCGAGGGTAGGAACTGAACACACTGTGTGTGTGAGTGAGCCTGTTAAGACATTAATGAAGATATAGGGATACAAGCCTACTCTACTCTAAGGATGTTGATGTGGTAAACTAAATGTGTGACTGACTTGACCAGACTGGATGGTTTTGTAGTGACTGTCAAACTTTTTTAGTATTATTAGGCTGTTAATCGTGTTATTTTTGCTTTACGTCGAAAGGATAAAAAAAGCGTTGCTTGTGGTAATGAGATTATTGTAAACACGCCATGTGCTGTCATTTACCTATACAATTCATTGTCGTAAAATAATTACGGGTAAAAGCGCGGTAGCTCATTATATATATATATATATATATATATATATATATATATATATATATATATATATATATATATATATATATATATATACTGTATACATATAACGTGGGGAAATATGGTTACATACTCTTGGGGGTATAGCGGTGGAAATAATAGACCGCTGAAGCACAGTTACCTGCAGGAGAGGATGGGGAGGCTGGCTGGCCGCTGTTGTCTGCTTGCATGATACACGAGCAACAAGGCAAACTCGGAACCTGTCCAGGCGGGCCACTCTATTGCGAGTGATACCACACCCTGCTGGATGGGAGGTGATGCTACACCTAGCTGGATGGTCTCCTAGGTGGCCCACAGTCTGGGAGGTAATGCTACACCTAGCTGGATGGTCTCCTAGGTGGCCCACAGTCTGGGAGGTGATGCTACACCTAGCTGGATGGTCTCCCAGGTGGCCCACAGTCTGGGAGGTGATGCTACACCTAGCTGGGTGGTCTCCTAGGTGGCCCACAGTCTGGGAGGTGATGCTACACCTAGCTGGATGGTCTCCTAGGTGGCCCACAGTCTGGGAGGTGATGCTACACCTAGCTGGATGGTCTCCCAGGTGGCCCACAGTCTGGGAGGTGATGCTACACCTAGCTGGATGGTCTCCTAGGTGGCCCACGGTCTGGGAGGTGATGCTACACCTAGCTGGATGGTCTCCTAGGTGGCCCACAGTTTGGGAGGTGAAGCTATACCTAGCTGGATGGTCTCCAGGTGGCCCACAGTCTGGGAGGTGATGCTACACCTAGCTGGATGGTCTCCTAGGTGGCCCACAGTCTGGGAGGTGATGCTACACCTAGCTGGGTGGTCTCCTAGGTGGCCCACAGTCTGGGCCACCTGGGAGACTGTGGGGCCCCTTCACACGTCTGCTTGACGTGTGAAGGGGCTAAAGGTGGTACCGGGGGAAGGGGGCGTGGTGGAGGTACAGGCTGTACCTGTTACGGGAATTATGTGGTGGCCTGGAGGAAGGGGGTGGACCTCGAGGTGACGGAGCGGGAACCCATCCCTGCGTGCGGAGCTTCAACATAACGCGTGGGAACCAGGTTAGCATCAGTGTAACAAACTCGTCAGTATAGCTCATGAAGACTTGTGGTTGGTCTATGCGTATATTAAGATAGTCTGCTTAACATTTAACATTTATTCGTCATAATAAATGACCTAAATTCGTCCTATTTTGGAAACTGTGTGGTAGCCGTGATTGGCTTGCAGTGTGTTACAAAGGCGGAGGAAAAAGATGTCCCCGACCACATTTAGAAATTCGACAAGTGGGAGAGAAGAGTGAATAAGTGGGGTGAGTTATCACCCATCAATAATTGGGTACCTGCTTCTTAACAGAGTGGCGGGTCGTGTTCCAAGGAAAATTAGTGGGGGCAAATCTTGCCATGAACTGTGGGAAGGGAAAGCTCGCAGCCTGCTAACAGTAGTCGGAAGTCGTATGATCCTGTAACCACCTGTGTAAAGAAATGACAATCCTGAATCTGAAAAGTACATAAATATTGCTTAGCTATGTTCAACGTGTAACCAAAGTTTTAGAATAGTTTTCCAACGATTTCAGTCAATGAGGTGGAAACGCCCGTGTTATGTGACCATCTGATCAGAAGTAATTAAAAGCTGTAAATTGTTATTAATTTGTAAATATGAATTAATATTTTTCTTTGAATCTGTTCCTGGGCATTGTGCTTCACTGAGCCTAAGCCATCGCATTAAGTCTCGATTGGATCAGATGGTCTGTTACTAATTGACTTGCTTCGTATAGACGTAACCTTGGAACCCTCGACATGATGAGACTTAACAATGAGGGAGGAGCCAGACCCGGACCACCTCGCTGGCTCTACACAATACTCCGGCCCGTAATCATGATGAACCGGATGGTTTATTTTTTTTAACCACGAAATAATGTTTCAGTTCACACATTTGCCCCACTGGCGTCTACAGCTGCTGTGAAAACAGGAGCAATAACCTGTGAAGATTTGTATTTTTTTTTTATATGTAACTAACACTATATGAAACATTTATATGAAATCAACTCTACTTTGGCCTCTTCGATCCTTTAACAAAATAACATTCATAAATGCATATGAAGTATTTTGTGCTAATAAATGTCAGCCGAGTAACTCAAACTAAAGAGGACAAATTTGTATTATAACATCTTTACTGACGAGTTATATTCACTTTTCCATAATCTGGGTAATGCAGTGAGGTGTTGAGCAGCGATGTTAGTGCGCGGTTCCACCACACAACATACGGAACACGAGCGCTCTGCATCACAGATTTGTACAATCACATTTACCACAAGTTATATTTTCACACATGTAATAATTAAATATTTAACAATTACAATATTCGCTAATTTTGAATGTTTTGGCATTCATATTGCTGCTACAGCATAGTTTTAAATTGTTAAATTGAAGATTGCTAGGATGCCTTCAAAGATGCTAGACCACAACTACATTTTTTTCGATCAAATGTTACATTTGATTATGAAAACTTTCCACGAGAGATACTAGTAAGAAAACAATACGAAGACCTTTATAAACAATGCATTTCGACATCTGAGGCTGTGGACTCTTAAGTGTGTGTCTCGGAGCTATATATGGAAAGTAGGTGAAGGTCTGGTATATAATCTTATTGCTAAAATAAGCTGCAGGAGTTTAAAGACACGGACCCAAGTGCATGGTTCCCAGCCTCTCTCTGTGTGTCCCAGGACGTGGTCAAGCAAAAATATCTTGCAACCAGCAAATGTAATAATCGGTCACCAACACCTAGGAGACAGACGAGGTCGGACACATCCCATGTATCATGTGACTCCTCAGTTTTCTTCCTCAAATCATGGCCGTAATCTAGGAGATTGCTGATTTGTATTTATTATTATTATTTTCTACCACAGACGTGGCCACACATTTCCAATGCTAAGCAGCATATATACATTTTCTTCTGTCCTCCATGGACAGGGTGAGAGATTTGTCAAACATGCAGTTCAGAGATTTATTGAACAACCACAGAAGGTGATTGTACTGGATGATCCATAGACGTGTGGTTCGTTTTGTATGTTAGTATGATAGATGGAACCGCTATAGTGTCGATTTCATCTTCTCGTGTCTACAAAGTTTTGTTTAAGTACTTCGTCTATTGTTCTCAAGTTGCTTGTAGGCAATCCAAGGTTCTTTGACCAACTTAAAATTCTTTGATAGAATTACACACACTGATAGGAAAGTACAACTCTCTCTTGTGTGGGTGTGCTCGTGTCAGGACCACTCCACGGAGTCAAGGCCGGGCCCTCGTACCCAGGGAGGGTAGAGGGCCAACTGAGCTAGAAAGCGCTCTCCGCCTTGACCCTGGAGGGTTGACAAGTGTCCTTGTCTGATCCAGGCCACTTGATCAGGTTCCACAAGCTTACTCAGGCCAAAGTGAAAGGAATTTGTTTTACCATTTTTTTTCGTTCTTATAATGTATACAGGGTGTTGCCACCTTTAGTCTTAGCCTACATACATTCTCGGGCAGATTGACTGTGTATTCGTGAGTGATTTGTATGGAAGGTGTGTGTGGTTTACAGGGACGATGAGTCGTGGGGTGGTTGCTGCTGCAGTTAACAGGAGTTAACACAACTATACGCTCATTTCCATCAGTGAGGAATCATTACTCTTTCTAAACATTTTAATGTTACAATCTCACTAATCTATATAGAGTAGAAGATTTGTTCGAAGTAGGAGACCAGATACTAAAGGCTGACCCCTCTCACAACTTTCCAAGATGACACAGGGGAGGGAGGGGGAAATCACAGGCCAGTTAGGGGT